CGTAGTACAATAAATATTATACATCTACATTTATCCAATGCATTTGATTTCAAAATTAATATGATATTTACTGCACATTTTATCTAAATGCAGGATATCAAATGCTTGCATTTGTCCTTTCTTTTCATAACGATACTACATGTACTCGTTCATTGAAGCCATTTCTACGTGTCTTGTCAGTGACCTTTGTTGACTGGTAAACAATTAAAGCGTGCCTCTTATTAATTATGAAAACAGAGAGAACTTGCGATAAATTTTAATTATGAGATTTTGTGCAAATTATCAATACAATCTTAAAAAGAATGCATGATATTGCTATTAGAAAGAAACACCATTTAATTACGCTCATAACTGTCCCCCAGTTTACATGTATTTACAATTTTGTAACAGCTGTTTAATTATTCTTTATGAATAGTTGCATCACGTCAGATCTTATGGCATTGCAGGTTGAAACTTCACAATTTGAATCTACAAAACCAAACAATTCTTGAACGTCCTCTCCATTTACAACAATCAGTGGTAAACAATCCTTGATAATCATGTTTGTGATAGCAACATTTTTTATTTCCGGCTCTGCTTTTTTTTGTTGGCATTTTGCGGAGAACTTACTAAAGAAAAGTTTCAATTAAAGACTTTGTTTACTACATGTATGTTTGACGGATTCGGCATATGATACATCATATTTGATGTCCCACTGCAGAATACAAGTCCAGTTTCACATAACCTTGATAACGCACTTTTACCTGTTTTTCCATCCTGAAATCTTTTAAAGTATTCCAAAATTAGATGTGGGAGGCATATTTCCCAAACATAAATCGACATACAAATAATTTCCTTTGAACAGTTAAAACATACCCTGAGTTATACTTACGAGAACATTGATCTGAATATAAATGAAATGGGCAAATCCAAGTTTATTACCTTGAATTTAAAATTACGTTTAGGTAACACATTTTTAACGAATAACCGACTAAAGAAATTTTAGTCGATAGTCGGTATGATCGAACGATAGTCGAGTACATCCCTAATTTAATTAAAACATGTCTATATCATATATAAACAAACAATAATGGCGAGTCTTTAAAGCAGTGGATTATAAGTATGTCTATATCATTGTTCCTCTCTTTTCCTTTAAAGTAATGGGCCTCAGCCCCTTTGGGTCTCGGCTCCATTACTTGTGAGGAAAGAAGAGGAACTGGGACATTAACCTACACATCAGGAACAACATATCATCATTGGTAACGTTTCTAGAAATAGAATAGAGAATAAAACATGCCATTTTTACGCAGACAGTGCCATACTGTTAATGATCTGATCCTCGGATTGTCTTCAAAAATTCTGGGAAACATAACTTATTCTGTGGTTATTTTTAATTTTAAAATGGTCAAAGCATAGAATCTGTCTAATCCGCAAGAGTTGAGGAGAGAAAATGAAGTGAGCGAATTAGACAGATTCTATGTTTTGACCATTTTAAAATTCTCCCCACTGTCTCTCTCCTTGTCTTCCCTTCCCTTCTCTCCAACCTCTTCAAAACTGACTCAACAACCACTCTCTCCCTATCCTCTCTCCCAATTCTCTCCACTAACTCGCTCCATTCACTCATTCTCTCTCCCTCTCTCTCTGTCACTCCTTCCAACAATGAGTGGAGGGAGAGAGAGAGAGAGAATAAGTGGAGAGATAGTGATTGTGAGAGAGAGGGCAGAGTGCGCGAGAGTGAGTCAATTTCCACTCTCTTTCTCTCTCCCCTCCCATCTCTTTCACCCCTCTCTTTTTCTCATTCCCTCCACACTCTCTCCACTCGTTCACTCCACTCGTTTCCCTCACTCTTTTCCCTCTCTCACTCATTTATTTTCTCTCTCCCTCCCCACCTCTCTCTCCGTACTCGCTCTATCTTTCTCTTTCTCCGACTCTTCCCTCCCCTCATCCATCCACTCACGTTCTTTCTCTCCACTCACCCCACTGTCAGTTTTCTCTCTCCCCTCTCCTATCTAACTCTCCTACACACACTCTCTCGCTCCCTTCTCTCTGCCTTACTCACACTCTCTCTCCTGACTCTCTCTTCCTCTCTTCTTTACTCACTCTCTCCCACATTACTCTTCTCCCCATCCCCTCACTCTCTCTCTCTCTCCGTCCCTCCCCTCTCTACCCTCATTCACACCACCTCTCTCTCTCTCTCAAACACACATTATCTGTCTCTCTCTCATTCTACCCCTCTCTTCTATGTTTATCTCACCTTTCCGATTTGACTAAAGTTAAGTTTTAGTCATCACATGTTTCTCGAAGGGAACTATATATATGAAATCATTATTTAAAAGTTGAAGTGTTTTAAGTCTGGTACCTACTGTTATCGTAAAAATTTACAATAATGGCTAATTGAATATGAATTAAATGTTAAGTTAACCAATGATTCTTAATGATTACATTGAACATTTTTGAACAAGTAATTTGCCAAAAAAAAAAAAACCAAATTTTTTTATTTATATTCCCAAAATAACAACTAAAAAACTTGCAACGTATATATAACGTTTACGCTAAGAACATTGGACCACCGACGGCGCTTTCCATCACAACTTTTACTTATATATTCTGTACATGTACATGTATGTCAGCAGCTTCACACAATTAATAAAAAAATGTCTTACAATTTTCATTGGTAACCAAAAATAAAGAATTCGTGGGCATGATCTAATCCTACATGCTAATTTGTTCACACATACAGGTTGCAAACTTTATCTTCCTTTACTGTAATCTATTTCACTTTAAACATGAATGTAAGAAAAAAAAATCTGCATTTGATCGTTAGTGTACTACATGTATGATTCTAAATCATTTCACCGTGTGTATTCCCTGGTCTCAAAGGATTTGATGTACATGTATTTTTGTTGACTGGTTATACTTTACTGCACACCGATGTCCAGTTAATTGTCCGTGGTATAACACTGAAGCCTGAACGGGTCTTTCTGTATGGGATGTGTAAATTGTAGAATTTACTTAATTAACCTCGAGCCATTTTGGTAACTACTGAACATGTAGTCCGAAATATCTTACATTTTCCTGGCTTCTTTTTAACGATTTGATATCAAAATCGTGAAAAAAAAAGCCTGGAAAACGTCAGATATTTCTGACTACTGAACATGCTGAAGTTATTGAAAAGACTGAGGCCAACGCCAACATTTTTTTAAAACGTTTGACTTTCTCATGTCTCTGAAGAGTTGTTGGGGGAGCGGGGGTATTTGACCCTTGGCAGTCGGTTTTGGAGGACAGACACGAAAAGATCATCAGACGTTTATTATATGAGCAGACATAACCGTATACTACTAGATGATAAACAAGCAATTTTATTGAGAGGACACAACTGTAAATTAGGTTTGTTTTTAATATATGTATAATACTACTATTAAAACTCATTGAAGGGGGGGGGGGGCACAACTGTAAATTAGCTTAATAAAATTTAACGATAGAATTTCGTTGGGAGAGTCGGTCGCCACATGCAAATGAAAAAGAGTCCGCGCATGCGCACACGCACAAAAAATGGCGATTTTTCGGCAAAAATGATGGGTCTACAAAAACTGTCTGTGCAAAGTTTTGGAAAGTATGGCAATTATGCCAGTACTCAGAAATGCTAAATAAAAGACTTTGGAAGAGATCGTATTTGTCAGAATTTTTATTTTATTTGCAAAAAAGGAGATATTTACTTTCAAAGTTGACGTTTGAAGTCAGGTCAATTACAGAGAAAATGATACGTTTGAGAAGTAAATATGCATAATAAAAGGGATATATATGCAAAATGGGATAATATATATTGTAACTGTTAAAAACTTGACTGAATTTTACACATAAGTTAGCATTCCGGTATTTTTATTTGTGTTAGACATCTGAATTGAACGCGTAAGTTCTTACCATCGTTATTTACCGATTTTTTATCACCAATGAACAGATATTATTATGAAAACATTTTTAAAACTATTGGCTATCAATATGAAATCTTTAAAAACCACTCTTCTAGAAATTATAAGGTCACAACATGTCTTCTAAAAATGAACCTGTGAATATCTCTGCCCCGTGGTGAAAAACACGCATTTTCTAATTAAAATAAATACAAGTTGAGTGTCTTCAAAAACAAATAAAAGCACCTATGTTGTAGGAACAGCATAAAATTTAAATCAAGGAGACAATAAATCAAATAAGAAAATAATTCTTACCGGCAGTCGTATATCCGATTTACTACTATGCAAGAGTTTGAAGCAATAAATAAGTCAATATCCATAAAATAATTTAATAAATATAATTATATCCATTCAGCAAAAATTAAAATAAAGTCCTAATGCACTAAATACAGCCATCATGCACCCCTATATTTGGAGAAAGCGAACGACAATCCATCGTTTGTTTATATCGGACGCCATTTTGCCACAATGCATGATGGAGCCAAAGACTTCGTTTTCGGAGTTCACGCCGTTTTTAGAGTTCGTCTAGACTAATATCTAAATGTTGAATTGAAGGTCAAAGCAATAGTCTTCTTCTTTCCATGAAGACGTTTTTGAATAAATTCTACCTGATATAAATATAAACACAGGTCGCGACTGTTTCTATCTCGGAACAATTTGATTTTTCCTGTCAGGTTTTGTATTACAGAGATTTTCATCAGTTTTGCTTCCGGTTTTGATAGGATCGATGAACGAAAAGAGTGTCAACCTTCCTGATGTCTTATGATAGAACAAACGTAATGAAAATGATGATGAAAATATATAAAAATCACTGGAAATGCAAATATTTAATATGACCTGCATAACAAGGAATTTCTGCGATGTAATTCATCAGTAAACATCGAATACCCGGCAGTGTATATATCTAAGTCGAGATAAAACAAATTGCGTTGGAACAGTATGATGTGGACATCTGCGGGTGAACGCTACCATTCTAAGCACAAGATAATTATAAAGAAATCAAATACAACACAGTAAAAGTATGCACTCCAGACAAATAGAAGGTTAAAAATACCAACATGGAGTCGGACCAGTTGAATTTGCAGGAAACACCTATTAACAAAACAAATGAACATGACTCCTTCATTCGAGACATTCAGGACAATCTTCCATCTTCATCCATTTATGTGTTTTTCTTGTCCATATTTCTAGCCCAGGCCTGGGTTGTTTATATCACCCTCTACAATTCACGAGTGTTTGGTTTGATTATTACCGTGATTGTCAACAAGTTTGTGAAATATGGGCATATTAAGTTTGGTATGTATTAAATTAAATCAAATTACATAATTATATACATTTGAATGAGAAAGCGCCTTAAATTATTTATTTAGGGCTGACAGTTTCCATTACCTGTTACCCGGGGCAAGTGAATTTTGGGTACTAGCTGGCATTATTATACCTCTGTGAATTTTTTCTACATAAAAGTATGACAAATAAATGTTTTATTTTTTTCTAAACAGCCCCTACCGTGGAATAGTTTTTGTGCTATTTGCCCATGGTGAAATAGTCATCAAACTATTCACCGGAAGCATTTCATTTCCCTCGTTTTTCATCTCAAAACTATATGAGTTGTTGTATTGTGACGTATCTGGTTTGTGACGTAACAAATTAAGTAAAGTCGGCTTCTGTATAATAAAACACCTATTTATTGACTATTCTGACAATAGCAAGTTTATCATCCCCCTCGACAGCAACTATTTCCCTCAGCTGCGCCTCAGGAAAAAGTCGCTGTCTTGGGGGATGATTAACTTGCTATTGTCCTCATAGCCAGTTAATAGGTGTATAATATTGAATTTTTAATAAGCACCTTTATTCAGGCAAGTGACATTTAAAAAAAATCATAGTTCAAGCTCATGCACGTAGCCATTATCAATTGGATTTCTATTCTTTATTTTTGTGTTCTTCAAATGTAATACTTGGTGGCCAGATATTTTTCAAGTGATACCATGGCAGTTGTCCAATTCACCTAATCTGTTCGAGTAGGTCTGAATCATACATGCCAACTTTTAAAAATCCCCGTGGAGGATTTTGCACGTAACAACAATTTTCAAAGCTTTAAATTTGCAACATTTTGTAATACATGTAATACACGGTATAAATGTTAATCCCATGTATTTTTTAAGAAAAAAGGTATCATTTTAAAAGTTTTATCGGAATGTAAATACGGGTTGGTCATGTGATCAAATCTCATAAAGCCCGAAGGGCTTTATGGTAGATTTGATCACATGCCAACTCGTATTTACATCCCGATAAAACATTTAAAATGATACCTTACTACTTATATTTACATTTGTGACTGATTTATTACAAATAGTAAGGTACTAAAGTTTTAAACTCATAAATGATTTATTTTTTTCAAAACTCAACGGTTTAAATCGAATGTGTTGAACATGTCGATCACTTATGACATCACTATGAAATTACGTAGATCGTTTATGACTAAACAATCAATTTATGATCACATGACGAACGTGTTTTACACAGGTGTAAAAACGCCTTGTTCAAATAGTGTTATATAAGAGAAAACATTTGCAAATGTAAATATTTGAAATTAAACTCAGAAATTTTAGGGTGAAAATGAAATATGGAGATAATGAAGAGTATTCAAGCTAAAAGTCCATTAAAACAATACAAATCGGGAGCAGAACAAACACAGACCTCCAAAAACAGAGGTGGGATCAGGTGCCATGGAGGAGTGAGCATCCCCTGCCAACCTGTCACACCCACTGTGTGCTCTTTGTCAGGGGTGAAATTTTTCAAATCGGTATATTAGGGCAACTTTGCTTTATGGAAGCAGGATCATAGGGTAAAATATGGAGGATCCCACCTAAATAGGGAAAGTTGGCATGTATGGTGAATGGAGTAAAACAGGTGACAATTTTCACCTGCAGGTAGCATAACAATTTTCCAAGATAACATACAATAAAATTCTCCAAATTATACTTTGTGCTGTACTGTAGGATTGCATGCATATACTGGAAATAACAAATATCCCATTTAGGCCTTTGGTAAAATCTACATTGTAAAGGCCCAATTTATGGAAGAGAAGGGGGTTAGGAGGCCTTTTGCCATGGTTTTGATATGATTTGTAAATTTTCATTTAGACCCTGTTTGGTCCACCTAGTTTTTGTTGCTGTAAGGTCGAACTTGGGTAAATTAGAGCATTTGAAAAAAAAAATTGCCGAAAAGTGTTGTAATGATTATCTAAATATTATGATAACATCATTCTTTCTGTATTATCTTGGTCAGGTTTAAAGTGTGTAAAATAAATCAATTGTCATAAATAAAGGGATACAGACTTTGGATAAATACTGACAATGAGATTGTTTGTAAAGGCCACACCCAGTCTCTGAATATTTATTTTTTAAAATACAAGTGTAGAAAATCATTTAATTTCTAAATTTATAGTTGCTAGACAAATATTTGGTCCTTTGTGAAACCTGCATGATTTACTGTAATCAGGGAAATTTCTGAATTATGCTAAGTGCACAATAAATTATATTTAAAAAATGGTTTTGGCTGAGAAATATCTGTGGGTTGCAAATGATTCACAGAATTAAAATGATTATGAACTTTTTATATATATATAAGTGAAAGTTCATGTCTTTATAAAATAAACTGTTGTGAAAGTTGTTGAAGAGAAATAAGATTTTACAGTTAACTCTAAGAATGATAATCAATATATATATTTTTTTTTTGATTATTTTTTAAATCAAAGAATTAGTTAAGGATCTTATACATGTATATACATGCAATATCATACAAAAACAATGAGAAAGAGTAGAAGGAAATCATATGTTGGATAATAAACTAATGACAACACAACACTTCTTTATAATATTTTATCACATTTTCAACAGTGAAATACTGTGATTTATTTATTGAATAAAAGTGTTATTCTCTCACAGTGTGAAAGGATACTAAAGTGATATTCTCTCACAGTGTGAATGGATATCAAAGTAAATAAAAAATGATTTCTGGCCCATCATAAGATAGAGATAGTAAACTAAACCTCTTGATAGAGACTAAAACTGCCAATTTTTCCCAAATATGTTGCTAAAATCCATGTTACAATGTTTTCAATCTCACAATTCCTTAACTATGTCGTCTCAACTATGACGTCACAGCCTATGGCACAGTGTTAAGATAAGTCAGAGGCAAAGAGAAAATCAAAGAAAATGTAATAAACAGAAAATTCAATATTTTTTAGTTGGATATGGAATTTATTTCACTCGTGTAACAGGATTTTTTTTTATATTTTCACTCGTGCTTCGCACTCGTGAAAATATCAAAAAATCCTGTCCCACTCGTGAAATAAATTCCATATCCAACTAAAAAACATTGAATATCCTCTATATATACATGTACGTGTATTCATTAAATGGAATCCTATCAGATATATGCTTTGAGCTATAAAACATAATATAAAAAATTTAATCAATCTTTAATCCTTGTTTATGAAACTTTTTAGGATCATTTTCCTTCTCTGTGTTGTCTGGGAAAATTATGCTGCGAGATTTCCATTACATAACGGAGGATTTCTCTGTACGGATACAGTATGGATGGATTATTTTTAAATGGTGGCAGAAGTATATCCCAAAAGATCTTAATGAAGGTATGTTAATTTACAAGTACTTGTATGTTGAATTGTTCAGAAGTTCCTTTGTAAATTAATTAACATATGTTAAGAAGCTTGCCATGGCATATAATTATAAAATTGTGCATTTACATCGGTGGTTTTATGCATCAATTCATTGTCTGTTAAATTTTCCTGTTTTTATAAAATTTTCCTGTTAGTAACAAATAGTGCATATATTGCACAGTTTGTGCTGGAAATTATATTTTATATATTTGCAGAAGTACTTAAAGGTCAATGTCTTTTTTTTCAGATTTATCACATATGGAAACAAGGGTTCAGATGTTTTTAGATGGCTTCCAAGTTCACGTCTACAATAAAACAGGCACATATGACAGACTTGATAAATTATTTGATGGTACTGCAGATTTAAGTGACCCAGTGCAGGAAGTTCCCATTTCCAAAAACAAGTGAATAATTTTAGTTTCCTCAGACCTGTTGATAAAACCAACACTATTGACTTTTTTCCCTATTGAAAATACATAAATGTTGCATGTTAATGTGCATTTTGTGTACAGCTGTTACAAAAGTACCATTAACAATGATAAAAAAAAAATTGAGTTTATATTTGCCAAATACAGAATTAATCGATGGTTACATGACTTTTGTGTTTATGTCCATTGTACATGAATAATCTTTTTTTAGTACTTTATCTTGTCTATGTACTGAACATAGATTTTATATCTTTTATAATAAAAATATTTGTTTAGGGAAGTACACACAATAATCAGATGATTGAGTGATAACTTCAGATTTTTTTTTTTAAGATTAAGGTATAAAATTGAAATTGACAACAAAATGTGAGATAATATATTGATGATGTTTGTATTTGAATTCCAGTGGCTCAGGGTTATCAAATGTAAACTGGAGAGATCTCATACCAGTAATCAAAGTAGAAATGTCGTCGGTAAGTCTATGCACATTAAGCAAGTCTGGCATTTGTGCAAAACCCTAAGTTTTGATATTTCAAACCTCATTTTTGTTGAATATTGAATACAATGAACAAAAGTGACTGATATCTTAAGTGATAGTTGCATCAAATTATTATGAAGTAACTTTCACAATTAGACATTATTTCGTTAAGATTTTAACTAAATTCATGATATCTTTATGAATTTTCTCTTTCAAAATTGATGTCATTGTTTTTGTGCCATATGAATGAAGTTTAATGGCAAAGTGGCATAAAAAAAGCAATTATTGAAAATTTTGCAGTCAGAAAAAAATGACTTTAAAAAAAATTTGTGTTTTACAGGGAAGAATTATTTTTGGAAATCACCTAGTTCCCCACTCACTGATATTCAGTTTTGAGGATGGACATTTCACCTACACTACAAAGCCAGCCTCCACCCCGTTTGACCAGTTTATGCATGATGCCATTGGTAGAGCAGAGAATTTTAAACTCATGTTTGTACAAAGTAACAAATACACAGGGCCACTTGATGAGTAAGTCTTCTACACAGTTTGAACTCTCTTTTGATCTTTTAGAGTTCTTACTGAATGTAAATTTATACATGTACTTGAAAATTAAAAGAACAGATGTATAGATTAAAAAAATTTCATGAATAAGGATATGTACAGCGATGTTTACTGGTCCTAGCAGTCTACTTGATTTTCAATGATACTTATAATAAATTTACAGTACTGTATCAAGATGCCTGTACATGAACATGATAGATGAAACTAGGATATATTGAAATAGATTCTGCACTATCTTCTTTCTTAGCTTTCTTTAAAATTCTTTCTAATTAATTGTAGAGCACCTCGGTACATGGGAGAAGGATTTATTGTTCTACAGACTAGAAAGATAGATGTACATTTTTATATGGATGAACCAGGTATTTGTTAAAAATATTATCTACATGTTGTCATATATTTTTCTATAACAGCATTTGAATTAAATGGCAAATGCCATATTCTCCATGTTTTCCATATAGCTCTGAGAAAAAAGCATCCAGAAGCTGAAGCGTCTGGATATTTGGCGTCCGGATATCTGAAGGTCTTCTGTACATAAAATTTTTTTTTTTTGTAGGTATTGTTCCTTATGAACCAGAGAGCGTAGAGCTAGCTGATGGAGAGACTGTTGTTCGCAGGACTTATCCTTGTCTTGGAATGGATGTCAAATGTGGAAAAAATACAGACATTAACTATGGTCCATGGGTAGATAAACAAAGGTATGATATTCAAGTAGACAACTTTTCAATTTTGGTGAATTTGACAAAAGCAAATATTTAATGGAATAGTTGTAACAAAATTCATTTTAATGAATATGGTTTTTTTCTTGATATTTAATTGTGAGACAATGTATATCTTTTAGAAAATGAGGGAATGTAGATTGTGATATGTAAGTTTAAAATGCAACAAGGTTAAGCTTAATTGCTGTGTAAGTTGGGCTGTATTTTTGACTGGAACAGATGGTTTGATTTTGTTTTAATAATAGGGATGGTAATTACTGTTGAGCTATTTTGATGTGGAACATTGGTTTATATTCTGTTTGATTTGAGACTAAATTTAGACTGTAATTTTAAACTGGATATTAAACTGTATTTAAACAGAACTTGATGTTAGTCTGTATTTTATAAGGTACCACAGAAGAGACATTATTTTGAAAGTAATTTTGTTTAACATTATATTTTAATTTTGACAAGGTTGGATTTAATACATGCCAATGGAAAAAAAAGGATTAATGTAATAGAGACCTTATGCTGGGCTGTATTTTTACAGGGAGTTGCTGTGGAAGTTTTTCTATCCAGCTGACTATCAAGACATGGTGCCAACAGAAGAGGCCAAACCAGGGGAATACAGAAACTATAAGAAATTTGAGTTCATGATTAACCTAATGCAGACCTCCACTGTGGACATTCTATTCACAAAAGACTCCGTGAGTCTTATTTTAATTAACAAAATAAACCATACTTTTAATTTCTTAAACAAAGAATTCTTTGCAATGAAGGGAAAGGGACGGATTCTTTAATTTTATTCATTTGGAAAGAAAAAAAATGACAGTATTGAATTTTTTTTCATGTTTTAAAAAATGTTGATGGTTTCTTCAAACAGGAAACCCAGGCAATTCACATGGGCACAGGTCAGGGGTCATATATTGAGGTCACAGTTCCCTGGGTCACCAGTCCTGAGGGTTACACCACCACAGTTCATGGTCAGCTACTTCTCGTGGATGCCACTACCAGTCTTCAATACAGGTCACTGGTGGAGTGTGAAACATTTGAGGTACATCTACAGTATTATAGTTGACTAAAACCACAAATTTTTAGCTTTGAAAGGACTGGAGTTACATGTAATATGCTTATTATCATTATGATTTGTTTAGATAATCAAGATTTTATCATGAGTTTGTGGCCAGTTACATATAACTAATTTTATTATACAGCTAGCTAGAGAACATATAAAAATGAAAATTAGGGTTCTTTTTTCTGGAATATTAGAAAAATATTTGTGTTTTTTTTAGTTCACAGTAAAAGCATTTTACCCAATAACTTGGAATGGCCATCAGGATTGGACCTGTGACTTCATTGCCTGTAAAACTACTGTCTGTCTGATATTCGAACACAAACATTTCTTCACTGGTATGTACATTTACATTTGATAAATATTTTATAATAAGAAAGTTACACTTACAATAAGGTTATTTCATTCAGCTTTATGATTAAAAGAAATGTATGATTGTACAATGTACATGTATATACATGTATAATATACAGTTGAACCTCAGTATCTAGAACTTTGATATCTTGAATAACATGTATACATGTCAAAGTGAATTGTGTGTCCAAACCACTTTAAATTTACATATTTCAACCCCAATATCTCACATCCTTGGATATGTCATAGTTTTTGTCATTCCCATAGAATATGAGATAACAAGGTTGACTGTATATATGCCAGTATATAGGAACAAACAAAAACTTTATACATGTATATGAGAATAATTTAAGAAAAATAAAATACTTGTATGAAAAAATTAAGTTGGGGGGTTGGGAAGGATAGGATTGTGAGTACTTTTGTTATCTTTTGAATTTTGTTTACACCCTAACAGACCTGATCAATGATTGGTCGGTGAAGACCGTCCCTGACATTTATCATTTTGTGCCCTACACCTGGACCATAAACCTACAGATAAAAGAGTTTGAGCTGATTTTACTGACCAATGAATACAACTGGATTGACACCTCATCTCATCAACCAGAAAATGGTCAGTTACTGGTATCAACATAGGAGATTTGTGAAAATGGTTTAAGAGAATAAAATTTATAGCAAATATAAACTATTAGGCCTTATGTATTTTGTACATGCTAACAATTGTGTGTTTTGTGATTTTAGCTCACATCGCTTTCTGTGGTGACCTGCTGGACATGTCTCTGATTCTGCCTTATGATGACTTCCTACCAGAAACAGTCCATGTTGGACTAGTCTTCAAGGTATGTTTGTGTTGGAAGTGTGGTTTTTGTTGCACTTCTTGTATGCTTTCTAAGGATATACAACTTCCTGATTTAAAAAGATTAAGATGTTTTTCACAAACATTAGTTACTGTAGCAAAATATTTTGAAAATTAATTGCTTAAATTATGATATTAAAACAAACTGTTCCCTCATAATGCCATTGTATGGAATACTTTTATTAAATTTGAGTTACGAAAGATTGATTCCCTATATGAACAATCATGTTAAATATACATGTACTGAAAATTTCCTTTTTAAAATGGTTTTCAACTTGTTGTCTTTGTGTTTTAGGGAGAAACGGCATTTTGTCGCCTGTATCTACCAGAAAACAACACCAGTCGCCATGTTTTACTAGCTCTGTCTAAAAACATGAAACTGATGGATCGTAATGGACAGATCATAGAAGATCCATTTGGAACAAAGAAAAAGCAATGGAGAAGAATGACACAGGCCAGGTAAAATGAGATGGAAAGATTATAAAAGGTTCAAACTCTATGTTACTTGTACAAGTGATGATCTCTTTTGAACAAAGTTATATGACTATATGTATGTACATGTATATACACTGTATGTATGTATTATGTATGTATGTTAATGGCTGTGAAAGATTAAAAAAAGGGATTTGATAAGATCCTATATACTGGTAGTAACTGTGTTTGGGTGTGTAAGAGGAATCAGAAGATTTACATATGTAATTAGAGTAAAATCAAACTTCCAATATTAAATACTGCTGGTGCCCAAATGAATCTGCAATTCGATAGTGAAACTCATGATATGTTTACAATCCTTCATAAGCAGTTGGCACAGTTGTATAAGCCAGATCACAGCACATCTGAAAAAAGAATTTGAGAATTCTTCCTGTCAGTCTAGCAACAATGAATTCAAAGTAGTTTTAGAATGGCACTTGTAAGTTTTATTCTAAGGATTATCATCTCATTGACAGTGATGGTTGGATTGACTGTTGGACCACCTCTAATGTTGCCATCAGTATTGGTTATACCTATCATCCCATGCCTGTTCTACTACAACAAGTCCCCCAGTCTGGGGATGAGGAGTCCCTTTTGGCCCCCCTTCGTCCCTCCAAATACCTTCACCCTCAGCCACCGGATAACTTTGACCCTGGGGAGATGGAATCAGACTTGATTGCAGTGGAACTAGAAGTAGCACCTTCCATGCTTTGTGTTTATGGTTCACTTCTAAGAAATTTCCTTCATGTCAAGGTTTTGAATTTATTTGTCTTTTTTTTTATTTTCCTCTCAATTAGAAGACAGACATTTGATGAACACACAATATTTGAAATACATGCCATACATGTAACTAACTTAAATTGTCAACATACTTTGATAATACTGTTACGGTAAAAATTTGACATAGGTAGTATTTTTTCGAAGTAATGAACAATATTTAATTGTAATGATAGCATATATGAGTATTATTTGTTTTGCAGGAAAATTATTTAGGAGAGGATCAGAAATTTACAGATTTTGAGGATGGCTCCCAGACCCCAGGAAAAGAGGGACTGGGGAATGTGGGTCCCCTGTTTGTAGAGGAGTGTGATTTACCAGGGCCATTTGATGAGAGATACTACCGTCCCTTTGCTGTCACTGTGTCTCTAGCTATACATGATGTTCACGGACATCTGGTGAAGGTACATATATAATTATGTAATCCTGAATTGATTTTGTAGTCATATAGAGTAGAACTTTGGTATCTCAAACACCGATATCTCAGATACCATGGAAATGCCAAAATGATTTGGAAATCCCAACCACTTTTTCTTAGTATTTTACCCTAAATATATGGAATCCTTGGATATCCCAAAGTTTTTTCTCTGTCCTATCGAGTTCGAGATAACGGGGTTTGTACAATATTTTATATAACAGTTGCAGCAATATAATTGCTATCTTTCCTTGTTCTGCAATGCAATAATGAATCTTTGATGGATAGTCATGTGAAAAAATTATATGTGATATTTATTAGATGCATTGAGTGACATAAATGTAGTGTGCATTCATTAAAAATTTGTCAAAATGAACATCTGAAACTTGAGAAATAAACAAAAGTTAATATCTTTGTAGAACTGTAATGTTGATAGTTTGCCTTGTCCAAGCATCATGTTGGAGAGGCTCTGCTTTGAGATGGACAAGGCTTACAAGGAAACAAAACTACAACTTCTCTTGTCTCCAGCAATCCTTATTGCAAAGGACACATTCCAGGTAAGACAATGAACTTGCAGTCAAGCACAGTTTCTTGCTATATGGGTCAGCACAGTGAACTTACAGACAAATTACATAGAACACTTGTTCATAATTCAACATTTCTATTATCCAGCAGTATTTGCAGCAGTTAGCAAGAATTTTGATTAGTAAAAATATACAGCTATACTGTATTGAATTGATTTGATGTTTGGATTTGATACACACACAATACATGTATTTGAATGAGTTACAAAATTGGTATTTTCAGTGGATTCTTTAAGATTTACTCTGTTACTGAGCTAAGCTACATCATTTTGTTTCAGAGGGATAATGGGGCAAAGCATCTAAATGAAGGTCACCTTGGGTTGTCAGGGTTACAGGTCAGAGGTCATGCCATGTTTTCCCATGAGGGCTTGCCCCTGGACAGTGAGACCTTAGAGTATGGTTGGTTAGTAGAGGCCATTATTGGTGACCTGACTGGGAAGCTCACTTCTCCTCAGGTAAATTTTATCTCACTTTCTTCATATGAATATTTTTTTTTTATTGAAACAAAGAATTATTAATCTTTAATGAATTTAGCATCTCTTTTTTTTTTTTTAAGCAAATATAAAATGGACTAAGTTATGTTTTTTAGCAATCTATATGTGTCTCTTTAAGGGTTCTCAATTTACAAGGATTTTGAATTTTATACAATGTATTTTAATCTGTGTTTATCTAATGAAAATGAACATTTAATTGTCATGTAATACTGTTAAAAAATTGATAGATTTGCATAAATTTTATATACTGTATTTATTTCCCTATTATCATTGATATAGCTCCAGAATCTGATAGAGTTTATACAAACATTCATCATGCTGGTGGAGGATCCAGAGAATTGCATGGAGAGGTCTGTCCCTTACAGATTCTGTCAACACATGCTACCCCAGCCCCAGTGTCGAATGCTGCCTCAGTACAATTTCCTTTGTCCAACCTCAGAAGAGATCAAATACCAGATGGTCAGAGTATCCCTAGACTCTGTCAACTTCTGCCTGGTAGAGACTGGGACTGCCCTAAATGTCCAGGTCAGTTGCAGCATAATAATGTCCTTTTTTAAGAATGATTTCTTTTATTGTGCATAAAACTCAACTTGTCTTTAATAAATTTGAGATTTCAGTTAGTACAGTATTATATGAAAGGCATCACATGGATGGTTAATTTACATTGAACCTATATGTACTTGATACATATACATAATAATGTACATTGTATATAATGAATAAGTTAAGATACATGTACATGTATGTATAGGCATTACTTATGTTTGTTCTTTTTTTTTAGGTCAGTACAGTGAAACTGTCCACCTGTAACTTACATGGTACCAACACAAGAGCAGGCATTACAGGGAGAATAGAAAATTTTTCACTGCGGCAGTTCATCTCATCCGCTGTCCTCAAAACCGATGAATCCCATCCAGAACTTTGGCTGGAGTCTGGAAGTTTAATATTTGGACCTTTAGATGCTGAGGCTGCTATGGCTCTACCTAATCCAGACTTCCATGCTCTTCAAGACAAATTCTTGAGGATTCATGACAAAAAAACAAAAAGATTGTGGTTTCTTTGGCCAGTAAGTGAACTGAAAGTTCAGCCGACTGTTGTGGGCAAGTGTGGGTGTCATGGAGGATGTGTTTTCTTTGGAAGTAATAGAAATGGTGTAGGATTTTTCAGTCATAGAAAATCCAAAGATCCATCTTCCAGGGCAATCCTTCAGGTTTCTCCTCAGGGGCAAGATCCAGGTTTTGGACAGAGTTTATTAGTCAGAGACAAGCTGGTATTTGAAGTTCTACCCAATAATGGGGAACTTTCACCATGTAAGAATTTCACTTTCACCAGAGGTTACATGAGTGACATGTTAACTCCAGAATCCCCAGGAACTAATATAACTGTGATAGAAGATCCCTCTTTGAGCCTCGGTCAAGCTGGCTCCACACCTACTGTAAGTAAAGTGGATCATGACCAAGCTAGTGATATTGGGACTAAAGATCAAGTAGATTCAGTGAAAACAGACTCTTCGGACAAGACAGTTAGTCCTGGATCAGATACATTTCAACAAGATTCTCTCACCAGTCCAATATCTGAAACTCGTAGCCTGGTGTCAAGGCTAAGTAGCATGGAGGAAGGATTTGGTAAACAAACATCTAGTGTCACAAGTTCACCAATACTTGGAGGAAGAAGGAAACTATCTGTTGATTTTGAGGATGTCAAGTCATCTAGAACATCAATATCTAATGCATCAAAGTCTTCACCCAAGAGTTTAAGACAGGAGAAGGCATATTCAGTTGTGTCTTTAGAGAGTGAGAGGTATTACTCTGCAGAGGAAGACAATTTGGAGAATACCACTGTTATGTCAGGTGGCAGCATTGATAACAGCATCTTATCCACTGAAAGTCAAGATCAGACACTAAGATCAGTAGACACTGATCCATCCAATGAAACTGTTATCTTCCAGCCATCCACAAAACCTTTGGTGGAAAGACAGGAAAGCGGATCCACAACAGCCTCAACACTGTCTTTTGAGTCTGCCGCCACAGAACAGAGTGACTATTCTGATGAATTAGACTCTCAAGAACTCTTAGAGAATTTCTCTATGGTTGATTTACATGGCCAAGTGAATAAACCAATCACAGAATCTCCAATACTCATGAACTGCTACTCAGGTCACCTGACTCAGTATGATTGCAAGGATTGGTCCTCTCCTCAGCCAATCCATGGTTCTGGTGAGATGAAGCACAACCAATCAGCATACTCCCTGTCTTCAGTTAGTCAGTCTCAGCAATTCATACATAGTCCTGCTTGTCTACCACATTTCAGAGGAATAAGACAAGGGTTCTCCACAGGACTAATGACAACGAAAGAGAAATCAATTCCTGATGCACAAGATCCATGGACAGCTACAGATGGAAATGTTCCACATGGTAAAGAAATTGTAATATTTAATGTACATGTAGTTTTTAATTTAGAAAAATAAGAGTACCTACAATGAAATCAATTAAATTAATATTCATTTGATAAATGTACATGCATTTCAATGTGTTTTACAGGGGTGATGGCAGAAGAAACACTTTTGGAGAATGCCTCTATTACAACTGGGGTGGTCAAACTTCATGGCTCAATGGACATAACTATCACACCACTCTTCCTAGAATCTTTCCAAAGGTACATTATTATTATCCCGTATCCAATGAAGTTTATAAGTTAAAATTATACTGAGAATTTTCTGAATAACCCCCAATTTTTTCTGTGTAAATTAGATATGCTGAAGCAGTGACACCAACTCTAGAATCACTTCATCCAAACTCCATCATTGATGGTCTACACAGTCAGTGCCTGGAGCGACTGAAGCGGCAAAATAGACTTAAGAAAGAGAAGAGTTCTGAGGATGGCACAGAGAAGCTGGTTCCGGAAAGACAATTCAGTACCGAGAGTCGTAACCAGGAGGGACATATGAAAACATCAAGTATACAGGCACTGCTCACAGTGTCTAAGGTAGATATACAGGCACTGCTCACAGTGTGTAAGGTAGATATACAGGCACTGCTCACAGTCTCTAAGGTAGATACACAGGCACTGCTCACAGTCTCTAAGGTAGATATATACAGGCACTGATCACAGTCTCTAAGGTAGATAAGTGCTTAACTCCAAAAAATGCCCTCGGTTGGTTAGCTCCAAGGGTTCTTTAGATGTTGCTGTATCTGTGCAGTGTTTGAACAAATTACATGTTTCTTGGATTTGTATGTACATGTTAGATAGATTAAGTCATTATCCAGTAATTTCAATTGATATTGATGATATTAATGATTCTAAATCAGAAACATTATACTTGTATATACATGTAGTGCTTCGGAACACATATTGTTACTTTGTCCTAGATGTACAATTTTCATACAGATATACATGTATCTTTTTTTCAATTTTTATATATTAATTATGCACTCTGTCCTATTTTCAGATCAACATTTGTGTTTTACAAGCTGGATTAGTAGAGGAGGTCATCTCTTTCTCAGCTCTGGATAATCTTCATGACTTGACCTGTGTCTCCCTTCTGGCCCTGTGTATAGACAATGTGGAGTGTCAGTTACTGTCCAATAGTCACTCTTGTAAAACACTGACAGATTCCATTCAGGTCAACAACCCACAGATGTCCCCCAAAAAGAGGCCAGGAAGAACTTCAACAGAAATCAATTTTACAGAGAGACAGGCAGAGAAACAGCTAACGGAGGTTTGTCGAGAAGAGGATGTTGGGACTCTGAAGATAGCCAGAATTCATCTACAGTTACAAAGACTTCTAAAACATAGTAATTATATGGATGACATTCATTTGACAGCTATCCCTGAGCACAGGTCAAAAGTTTTGTTTAAATTTGATGAATTCCCAATCTCAGGAGCTTCAGGGTTTATGAAGATAAGGCGTAGTAGTAGTGCCAGGAAAGATTCTGTGGTGAATTCTCCAAAATCAAGACCAAGCAGACACTCCTCATTTAGCAGACAGACTAGTCGAGACAGTGAGGGAAGAGGGGGAACTCTACCCAGACTCTTCAAACAGGGCAGTTTTGAGGAAGAGAAAAGGCCACCAAAACTTCGAAGACAGGAAAGTAGAGAATTTTATCACAGTCATGACAGAGGCATTGGGTATATAATGTTTGAATGCGGATTAGAAGAAATCAAAGCCACTGCTGTTAGGAGACTGGGGTTTAAAGATATCACTGATGCAGATTTTCAAAGGAAAATGGACAATATTTCCAAGAAATTGGAAGATATTCAGAACTCTACAAAGCATGAAATTAATTGGCATCTAGGTGATAGAAAGGAAAAAGATTCCCCAACAAAGCGAGATCCTCCCAAAAGGCAGGATGCTACAGATGTATCGTCTGTTCACTCTTGGGATTCAAGGTAGAGCAAATCAGATTCTCAACAAATGAAAATTTTAAATTTTGTCATTTATGTATTTGTTTATTGTCTTCAGGACTTGTGTCTTTGGAAGGCATCCATGGTGATGAAATTGGGGAAAAGTTTTGCATATTCTTGTTTCATGTAGTTGGGCTAAATGGAACTCTACATTGAACTGTTTGATATTAAGTAGAATACCAACTACTTGAAACTTTTGCTGATATCATTTTTTTTAATTTTTGACAATATTTTATATTCTTGTGATGTTTCCTTTAGTGGCACCAGTCTTTTAATGTTTTGACACCATTTCTCCAATTTGGGAATAAGCAGTATTCTCATTAATATTTGTGTGATGTACAATACAGCATTTAGCTAAAGTTTAGGCATAAATAAAACATAAACATGAACAATCTCTGTTTTAAAAATGATTCTTTTTGTACATATAAAAAAAGTACATATTATTTGGTTTCTGAGAAAGTTAAGAACTCCCTTTCAGATAATTGTTAACATCTTTGATAATATTCATCTTAACAATTGTGTGTTTTTGTAATTCAGGGTATCCATTGTTGTGTGTTTTCTGTAATTCAGGGTATCCATTCCATCAAGTTGCTCTAGTATGGGAGACACCCATACAAATGAGGATCTGAAGGGGGACGCTTCCAGTGGAATACTAGAACTACATACCATCTGGCTCAACTTTGCTGCTCCTCCACCCATTTCAATCAAACGCAAAGTCGACTTTACAAGGTACGGCACTAGAGATCCATGTGAATCAGTTACATATTGTAATTTGTTCTACCGTATAAGCAGAATTTTTAGCAAGGATTCAATTTTGGCATTATTAGCAATGGTGTTGGGATCGCTTAAATTGCATATTGCCAACAATTCATTCAGCACTAAGGAGGAAAGGCTATCTTGGAAGATATTGTCCAATCGCTAAAATTACTTCTCGTTAAAATTTTATACTGATTTTTATGGCTAAATTGCTAAATTTGCATCTCGCTAAAAATTCAACTTATACGGTAAATGTACTTGTATATCCTTAGTAAGAAGTAATGGCATTATTGTATAATTATGAGCAGGTGAGCCTAACATGAAAAGACAGTGATCACACAAAACAAGAATCACATTAAAAATTCTTCCATGTTCAGCTAAATTTTCACTTGAACGTGAAATTAACATGAAAACTTGCACATGAGTTAAACATGAAATTCATTTGAATTTTCACATGAAACTCATTTTCACATGAAAATCATGTGTGTACATGATTGTTTATCAGATAAAAATCTCCCTGTACATTTTCATAGGCTAGACTGGAATCTTCTCAGTACTGCTACAACTGCCATTAATGCCTGGTTGAACCCAGCTGACCGTTTGGTGACAGAGATCAGGTCAATGATTTTGACCCTTACCCACAGAACAAGTTCTGTCATTGCCTGCATAATGACAAATGCCCTGGAGGTAGAAGGAATCAAACTACCCAAAAAGGTAACTGTACATTGGTTGAAACAGTTTTGTGAGGTTTTCATTCAGAGATTTGCTGAGGATGAAGTCTGTCCCCATTTCTGTTTTATGAAGGAATACATTATTGTAAAAAAAAAAAAACACAGAACTTTTATTGAATTTGAATAACTGAAGATCTCTATGAAATCTGATTTATAACAATCTAATCTTGGAATCATTTAGAGCAAATACAGTAAAGTGACAACTCTTGCCTCAACTCTACTGGAAGAGCCTTCATGCCAGCTGCTAACAGCATTAAGGAGGTACCTCAACAAGGTGGGAACACAGCCAGTGGAGGAGGCGGTGGTATCTGACACCATCCCCCAGCTCATCACAATCCAGAAAGGCATCCTAGCCCTCACCAGGCAGTGGAAGAACCTCCTATATATGCCTCAGATGTCTAAAATCAATTTTAAAGACAGGAAAAGTGTCCGACCTTACACTGTGAAATTTGCTCTTCCTGTTAATGGAGATGATGACCTGCGTGTTGAACTAGAGAGCACAATAGAACAAATGGATACGGTGGATGAGCATGCCTCATTACTTCTGTCTGAGGAGAGGTCTGTCCACCATTCCACATCTGTTCCGAGTTTAAATGAGAATGTGGAGCAGCCAGAAGCAGAAAGCAGAAATTCTTCAGTGAGACGGAAAATTCTGGGAAAGGTTCACCAATCTGCCTCAGGGACACCTCCAACAACTAGCCTCTTTGATTCACCAGACAGAAAACCCACGTTGTTTAGTAAGCTTAGTGCTAACCTTCAGACACCAAACATAGCCAGAAATGAAAGTACATACAGTTTCCACTCAGCAGCAGCAAGTCTGACCAGTTTAGAAGAAACTCCACCTGCTACCCCAATGAAAGTAGAATTACCAAAGGCATCTATTTTAAAGAACAGAGAGGATAAAATCAGTGATTTGTACCACTGGATGGCCATGCAAAGGGATGATGAATTCCAGCAACCCTATGATGATAATCCTACAATGAAGAGGCATGATTCACTCATCAATGCTTTTGGAAGTGCTTGGAGTCAAGACGACAGTAAGCTGGATCTTACAGACCAGCAATTTAATTCTTTGACATCAATCATGCAATTGGCTGATGCACAGAGCTTTTTCAAACCATTCTTGCAAAGTGTTGGTCTGCATGTTGAAGGAGTCAGACCCTCAGCAATGATGAAAAAATTTGGTGGAGTTCTGTCTTTAGAAGGAAAACTGAAATACCTTAAGATTGAGATTTCGGATTCTGGAAAAAGAAAGGGTAAAGGGAAAAGTAAGAAACATCGGACAAAATTATTGAATCTGACTGATGAGATGCCAGCTTTTATGTGCCATGACTTCTGTGTCAGTGTAGGAATGAAGGATGTGATAGATTTTGATAGCAAAGAATCAGGAGAGACATTCGATCCAAACTGTCAGCTTAATTTTGCCATGCACAAACTAGAAGCTAAACCAACAACTTTGCAAGTGAATTTCATGATCAACTGTAATTCAGTGACTCAGCATGTGGATATGCCTTTGTTAAGGCTTATACACCAGTTTGTTACAATGGCTGAAAATGTGGAAGAAACTCGTAATGAACTAAAACAGAGTAATTCTACTGGTGAGTGGACAAAAACTCACAGGAAGCAGGGATCAAAAGGATCTAGCTCTAGTGCAGACACCCAGGCCTCTAACATGTCAGAGGGACTCAGTCCAGTGTCAACAGAAATAACTCCCAGTACACCTAGTACATGGAAACCAGACATTAGTGTGAAGCAGTCTGTTGCTGTTAAGCCTAATACTTCTAAAACTGAATCAGAAAAATCTCCAAGGGAGGAAAAGTCCTTAGGGGAGGAAAAGTCCTTAAGGGAGGAAAAGTCCTCACAAGGAGGAGTAGAAAGAGGAGGACTGACAGAGAGCCAGTCAACTGGTGTCCTCACTCCTCCTCAGTCCTTGAACCTCAGTGAGACGGTGACAATAGATATAGAGGAAACATCCTCACCTGCAGTAACAGAGAAGACCTTCATTGATGAGATCCATGCCACTACTCCTAAATGCTGGAAAACATTGTATCATTTGCTAGAACTGTATTCCACCATGCCAGAACCCAAAACAGTCAAGAGGAAGCCATCCTCAAAGTTACCAGTCATCGAGGAGGAATCAGAAGCTGAGGTTCATGAGGAAGGGGAGGAGCCACAGGAAGTGCCCTCAGATGAAAGTAAGACTGGAAATAATGCTAAGCTTGAGGACCTAAATGAGGAGGAAAAGAACATTGGCATACCAAGTAAAGCCAGGCAATCTATCACCCAAGCCAGATTCAAACAAAGTAAGTTCTTATGGAGATAATCAGTAAAGGAAACTTAAATGTTTAATGAAACTGGTCTTAATAAAATCAGTTTTTCAAATTATGTATTTTTATATTTTGTACAAAAAAAACCCCCATCAATTTTGTGTCATCAACTGAGCAGAACAGATGTTAATATGTTCATCTGTCAGTCATTCTAAACAGTGGTTATTTCATAAACATTGGGTGAATTCACTAAATGGTCTTGAAAGTTCCTATTTATATGAATTGCTACTTGTTCCATCTCATTGTAATAATGCCACATTCTTAAACAATGAGTAAATCATTCAGACTTTTGTGATATTTCACAGGTATTTATGTTGGAGAAACAATTCCTTTGGTTGTGTTTGGCATTGCTAAAGTAGAAGAAGTTAAAATCCTGGCAGTTCTGAGTGGACTGAAGCTTGAAGCCAAACTGAAAAATGTGCATGCCAGTGGCACTTACAGAGAAAAAGTGAAAGGTGGGTTTACACAGTGGATTGATGATAAATGATTCTTAATATCTTTGTAAAAATTTTGCCTTGAAATTGAAATTAAACATGCCTTTTTTCCACGGGGTCATATTTCCATGAAATTTCTGTTCAATCAGTTCAATCAAGTTGAAAATTAGGCAGATGTCTTGGATTGCCATTATATGACTCAAGTGTGCTATAAGTACACTGTGACAAATTTTTCCTTGAATATTTGTGACCTCCTTCATAGCGTAAATTAGTTTCACATGGAAAAATGTGTATCTACAGTATATTCAAATTAGGTATGTTTGCATGTAAGAGCTAGATGTATGAGTTACAGTACTGTAGATCTTTGGCATTACAAACATTGATATGTGTAATATCAGGTACCTCAAAATAAGTCAGTGATCCCAACTTTATTAATATCTAAAGTCCCACCTTTGATGTTTGGAACATGCAGAATTGATTTGCATGAATTGACACATTGAATTACTTTTGAGAGTCATTTGATAAGAATTTTGAATTTATTACATGAATATTGTAGGTTTTGTCCAGAGAAAGTCATCAGAATCCTCAGTCACAGCTCACATTGGACACACCTTGGTACAGCTGTTTGAGGGGATTCCCCCAGAAATGAAGTAAGAAAAAACATTAGAATTTTTTTTAATGGGGGTGGGGGTTGGAATGATGACCACATTAGCATCATTACAGATAAAGGGAAGCATTATATACATGTATTTAGTTTTATTATTTGTATTGCATTATTTCTTTAATTTGATTAATTTCTGCTTATATTTTATAATTTCTTAAGAACACTGTACATATACATGTATTATAAATATGTGTTATTAACTACTTAGACCTCTGCATATTCCCAAATCTAAACTGTAAGTAAAAACTGTGTTTTAGATTAGACAGTGTAAATTGACTTACATTTATATAAGTGGTGAAATCCATTGAATTCACATGAGTTAGATTTTCAGCCTAATACATTCAATTTGATATCTTGTTATACATGTACTAGGTATGTATAATTATGTAACTTTGTTTTAACTGCCAGTGGGTTTTTTTTTCATGATACTACTAGTAAATGTTTCCTAACTATGTTATCATGGTTACTGCCAGATACCAAAAGTCATTCTTATCAATTCTTGACATAAATTATGAAAGAAGTCATATAAGAATAATTTAATTTTGGTTGTAACGGGTCATTTGATTGTATAAAAATTTAGTTTATAGTTTTCAGTTCAGGTGTAGAAGATAAGACAATTCCTCCTTCAATAATGACCTCAGATTGTACATATTTGAATTCGAAATGTAACATCAAGCGGATTGATACATGTACATTTTTGACATAGGCAACACAGGTGTGTTTAGAATTAAATGTATATACATGTATATACATTTGAACAAAGAGTACATGAAAAAGTGCACAAAAGTTTAATGGCTTTATACATGTTTGTGAATTACCTATGCTCCAATGAATAATTACCTCTTCGAATAGCTAAAAAGTTATTTCAAAAGTATGATTTGTATGTACTTAAGAGTATGTCTACAAGAAAAACCATGCAAAGTGTGGTGGGAGTAAGGTTCTCTTATCAACTTCATATTTTTTATGTAACATTATGCATATACATGTATATCAAATAATTTGTTGCCCAAAAATTGTGTTGACACTAAATTGGACTCTGAAACAATGTTACTAAGAATAGCATTTTTCATCTTCAAAGGGGAAAATTATGTAAATTCTATCCAATGGTATTCTTTTTCTCAAAATTTTATTAAAAATTGTAAGTGAATTTAAAAAAAAACAACTCATTTACTGATACCTTAACAATGTGTTTTGCTGTTATTAGAAATATGTACATGTATTTATGAAGAAAACTGTTTAATGAGTTTTCTAATTTTGATTACATGAATCTAACATACTGTTTGTACCTTTCATTTAAAACAGACTGTTGATAAATTACATAATGTGTGAGGTTATCAGTGCATACTGTAAACAAAGTGAACAATGACATGATTGTGTCTTTTGATGCATAACAAGTGAGTTAAAAAAATTAATGATTGTGTCTTTTGATGCATAACAAGTGAGATAAGATAAGATAATATTTATTTAAAGTTGCCAATGGGTAAATCAACAAGGAACATTAGCTCTGAAGAGCTATTTTCCGACTACATGTATAAAAAAATTACAGTCATGTGTCTTTTGATGCATAACAAGTGAGTAATATATTATTGATTATGTTAAATAGTTTCATGCAGTTGTTTCTAAGAAAATTTGAATTCACCTAAAATTAAAACTTATCTAACATATCCATTGTTTATGATGTGTATGTTTTTCATTTTTTAGAAAATTGAAATAAATATTGATTGTCCACAAAATATTTTAGTACATTATTATGCACATGACACTACATGTACATGAATGTTTTGATGTCTTTACAGAACAGTGGTCACTGTTAACATTGATAAGACCCAAGCTCTACATACAACCATTTTGAGGAGAGGCAAGGAACATAACTCTGCCATGATTTCCGTAGGAATGATCGAGGTGGATATTCCACAGCACCCTGTGGTTCTCCACGGTATGATGACGAGGGGCTCAAAGCAAATCTCCAGTACATTACAGGAGTTCAGAAGACCAGTGTCTAGATCAAGGTAATAATTCTATAGGGCAGATCAGTGACAGAAAAAATATTTTGTTTAAAAGACATGTAGATAGCAAGAGTGCATTATAGAAAAAAGGAAAGGAAAGATTTGTTGTAACAGTATGTCGATCATGCTGATTTTGTAAGACAAAAATGTAAACTGTGTGGTAACTGACAAAAACTTTATTTATCAGCTTTTGTATTCAGAAATCTCTTCCTATCAATTCTATTTTAATTTCGTGCAAAGTACTGTATATTGTAGTTATATGCAAGTTCAAATTTTGTCTCTTGATGTCTCTTGTGTAATTGACACTCTATAAAAATGATAACCATTTGAATTTGTTTTTAGTCGAAATTTAGAGACTGTTCAGGAAGTCAGCAGTGCAGAGACTTGTACTGGTGAACCTGTCCGTAAACCAAAGGTCCCGCCCAAAGAGGAGGAAAAACTCAATCGTCCCAAATTCCTCCACATCCATGTCAAGGCCGTATTTCAAGGCCTCATCACAGGGGCTTCTCTGTTACCCTCTCTTAAAGCTCAACACAAGGTTAGGGAAGATATTAGATAATCATACATTTATGTATTTTTTTATGCTTGATTCCTACAATTTCAACTTTAATTCTTTGGAAAGTTCCTTTAAGCTAAGTTTCAAAGAAAAAAATGACAATTTTATCAATACTATAAGATTGATTTTCAATTTAATAATTGAAAGTGTGATGTAATTTTGGGATGTATTACCTGTGCATCAGTTTTAATTAAGGTAAATGTAGTCAAGTTATTAATTATTCTCTTCCAGACTGGCCCTGTTTCCCTGAGTGGAATGACTGGTAAAAAATCCCGATTTACAATGGATCTCCAAAAGCACCAACTCAGCTTTAAATCCAAGGTGATATTCATTTTACTAAATAAATGTTAATTTTATTATTTGTTTGTGAGCATTGTCTGCCAGCTGATGTTTAAGGTTCAATTTGTCAAAATCATTGTCCTCTGTTACTGTTTCCCTTTTGATGAATTTGTATGTCACCGTGGCTGCCAACTTCGTCATCATAAACATCATATTAATCTCCATTTTCATCATCAGTGTCTTTGTTATGATCATCAGTGTTGTTGTAAATATTATTTTTGATAATTGTTGCTTTATGTAAATTTTCTTTGTGTAATTATACTATATTAATACTCAATATTAATCCTGTCTATAGCGGGGTGATCTATACAGAGAGGTAGGTACAGTGTAAATTCACCTTGGTGACATCACATCTGGTGAAAAAGTATGGCTGACACAAAATTTTCAGTTCTTGAAAGACACTTTGCTGCTTCTTTGTATTTCTTGCAGAAATGATTTCTATCAGTTAAAAAAGCGGAGAATATGATAAAATGATTTCTGATTAGTTAAAGAGTAGAGAATGTGATGAAATTTAGACTTTATGTTAGCATATGATAACACTGGTTAAAAAGCAGAGAATGTGATAAAATCTAAATTTTATGTTTACTTAGCTTAAAAAAATTAGAATTTTTTTTCTAATTTAACAGAAATTTAAATTTAAGAACAGACATTTGATCAAATTCCAAAACAAAAAGAACAGAAGCTTGCTTCATCACTGCTTTAGTCTAATAATTTTACAGTAGAAATGAGTGTTCAAGGTGTTAAGCATTTCAAAATACATGAGTTGATACATATATTAGCAGTAATTTGCCAAAGTTAGAAAAAGCCAAAGATGATAAAGCAATGTAATGCATACTCAATTTGACTGTTAACTGGATTTTTTTTTTTAATTGGAGTGTGATGTAAGAATTCTAATCGATTCTGTTCATGCAGATGTACAGTGTAGTCGCTGATTTCTTGTGCACACTTTGAATTGCTTCTTGATACATGACTTTAAAGTTAAACTGTTCACTTGAAACTATACATTTGTTAAACTTGTACATGTTCTTTTTATGTCAAAATTACAACTCTTTCTCTACTAATCTAAGGCTCTTTCTTAATGCAAAGAGTTTGAAGACTAAGTGATTTTAAAACTGAAATTACATATCACAACTTGTTTAATTTGTGTCATATAATCTATCGTAATATGTTCTCATGCAAAATAGATGCTTTGATCTACTCTTCATGTATTGACCTTAGCTAGGTGATTAAAATCAGATGATGTATAAAAAAGAAATTGTTTTTAAAAAATTGTCATGATGTTGAAATCATGTTTTAGGTGCAGACAACTGAAACCTCCCTTCCCTCTGAGGCGGAGATAGAGCTACCTCCCATACACATGTACGCTGACTACCGACCCCACAAGCAGAGTGAGACCCCATCTGACAAGCTTGGGGAGGGGCTGGTCCTTAAGGAGGGAGACTTCTTACATGCTGTGGCAGAGATAGGAATGCTGGAACACAGTCTGACTACTGATCTTCTCAATCATTTAGTCTTTGTGCAAAAAGTTTTCATGAAGGTATTGTGTAAAAAAAAAATATATTGTTCATGGTATTAAACAGGCATATGAACAAATTGATTTGAACACTTTCCAGTGTTTATTACTGTATACAAGGTTATTTTCACCCTGTGTTATTTTCACTCTTTTAAAATTAAAAAATTTCGCCTGTTTTAAATTCACCCAGACACAGTTTTGTTAAAGAGTTTATGCTTTCTTGAATTTGCCCCATTTTAAATTTGCTCACTTGCGACATGGGCGTAAGGGGCAAAAATTTCCCTGTCTGCATTACTGTAGATTCCTTATTTTATGCGAGTACTTAATATCGCGAAATGGCCCAATGACGTCAAATCGCGAGAACAATAATTCGCGAATTCGTGATTTATCTAGAGATTTTACATACATTAAAGCATCATAAAAATAAAGCGAGTAATTTTATTTCGCAAGTGGTGCTTCTCGCGTAATTACGCGATAATTTATTCCTCACATATATTTAGGAATCTACAGTATACAACTGATGACATATTTGTACATTGTCCTTCATAATTCATAGTACATGCACACTTTAAAATATTCCAAGTATACTAAAAGTAACAATGATGTTTATGTAAAGTTTAAAATGATATGCATTTGTTGTAATATTTATATGTTCAGTGTTTTTCTCATTAAGGAAGTGAATGAGTTGGTACAGAAAGTGTCAGGGTCAGACCAGCCTGTACCCCTGTGGGAGGGGGGTGAGGAAGAGAAGCCAACCACCCAGGATCTCCTCTATTCCTTCAGCTTCAGGTTCAAGGTTAGTATCACGCTGTATATTTATAAAAATTTGTGAAAGTGCTGTAAATTTACAGTAAAGCAAGCTTATAACGAAGTGCCAGAGATGGAAATTTTGCTTCCAATTTGTTATAAATGTAATTCATTATATCTATTAAGTTCACAATATATTTTAAAGCCATGGGGAATGAAAAATCACTTCACTATAAGCATCAATTTATTATAAACATGTTTACTTTTCCCTTCATACTTTGAGCTTATGAAGGGGAAATTCAGAGATTATTCATTTCTGTTTGACGTACAATCTCTTCCAGTAGTTCACTTCTATCATTTACACACACATGCTCTTGTATTTAGAATATTTCTCTCTCCTACAGGGAATTCAGATTACGGCCACCACTCCCACATCGAGTGCAGTGAGGTTAGAGACGGGGTCTGTTGACCTGGAGGTGTCCAACCGAGTGTTAATGGCCACAGAGGATAGGAAACAAAAGGGTAATGTCTCTGTACTTTTAAAATTCAGCATGTTCAAAAAGTTCATCGTACTTTAAGTAAATACAATGTCATGTATTACTAAAATATTTACTGTCTAAGAATGTTGTTTGTGGTCATATTGTTTAATATCAATCATGTGAGATACTTTTTTTCAGCAAACAAAGTTAATGAAAAAATGTTCATTAAGGCTCAAGTAAACCTAAACTTAGCACTGGGTCAACTTATCAAGGTCAGTCACCATCTTAACATACATTCAACACTTCAATTTCAATAGTATCATCTACATAATATATGAATAATTTTATGTACATGTGTAGTTCTTACATACAATCATGTCAATATAATCATGTGCTGGATGTGCCACCAGTTTTGAACTAAAGATGGCATTCTATAACTTGTTTTCTTTTTATGATTGAAAAATATTTTGTAGAACCCAATGTTTGAAGAAGCTGAGCCTGAATTCCAGACTATGGCATTTTTCAAGACAAAAATTGGAATAAGAAATGCTTTACAGGTAGCAAGATTTAATTTTTTTAAATAATTTTAATGCACTTGCTCAGTATGTATAACCTTGATTCTGATCTACATCAGCTAGGAGATACTAAGGATTAAGTTCTTTACAATATAGTGTACATTGATTGTAGGATGAGTTGATTCCGGGAGCTGCCCAGGACCAGGAGGCCCTACTTATCACCCTGACCCGACCCATCATACTGGCTCAGCCACTGGCATTTGATAAAGGTGAGCTGTCTACCACAACAGTTATCAATGTGTTCAGTAGTCTTGTCTTTGAGTACTATCATGTATCTGTAAATCAAAGAACAGAGACTTTTCTGTTTTGATCATCCGTTTGATCATAAATGAATACTTTACTTGAGAGCAATTATCTTTAAAATATTTACTGAATGTCTTTTGTAATTTAAATGTATTGTCAATAAGTTTCAAAATGGAATTATTGAGGGTTTTTTTTCTTGTCCACAGCTGTGCTGGTTTGGTTGAACTACAAGAATGCATATGAATACTGGACAGAACAGAGAATGGCCCTAAATACCGAGGTATGAATATAATCATTTACAATGTACCCTTTAGTTTCCTTAAAAATTATATACAATTCAGTTTTAGGGAGGTTTATTTGAATCTTGATAAATGACCGCATCAAATAAAATGTTTGATATAAACCCTCCCTGTTACTGGATGTTTGTATTTACCTGTAGGTGTTAAATGCCACCAGACAGGTGATTGACAGGATTCCTCCCGTGAAGGCCGCTGTGTCCCCTGCCTCTCTGAGCACCCTCTTCCTACAGCTGACTGTAGACGATATGGGGATATGTGTTCCTGTTACCTCAGTCTCTCAGGTTCTTTTTTTTTTTCAAGATAGAAATGTATGTTTTAATTATTCTTTTAAAAATTCATGACTGTAAATAATAAAAAAGTCATGTTACAACATGTAGGTTTCTTGCTTTCTTTCTGTAAAAAAAGTTGATCTGAGAGCAAACTGCATTGTCATGTTTTTGAATTTAGCATGGACAAATAATCTTACCAATAATTGTCCTGTATTAAGTGATAACTCGGTCTTCTTTGAATTCATCCTGATTTAAATTAATCCATTGCAGATGAGAACAAAAGGGACAAAAAAAAGGAGGCAATAATTTCTCTGTATCTAGTTTGTAAATGTGTCGTACATGTTCATGTCTTGACTTATTTGTGTTTTTAGCTGTACCCTGCCACCCCACAGACTGTTTTCGTGGACAATGAGCCAGGGTCAGCTTTAGTATTGACCATCAAGGGAACTCAGATCTCTGCTTGTTCCTCCGGATCACTGGTCAGCAAGGGCAGATTTCAAGGTCAGAAATCCTGTCATGATAAAGAAATGCAAATAAATTTGAAATGTTGTGGCTTTCTGATAAATACATGTATGCAATATCATAGAACAACAACTAGCATAACTACAGTTTTCTAGGCTGCATTGACTTGTCAGTGTGAATGATAATACTGATATGATTTACAGAATTCTGTCTGCGATTTGCTGATGATTTTGAGACCTCTTGGGATGATTGGAAGCCTGACCCCTGTGAGAACCCTGTAATGAATGCCTGTGTGGTTCCAGAGGGGACATATGAAGTATGCTCAAGGACGATCAGCAAGCAAACCTCAGGTAAACATTGGAGATATTGCTGATAATAGGTATATTTAAGATTGTTTAATTGTCAAATGATGATATTAATTATTTGGAATACATATACTGAAAAATAAACATTTTTCAAATTTAACACATGGTTATGATATATTAGTACTGCAACATTTCAACATTAATTTTGATATTTTTACCTTAGACCCCAACAGTAATGCTAAATGGATCTTGAATGTCAGATGGGAAATGCAGGGCATAGCTGTACATCTGAACACCAACATTGGTAAATGTCTGTCAGCTTTAGGGAAAACTCTGACAGCCCTGGCAGGGGAAGCAGATGAAGAATTGTCGGATGATGAAGTTGATGCACGATCGGATCATGTCTTCTCTCCAAACAGTCCTTCTGAGGTTTTGAGCCTTAGTTAATGATCATAAGTTGATAAAATCGTTGAAATAAACTGTGAAGAATGTTTTATTAGCATGATATTTTTCAACCTTAATATTTGCTACATGTGAACAGTGGTTAAAAATTGAATTAAAAACAATCTCTGATATTTGACAGATTGAATTCTTTGCTGACATGTGATTGGTTGTTAATTTCAGTCGATGGCGTCCATCAGAAGACCGAGTCAGATGATGGACACACTCCCGGCTTATGTGTATGACACCACAATGGACCCCAAACTGAGGTTCCGACTCATTGAGAAGGAGATGAATGAGCAAGCTAGAGTTGTTCAGGACCTCAAGTGAGACAAATTACATGTAGTTTTAACTTCTTTTGATAAGCAGAACCTTTAATGATGATTCTCCTTTGTACAGATCTAACGCAAAAATGATGAGAGACAAAGTATTAAATATATGTTGTGTACATTGTATAAAATAAATTTAAAAAGTAGAATATATAATTTTGCATGTTTTATTATGGCCAGTAGGTCTCTAAGATACTGTACATGTATGTTTCTGATTTTGCAATATGTACAAAGTCACGTATTGTTTATCATTTAAATGTCTGTATTCCTTTGTACACAGTCAATTAGGAGCCAGTTTACAAACTATTGAGGTAGAGTCAAGAAAGCTGGAGGAGTTGAAAGCCATAGTGTTCCAGGATTTTAAAAGAGAGATGCTGAATAAACTCAAGAAACAAAGTGAAAGTAGGGTGAGTACTTAATAGCATAAAGTATAAGACTTAGTACATGTACAATGAGGAGGTAAGTGATAAATTTAATAATACTCTAGAGGTATTTCTTGTAAGTTTTAAATATTTTATGAATATGTTTTAACCAATCAATTGATGCATGTATATCAAGGATAAAGACAAAAAAATGTAAATGTTCTTAATTTAAACAGTTACTTACATACATGTATGTGCATGTTGATTGAGTTTCACATGGAGAATTGACTTTTAGTTCATGAAAGTGTACAGAGTATATTTACACATATTTTACTTTCTTGATATTTCAGACATATAATAAAAATGATAAATTAAACTATGCTTTTGTATACATGTACAGTATTTAATTAAACAGGCCTCAGCTCTGAAAGATCAGCTAGGTATAGGCAATAGGCCACCTCACATCAGATCCAAGTCTTATGGAGGCTCCAGAATGGAAAGAAAAGGGTAACAATTTAACCAGAATCTTCTGTGTACAGTAACTGTTACAGTTGTAGATACAGTGCACATGAAGTATTGAAAAAGTACTGATTCAGAAATGATAAACATGCAAGTTTGTTCCAAAATAAATTTGAAAAAGTAACATGATACCATGATGAAATTTTGTTACCATTTTAGAGCTTTTGATTACGAGAAGATCATCTCTCAGAACAGAGACATTTATAACAGAAACAGTGCATGGGAGGGCACCAGAACCCTCCCTAGTAAAGTCCAGTTTGGAACCTCAGTGGCATATTCACCTCCAGAGTAAGTTGGAAGGCAAACCCACAAAATTTGAACCCCACAAAATACATGTATATTGATTCCAGGCTATTCATAACAGACAAATGCAGTATATGCATATGCAGTGTATGCATGTACATACTGTGGTATTTCTATGTATAACACAGAAAAAGTATTTGACTGCCGTCATGAGAAAAGGGCCCTTATCTTTTGACGTCACAATGCTCAGAAAACGACGTCAAAGTCGCGGTATTGTAAACACGGAAGTGAAATTTTGTAGAAAATTTATACACGTGTAGAGAATGAAATAAAACTGGGTTTCCTGGTGTGAAAAAAATAAAATCATACGAATTCTGAAGCGGAAAATTTTAATGAATAACATTTTTACCATTTAGTACATGTATTTATTCAGGTTTCTGTGTAAATATTCTGTATAACATAATCCAAACATATAAATGAAATCAGGCTTAAAAATCGGTAGATTTTCAAAAAACGCATGGATATGGATAAATGACCCTTAAATCTTTCCGTATGTTTAACTTATGTAAAATTCAAGATAAAAGATTGATAAATGACCTTATTTCAAATGTAATTTCATTTGAAATTGGTAATAAAATGATTTTTGTATATAAAGTTTTTTGTATATAAACATATGCCCCCCCCCCCCCCCCCCCCCCCCCCCCCGTGAAACAATAAAAGCTTTGGTAGGATTTTGTGAAATAATAATTCATAAAACCCATAAAAAGGAAGTTTTGTTTCACGGGGGGGGGGGGGGGGGGGGGGGGGGGATGTTTTAAAAATATTTTAAGTTTTCCGTTGATTTCTATTGTGAAAAACGCTATTTTTACCAAATTTAAAGAGTTATCTCTCTTTGTTTTCCCAAATAAGTTATGTTTTATGAAACTTCACATAGATATCTATACAAATATGAAAAATCATTCAAATCTGTAAACTTTTGAAATTTGACTTTGAGGTAGGTATCGTTCGCAGTTCTTTGTTATTCCTATCACAACTTACAATGGAAGGGGTGTGTATGTGGCGAAAGGCCTTTTCATAAATAATTAACAGCACCGATGAGAATATTCTCAGGGAAAATTAGGGGTTCCCCTCTCCCCTTTGATTATACTGCCTTAAGGTCAAAGAAAAATGATGTGCGTATGTCTCTGGTAAAAATATGTAAATTTGTAAGTTTTGAAATCGCGCGTAATAAACATGTGTACATAGTATAAAAACTTACACTATAAAATGACAACAAAAGTTGAAGTACATTGTTATCATTAACATCGAAAAAAATTATTCTTTGATATCAATTACTTTTTTCTATTTTCTTTAATTTGATCTGATGAAAGTCAGCTAGAAATTGAACTTGCATTCTGTTTAGGAATTAAATACAGTTAAGGTGGAAAACTCCCCCCCCCCCCCCAAGAAGGAAAAAAAACGTTACTTCGTTAATAGTTTTATTCTTGAAAAAATGTATGAAACAGAAGAAACAATAGATTAGGTTGTCAAGAAATTTACTTTGGATAAATGGCGATATGACGACAATTTTGGTAGAAAAAGTACAAGTAACAAGCTTAAGTGGTCGAGGGTGTGATTCAAAATGATATAAAAATTCTCAAATTGTCAATTAAATTAACATCAACAGCAAGGTCAACAAAGGCAATCAAGATATCTACATCATGGGGGAAAAAAATAGAACAGGTAATGATTTGAGCGAAATAGTTTTCACATACAACTTCGTAGCTGCTGATCTGTAGCTATTTGATCTGCACAAGGAAATTAGAATAGATGACCGGAGAGTTACAACACGAACTATTGAAAATATAGCTTTATATTTGTTTCTTTCTCTGTACTACTATATTTCAGTTGCCAGCTCAAAATATTGCAAACGATGAATTCCTAGCATGCATTCTACTTTTATTTCATGATGGTCTGAGAAATATAAGGATTTATTTAGTCAAGAAAAATCATATTTCCCGAGTGTAATTCATTGAATATGACAAAAAGCATGACAACGACAGGGATATATAAAAATTTATGGCCTTGTCACTTGACTGTCTGAAACCAATCAGATAACGCCTTATATTGAACAATTATAATGAGGTTTAATAAATTCTTTTACTTCTTTTTTAAAAACATTGATGCCTGTGAAATATATAAGGAAGAATTTAATTTTTGTCAATAAATGGAATTTAAGAAATGGATAAAAAAAAAAAATACGCACAGTCACACGCACACACCTTTCAGCCTTTATAAGCTAAAATACTACAGGTGATTGCCGGTTATTTTTCTATGCTTGGCAGGTAAGAATTAATATATAATCGCATTTAGAAACATTTATTACAGAAACTTCATTTTGAAATTACAGTAGCGAACTCTTTTAAGAAACGTACCATTTGCTGCATACTAATGTTTGATTTGTTGTGTACAAATGTTAGTAACGTTGAGAAGAGGAAAATGTTTGAAATTTCACAGTAATGATTAAAGATACACTGTAGCAAAGGTAAAAAAAGAAAAGAAAAGAAAGAAAAAAAATACAGGACAGAGGCATTTAAAACAGCTATTGATACATATAACGTGTGATTTACTTGTAAAGATAAATAAGTTGACACACGTATCAATTTTCATGCACGGGCTAAACTTTTTATGAGACAATCCTAAGACCTGATTTTGTGCCTCTATTTTCTGTTTCTACTCCGTAAGTAAGGCAGGCGCAGAAACAAAATTGTATGAACAATAAAAACTTAATTTTTTCAGCAAAAGAAAATGCGCTTGGAAATATGTGTAGAAAACATATATTTTAATATGTGATTTTTACGTACAGTACCAACCAGACCCAACCTGACACCTAAGCAGTCCCTGGGACTGCTTTGGGACCGCTCTGGGACTGCTGTGGGACTGCTCTGGGACCGCTGTGGGACTGCTCTGGGACTGCTCTAGAAAGCAGACCCAGCAGTCCCTGGGACTGCTTTCTGGGACTGCTTTGTTCACTCATGCATGAAAAAGGTTCTGAGTGACATGATAACTCCGCCCCTTGTGTATTCTGAATTTGCAGGCTCCCTGTTGTTGTTTTGTTTACTTTCAGCAGAGAGGTGTTTAAGATAAAGAATGAAAAAAAAAACAAGGATTTTTTACAACATTTTAATAAGTAGAGATAGATATACATGTAATTACTAAATGTCTTCAGGGGCTGTAAATTTACACAATTGTAGTCTAGAATTAATTTTAAAAAATGAAAGTAGTTAAAAGGGAAGTCAGGAGATTACTTTTATCCTTTAAATTATACTTTAATACAGGTGTTTGAAAAAAAATATATCTAGGCCTATTTAATTAATTAATGCTAATTAAAACTTTAATACAGGTGTTTGAAAAAAAATATCGAGGCCTATTTAATTGATTAATGCTGTCAAGTTACGGAATGTACTCAAAGTTTGCATTAGCACTATTTAAAAACAAACAAACGAAAAAACAAACAAACTTGTCATTACAATGAGACATTTAGAGGGACGTACTGTACTGGATTTTTTTTTAATTTAAAAAGCTTAAACCATATGCATGCTAAAAAAGAGCATTCTTTGCTATTTTTTTCCGCCCTCAAATAAAACCTAATAATTTATTAAATGACCATGAAATAAAATTATTCTACCATTCTTCAGTCATTTAAAAAATTATATTTGTGAACAATTATTGGGGGATTTATTTATGAATTTGTTTTTGATTTATAAACAAGTAATTAATAGAGTAAATTTATAAACATTTTAAAATATTGGGAATTGTGACTTATTTCTTATTTGTTTTGTTTGTGTTTTCCTGGCCGATTAATAAAAAGCAATACAAATGTATAAAATGGTGTCAACACCTGAAGTTTCAATCGCCTTCGGGCATGATTAGCAGAAAGTCAATGCATGTTACTTGGGTATCAGTGTTACACATCACTGAACATGCTGGTGAACAATGACACTAATTTCAATCTATGTACTGCAAAAAATCTTCGTTTCAATAAATGTGTATAAATTTATTTCGGGATTAATTAATTTTGAACATAATCTGAGGGTTCCATTTGCGTGATTTACAGATGTACACTCAAACGTTTATATAATAAAAGTATTATTGTTTTCTGTTACATAGATAATTTAACGATAATTAAATTGGCAAGTCAGTGAAAATAATCATGACTGAAATATAATACACAAAGAATTTTTCAAAAGCTCCAGTACTTAAGAAATTTGCATTCAGAGTATAGTATGGAAATCGACCTTGCTCTATAATTATAAGGCCTATTTAAAGCTAGTTTTGATAGAAAAAAATAACTCAAGCTTAATTATCTATAAAAAAAAAAAAATAAAAAATAAAAAAATATGGAGACCAATATCAATCACAGTAATTTAGAAATTGATTTATTTTGGTGAAAAATTAATATACCACAAAACTGTGTTTAAATATTCATGTTATTTATAGGTGTGAACGTCTTCTTTGTTCAATATTTATTATATGTTTCTATATACGTGTAGTGTGATTTTCTTAACAGTTAAAAAATGACTGTCGCATGAGAATTGATACTGCTCAGAAAGAAATGGATCATCAATTTCAACTGCCTTTTATAGTTACATTGTTTATTGGTAATCTCATTTCTGAGTAAGCTCCGCCCATTAAATTAATTAACCCCGCCCACTGGGACTGCTGGGACTGCTTTCTGGGACTGCTGGGACTGCTTTCTGGGACAGCTGGGACTGCTCTGGGACCGCTGTGGAACTGCTCTGGGACTGCTTTGTGTCAGGTTGGGTCTGGTTGGTACTGTACTACGGATAAAACTTTTTTGAAACAGTTTTACATATCGTGGCATGATATTTTGTCCATTATAATTCATCTCTGATACAGATAATATGCAAGGTTTTGTTTGGGTTGGATCTTCCTTACTCCAGAACTGTGTAGATTTTTTCTATATGTTAGTGTACAAGTGCTACAATTTTCTTTTAATTGAGCTAGAATAGAATGCCTGGTATGGAATTGTACAGTGCATGCATTTTTTTTTTTCCGAATGAACATAATCCTCTTCTAGGGCCTGTCTAGAACCCCACTATCACCTCCTCCCCCCTTCCTTTTTCGAAATACATGTAACTGGATCTGCCTCTAAAATTGTAAACATGTTAGAACAAAGGCAACTTCAGGGTTTATATTGACAAACTCAAAGTATCTTGGATGAAGAAATCAAATATCATCTAGAGTTTATACAATTGTACGTATTATTAAGTTTATTTAAATAATTTAAAACTCAATTTTACGCTCGCGACGTCATTACGTCTTAAGGAATAACGTCAACGTTGTTTTGATGCACCTTACAAAAATGATCATAAAGTAGTGAAAAAATTAGATATTTTTAAAAGTTATGTATTTTTGCATTCAGAAAGAGTCAGGCTATCAATATTTACCAAAAAGTCAATTTGTGAAATTTTGACCTTAAGGGCCCTTTTCTCATGACGGCAGTCATTTAATATATGACTGTATAGCAAAGAGAAATTTTAAGTACATGTGCAGATGCACCTGTGGAGAAGTTAAATATGCACATGAAATAACCTAGCTATTATATTTTATTAGGACTCCAGATTCCATGTTGTCTAAATCGTCCCAGCCCTACTCCCAGTACTCTAACAGTCCTATGTTAGATGAAAGGTCCCCGAGATGGGCGGTCAGAGATTCAGACTCCTCCTCCTTATCCTCAGAGTCATCGTCCCAGTCATCTGACGATCAGGAGGGGAAGGGCACCCTCACACGAGATGTAGTATTTGAAGAGGGTGAAAAGTAAGTAAAAATTTGTGTGGGTTTGGCTACTTGTGTATATGATACACTTTCACTTTTAATTACTGTTTAGTCAGAGTTAAATAATTTCTTTGTGACCTTGACCAAGGTATCTGACCTTCTGGAGTATTCGTTTAAACCAAGTTGCAAACAAACTTTGACCTTATTTCTTATGATAAATGAAAGATAAAACAATCATGAAATTGTATAATCATACTGAAAAATGAAAAAGTTCTATATTATAAATATATTGCACAATATTCTACAGACTCTGAAATGCTTTGTTTCCTTCATCTAGGACAAATTCCATGGAAAGCTTGGATTTTTCTAGTAAACAGAACACACTGACCCCCAGTCTGGGGAGTGGGGGGTCGTCATCAAAGTCCACCACAGCCCCAGAACCCAACATCGACTTTGAACTGGATGTCAAGGTATTCATTGACAATGGGAAATGTGTGCTGCATCCCAAGGAAGTCAAAGAAGAGGACACAGCTAAAAAGTAAGGTTATTTTAATTACTGAATTTAAAAAAAAAAACAAAAAGTAAAAATAAATTTATTTGTTTTTATAATAGCAAAAACTAAAAAAAAATAGAAATATGTCCATAGGACATGAATATATAGTATATTAGTAATGCAACATTTTAACGAAAATTGAGAAAGTGAGGTCAAGGACAAAGGAAAGTCAAGGTGAAAAAATATTGATGCAGTTGAATAGCTTACATCAGTATGTATCAGCATATGAAGTTTGACACTAATTTAAGAAAAGTGAGGTCAAGGTCAAAGGAAAGATCAAGGTAAAAAATTGTTGATGCAGTTGAAATGGTTACATCAGTATGTATTAGCATATGAAGTTTGATAAAAATATTATGAATGGTTTCTTTAAAACTGAGCTAAACACTTACTTAAGGAAAGTGAGGTCAAGGGCAAAGGAAAGGTCAAGGTCAAAAAATATTGATGCAGTTGAATAGCTCTCATCAGTATGTATCAGCATATGAAGTTTGATAACACTATCTCGAATGGTATCTTTAAAACTGAGCTAAAAACTTATTTAAGAAAAGTGAGGTCAAGGTCAAAGGAAAGGTCAAGGTATAAAATATTGATGCAGTTGAATAGCTCTCATAAGTTTGTATCACCATATGAAGTTTGTTAAAAATATCTTGAATTGTTTCATTAAAACTGAGCTAAACACTAATTTAAGAAAAGTGAGGTCATGGTCAAAGGAAAGGTCAAGGTCAAAAAATGTTGATGCAGTTGCATAGCTCTCATCAATATCTATCAGCATATGAAGTTTGATAAAAATATCTTGGATAGTTTCTTTGAAACTGAGCTTTGAACAGAGCTAAACGCAAAGTGTGACGGAAGGACAGAAGGACGGAAGACGGACATGACAAACACTATATGCCCTGGCCATATTCATGGCGGGGCATAAAAATTCTAAAATAAAAGATTATGCAAAGATGTATATAGGCTTTAATACTGGTTCCTTGGTTATTTTCGCCCCATGTTATTTTTGCCTGTTCACACTTGCAAACAATATTGTCACATTTTAAATTAGCCCAATCACAATTCTGTTTAAGAAATTATACATGTACTGAGTTTTTTGAATTTGCCTCGTTTTTAATTTGCCCACCTGTGAGTAGAGTGAAAAGGGCAAAAATAAAATGGGGGCAAAAATTTCCCTATTTACAGTAGATATACATGTACATTGTGGTTGCAATGAAGTTCATTACATGTAATACATGTACATTATACAGTCGGCATAATATTAATGCCAATGATAAAATGAATCAGTTGAACTTCAAGTATTGCATGTATGAAAAATCTAGGTTCAAATACATGTGTAATTTAATAGATAGGGTACTTTAATCTACAAGTAACATTCTGGAAATGAAAGTGAACTTAATAGTACAAGTATATGGGAATGGCAGTATTTTTTGTTCTAGCAATATATTATACAGGTCTTTTACGGTTAACCATTTTAAGTGAGTTTATACTTGATTTTCAAAGACAACAAAAGAGAGAGAAGACACCTGACCCCATGTTGTCCCCGACATCTAAGAAGAAGATGACCTCCACCCCTATGTCAGCCCCAGGGAAGAAGCCCCAGACAGCCCAGCATGTTCAGCAGATAGAGGATACGATCTTCTTCTTACCCAGCATTGATCTCAAAGTAAGGTTCATTTTGTCTGTGATAATAAACTGGAATTAACAATTATAGAAAGTTGCTATTTTCAGATTTGGAAGAATTTTAAGGGCTTAAAAAGTATGTTCATGCACCCTACAGAGTTTCTGCTTGCCGAAAAACCTTAACATTCCATTGTAGGTGCATTATAATTCCAAAACTCACAGCTGTGACTCAGAACTTAAGTCTAAGTCATCTGTTGACTCATTTGAATCGGAGGAAACAGGAAAGAGAAAATCACCCTCTCCTGAACCGAGTCCATTAGACCAGGACTCGGTCCCTCGTATGAAATCCTGGCCTCCCTCTCATTTCCCCACAGTAACAGTGACAGTTGATGAGGAGCAGGAGGAGGTGATGTTGAGGAGGAGGTGCAGTCCTCCTCCCCCTCCTATAAAGGTCCCTCCTCGTCCTCAACCCCATTTTACTTTGGAGTCGTTAGAATCTAGAGAGAGTACATCATCCATGCCATCTAAGAAGTCTGGTGTCAAGAAAGCTAATCTGTATGCCTGGTTGTCACTGCAGTCATTGCCAGAGGTAAGTTGTACATAATTATGTATCATATGCACTGATATTGTGACCCAAGAGTGATTTTGTTAAATATTGTAGAGATTACTATTAGCTTAAGAGTGATATTAAATACAGTCTACTGTTAGTAATATTTTTTTTTCTTCAACATGTTTAAATGTATATTGTTACACCTTTAAAAATGTGTTCCTATATAAATCCGTACTGTCTTAAGGTCTCGAGCAAAATGCGTTTTGTCGATCCCTTGAACCAAACTGTTTGCAGTTTGGTTCTTGCATTGGGGCTTACAAAACGCATGTTGCCCTCGACCCCGGTCAATAAATGAATATTCATAATTATGTATGTACATGTATGTACTGCATATTGATACAGGTATACTTATTGAAAACTAAATGATGCAATCATATGTAAGCGGTACTCAAATTTCCTGGAAGTTATCCCAATCCAAAGCTGTTTTGTCATTACTAACAATAAAGAATTCAAATTAAACTTACTAATATACATGTAGATATTTTAATGTTTTTGACATAAAACTTTTGATTAAATCTTTTTTTTTTTATTTTTACTGATAATTATTACAGAGATCTGATTTGATAAAGAAGGTTTGTAGAATAATTAAAGATGAAAACCAGAATTTCCTTTCCTCATACTCCAGAAACTTCTCTTTTTTTGTTTTCTTCAATCCAATTCTTAATTGTATGTTGTTTTATTTTGTAACCAGAGGGCAGGATTATTTCTGTTATTTGATTGGTCATTTAGAATATTATGTGGAAAGGACACACAAATCATGCAACTTGAACAGTATATGGAATTACAGAAATAGCTTGAATAATCTGCATTTATTTAACTATTTTAATTTTTATACGCCCGTCTTAAGACGGGACGTATTATGTTATAGCCTTCATGTCCATCCGTCCGTCCATCTGTTAGCTTTTTCCTGTCCGGCTCATAACTTTAATACTATTAGGCCTAGAATTATCAAACTTTGTCAGCTGATACGTCTTGGGTAGAAGGTGTGTTGCGCATTAAAAGTAGGTTGCTCTGACCTTTAATTAAGATGCTATGGCCAAATATGGAAAAATCCTGTCCGGCTCATAACTAGAAAACTACTGGACTTAGAATCATCAAACTTGGCCAATTTATGCATCTTAGGTAGAAGGTGTGTCGTGACCTATTTCAAGGTCACTGTGACCTTTAATTTAGTGAAATTTTTTTTAAAAACTGTGTCTCTATACTATTCAATTACACAATCCCCAAAAGTGTAAGAATGTTGCAATATCCTTATTAAAAAATGTTAAATCAAGAAAATACTTATTTTTTTTCATTATGTATATACTTTACAGCTATCTATAACAAATGTAATGTTATAAGAGAAATTCCACCTCTCCCATGGGTGTAATCATCAGGCACTCGTCAAGGAGAATTTTGATAACAGAAAATTACATGTCAATTAGAGAGAAATTAATAAGTTTTAGTGTGAGGAACTAAACTGGTAGAGCATCTCTGATCAAGCAGGTGTTATCTATATCTTCTGGGAATTGGGCAAAGGAATCAGTGTTGGTAAATGAATCTAGTTGGCTAGCCTTTTAACTTTTAAAATGAATTTGGTGAAAAGTAATGAAAACTGACTTAATATTGTATAATAAACTAATTTGATATTGTATAACATACCAGTAATTAAAACTAATTAGACCGGGGGGGGGGGGGGGGGGGGGGGGCATGTCGTTTTGTCTGTTTGTCAATATGAACTGCAGCTTAAAACCAGTCTGACATTAAATCTAAAAAAAAAATCATCAAGTATTTTTTTTTTAAAATGTTAATGGTAGATAGTCCCTACAAATCTAAGAGTCATGCAGTAACCTTATTTAAAATATTGCATCAAGATTACACAAGTTTTTGTTTCTTTTTATAAATCTTTGTAACAAATTAAAAAAAAAATCTCGGTTTTCAAAGGAATGACATAAATATGCATTTTTATTACAGTACAGGCTATTAAAGTAGATAGTGCAGATCCATTCATCCCTTGGGAGTAATGAATGGACATGCATGCATCCAGTTAAAGATTAATTAATAAGTTCAATGTAGGAAGGCTAGCTGCTTCAATCATTTCTGTTAGAGCATCTCTGATTAAGCAGCTCTTATCTGTATCCTTTGGGAATTAGACAAAAAAACTGGGGGGGGGGGGGGGGGGGGGGGCTGCAGATGGCCATTTGTCAAGGTCTAACACAACCAGTTGAGAAATTTATTATAATTAGTGCCTGCACTACAGGAAATGTATAAACATCAAATATTATAAGGAATCATGGAAATCTTTGAATTAAGGTTGACATGATTTTCTTGCACCCTAAACTGTTTATGATAATTGAACAATATTTGACGGGCATATCATGCTGTTGTGGGGCACTTTATTTTTTAACTAATTATTTTTCCTGAATTCTTATTCTTACTGTTAAGTGTCAGCATACAGAAAGGAAAGTTTACCTTCCACTCAAGCATTTGTTACAATATTTGTATTATATTTTTTCAAAACTCTTTTTTAAAACTATGTAATCAAGAAGATTTCTTTTAGATATTTTCAAATTATTTCTCTCTATCTGATAGTTTCTTTAGATTTTTATCTACATCTGTACAATCATGTACTTCCGGTTGGATGCCTGAATTGAAAAAAAATTGTGAAACATAATTGTCCATCATTGAATAATTTACATGTATTAATCTGCTCTAAGTTTTGCTTATTTCTCTTCAGGAAATGGTCATCAGCCCATGTATTTTGGATTTTCTGGAACAAGCTTTGGAGCCAATTCCCATAGGTGTCACCATGCTGCAGCAGAACAAGAAAGGTCTGAACATAAAACAATATTGCATGTACATATAAATGCCATAAAAATAGAGCCATAATATGAGAGTGCCACTGTCAAACCTTGTTATCTCAAACAAGATTGGGGGGGGGGGGCTTCAAGATATCTGAGGATAATTTGCATAAAGAAAAAGTGGTGGGCTTTCCAGCTCACTTTGATACAGTGTATATCCATGGTATTCTACATATGGATGTTTTATGTACTCAAGTTCAACTCTATTTATAAAATGACATTATATACTACATTAAATGTTGTTTCTCAATGGTTACTTTCAGCAGAAGATCATGAAGAAATGGAAACCTCCTACAGTTCACTGGGTACCATGGTAACCCAGACATCTTTCCCTGTGGATGTGGTAGTTTTTATCCGCGTGGAGCCCTCCATCATCCGCTTTAACTGTCTGCCCAGCTCACGTGTGGAGTGTCTGCTGAAGGTCCCAGCACTAGAGACGGTGTTCTCCACTAAGAGTACTGATATTGATACCTCCCTAGCTGAGGGTACACCTCCTCTCAAATCTAAAGGTAGCTTTCAGAGATCTGTCTTTGATACATGTACATGTATTTACTATTTGTATATTTTTGCATGAGGTAAAAATTTCAAGTGTTGGTGTACTCTAATGATACTTTTCATCAAAAAAGTGTATAAACTCTGATGTAACTGAATACTTTTGATACATTATTTTGAAATTGAACACTTCTAATATACATGTACATGTATTATACTTAAGCATCAAAACTGAGAGAAAGGAACCCGAGTGGATCTCGTCTCCTTGGTGATGCACGCCCTCGGGCCAGCAGTACAAACTCTTCAGGTGATGGTAGCTCAATGTCAACAGGGGGTCTGAGTTTCACTGGAGCCATGTCAGATTTCTCCCTGTATATATTCCATCCTTATGGGGGAGGGGTACAGAGAAAATTAAACACAACCACAGGATATAACCTAGGTAGGATTATTGAAGATCTCTAAGGTCCTTACATGCATATATCAAAATTGAATTATATTTATTTTATATTGAATATTTAAACCTGAATACAAGTAACTTTTAATTATCATTTATTTACATGTACAGATCTTGAGATGGACAACATGTCCATGAAACAATTGAAAGAAGCTTACTGTATTTCATTCTCTATTTTTGTTTTCAAAAGGAAGCATTCAGGAAAATGAACCTGCATGGTCAGAACAAACTAGACGTGACATGCTCAGTCTCAATGTCGAGTTTGTAAAGATCAACATCTCGAGAAGTCGAAAAATAGAACTACGAGCCCTGGACAAAGAGGCCAAGTCAAACATTGTCAGGTTCTCAGGTAGAGAGCTGGTGATAATTGTAGCATATAAAAACTGATAATCCAGTTAACATTTACAACAGTTTGTTATATTTCATAGTTGTGAAAGTTTAAAAACCATTTAAAGAATTGCACAGTAGATTTCAAAGTAATGCAGTGTTGTAAACTACCTGTTATTCTTGACGACTCATACATGTATTTGTGATTTGAAAGTTTGATCTCATCTGCCTTTTTTTTTTAATGGAAATATTCAACATAAAAATACTTTTAATCATATAAATTGTTTGCAGTCCAAAAAAAAAAAACATGCATTGCTAAGTGAAAGAAAGTTGAAAAACTTATGGATATTTCTTATATGTGAATAAAATTTTGATTACAGCATTATTATGTGATTATTTATAAAGTTCATGATTTCTAGGCAAGCATGAATCTCACTTTTTAGAAGTTTATAACTTTCCTGTTTTTTTGTCATTTTGTAGCTATTTGTGATATTGGGTCTGCAGCATTTAAGTACGACATGAGGCGATTGTCAGAAATTCTCTCCTTCCCTAAAGCCTGGTACAACAGAAGTCTGGCCAGGCGTATGTTTCTGGGAGATGAAAGTTACATCCATGTGGCAGACGACGGTGAGTTAGGGATGTTTTGTTGTGTATTGGAAGTTGTTCCTCTTCTGTTGACTTTCATTGCTACATTTAATTATGCAAATTGGTTTTTTCAATTGCTAGATCTAGATCATTTGCTTGTTGCATTATAATTTTCATTTTCAAATTGAATTTGGTTAAAAAATGTATTAGAGATTTATTCAATTTGTGCATGAGAAGTTTTATATTCAGTTTCACTTAGATATAATTTCTGAATATCTCTATGAAGTTTAAGTTCTGGAAAGCAATGTTTTCCTTTGATATGTGTACAGTTCCTGGGAACAGGTATTAACACAGTAACAAGTTCTAAGTGTTGAAGTGAGATATGACTTATATATAATTCTAACAGTTAGAAAGTCCTCTCAATTACTTACACCCCCCCCCCCTTCTTCCTTATATGTCATTTAAGCTGATTTCAATTAAGATTTTAGTGCCAAGTACACCCTTTTTTAATATTTCTTCAGTGAAAGTTAAAAAATAGTAAAAAAAAAAAAGTCTGAAAAAATAAATCATAAAATTATTGACTTCATTTTTTTACATAATAATTATATGATATTGTCATATGCAGTTTATTACAGAGTAGTATACTTGGCTTTCCAAACCTTTCATTTATCGAGCTACAAAAAAAAATTCAGTCAACTTTCCTGAATGTATAACCTTTAATTCTGACTGCAATCTTGTAATAGTTTATCGAGCCTTGCCAGGGATTGTACACCTTTCAGCTTTTATGTTTAGCTTTGCTGTTGTGTGATGCTTTACAGAATCTGATTCAACCTCCACCGGAAGCTCCCAGGGGGATAGCCCCGTGAGGGGCCCCGTCTCTAAACTCTTTACTTCCTCCCCCTCCCTCTCCCAGTCCAACAACCTGAATGTTGTGATCCCCGGTCACCATCGGCGAAGCTCCTCAGGGGACAAGATCAAAGTTCAACTCAGCTCTGACCTTAAACAACAGATTGACAGCAAATTTGTGCGAACAGGTTTGGTGTCTTTAATATCAATATAAATATAGTTTGTTTAGAAAAATATGTATCATCAATTTACATTTCAGATTGAAGCAAATTTTGGGTGCTCTTAAGTTGCCCTTAATCAGAATTTTAATGCACATGTCAAACACATGTCTGATACATATATATAATGTATATATGACTGTATGATCTACTGGATTAGATTAAAATAGATCTAGAATCTGAACATCTGTTTTGTATGTGTCATTATACCGTATATACTCACCTATAAGTCGATCCGCTTATAAGTCGGTTGCATTCTTTAAGCTTATATTAGAGGGATTGACCCTCTAAAATACCAATCATTTTATGACTCGCCTATAAGTCGGACATAGAGTTTTGGACCAAAGTTTAACTCCCAAATAACCGACTTATAGGCGAGTATATACGGTAGTTAAAAAAAAATTCTAAATAGCACATGAATGCAAAATAAAAGTTTCTGAAAATATGCTTAAAAATATAGATTTCTTATATAAAGCTGAATTTGAAAGTTTCAGATGCATGTGACATGATTTTTCAAAATGTATTTTCTAGCAAAATAATTCAGTTGCAGTAAGATTGTATCAGCATCAATCAGTGCCTTCTATTTATAGCAAAAATTAAAAATTATGAAACTTAGGATTTTAATATTTAGCTTTTCAGGCATCACTATAAAAAAAATTGGATGATGTATTATATTACATATCAACTAACTTTGAATGCTCAAAAATTGGATTAAAGAAATGGTTTTTTAATATGTTGAGTTTCTGTTATATGTCATGATATGTAGTTTTCAATATTTTTTTCAGTAAATTTGGATATTTAAAGATACACTGTGTATACGTGCATGTCAGTTATATTTTTGTATAAACAAGTTCTGATGTAAGGTCAGTGTAGATTTTTAATTAGGTTTACACATGTTAACTGTGAAATCGCTAATATTCAGGGTTTAATTTGTGTTGTTTTCATAGTATGGAGAGACCCACAAATTCTTGTCCTTCTCAAAGTGTTAAGCTTTCAATATGTTTCTTCACCCAAGAAATCAAATTACAAACCAATACTTTTTCCTCAAAACCACTAAAATTTGACCCCACAAAAACAAGTGATTTTACAGTAATTTACATGTATATACATGTATATTTACTATTTTTACATTTACATGGTTGTTGTGTTATGTGACTGTCTTACATCTTCTAATTGTTTCCAGTTTCCTAAAATAAAATCTTGATGTCTTAAATTTTAGCCTCCATGCCACAGTCCCCTACCGATTTGATGTCCCAGGATTCCTTCACTTATCCTCACACAGGAACTCCAGGCTCAACAGCAAAGACTCCTGGGAAGCACAAATCTCTTCTCCACCAATCAGAAACTGGGAGACATAAAAGTCACCATAGCAGCAGTCATGTGACACCAAAATCTGTTTCCTGGGAGACCTTGGTGCTCTTTGCTGTTAATCTAGCCAAGTTGGATTTACATGTCAACATGAGCAATGTCATGGGAAACACTGTGTAAGGCATAATGAGGGTACTGAACTAATTAACAAATAATTAAAATGTATTGTATAAGCTAATCTTTATTTATACTCAACAAAATATGATTTTTAGCTCTTCTGAGCCAAAGGCTATGGCCATTTGTGTGGTGTGCATAAACTTTTTAGAATATGGACCATAATTCAAGAACCCCTTGGCCAATTTTTGTCAAATTTGTCACAGGGTATCCTTGACCCAAGGGCTCCCGTTTATACTAAAACTAGGGTTGTGACCCTTAAACAAGGGGAGATAATAAGGAAAAAAAGAAACAAACGTACTGGTTGCTAAAAAATCTTCTTCTCAAGAACCACTGGGCAGATTATCACCAAACTTACACAAAAGGATCAGGATATGTTGTAGATTAAAAATTGTTCAAGGCATCACCCTGGGGCAAAGGGTGCAGCCTCAAGGTCACTTCAAAGTTGACCAAAAATTACATTTTATTAAAATGTTGATATTTTGCTTACTATAAGGACTGGGATCATCAAATCTTGTCAGTTGATGCATCTAAGAACCTCATATCATGTTGACTCAAAAGTAGGTCATGATGACCTACTTTTAAAATTTTGCGGCCATTCTTTTTCAAAATGATTTAGAGGCATATTTTGAACAATATAAGGCCTATGATATTCAAACTTTGTCAGTTGATGTATCTTGGGTCCTCTGAGTACGTTGACTAAAAAGTAGGTCACCTTGACCTACTTTTGGAATTTTATGGCTAATCTTTTTCAAAACAATTAAGGTCATTGATTCGAATACTGAGAGGTTAAGAATCATTAAATCTTGTAAGATGATGCATCTTGGGGCCATAAAACATATTTATTAAAAAGTAGGTCACAGTGACCCACTTTTTGAACTTTGCAGGCATTCAATTTCAAAGCATTTTAGAGGCATAATTTGGACATTTTAAGGCCTATAATTATAAAACTTTGTAAGTTGATGCATCTTGGTTCCTCAAAAATGTCAACTGAAAAGTAGGTCATTGTGACATACATTTCAATTTATATGACTATGATTAAATATTTGGGTACTAATTGGCTTAGAATCATCAAACTTTGTCAGTTGATGCATCTTGGGTCTTCAGAGTAAGTGGACTGAAAAGTAGGTCACCATGACCTACTTTTGAAAATTTATGGCTTTAATTAAATATTTCAGGTACTAATTTGCTTAGAACCATCAAACTTTGTCAGTTGAAGCGTCTTGGGTCTTTGGAGTAGGTCAACTGAAAAGTAGGTCACCATGACCTACATTTGAAAAGTTATGGCTTTACTTAAAAATTCCAGGTACTAATTGGCTTAGAATTATCAAAACTTTGTCAGTTGATGCATCTTGGGTCCGCAGAGTTAGTTGACTGTAAAAGAGGTCACTGTGACCTATTTTTGGAATTTTAGGGCTTTATTTAAATATATCAGGTACTTATGGTACTTATGAGCTTAGAATCATCAAGTTTTTTCAGTCGATGCATCTTGGGTCCTCAAAGTATGTCATCTGAAAAGTAGGTCACTGTGACCTACTTTTGAAATTTTATGGTTATAATTCTAAAAATATTTTAGGTATTAATTGGCTTAGAATCATCAAACTTAGTTATGCATCTTGGGTCCTCAGAGATTGACAAGTGATAAGTACGTCACCATGACCTACTCTCAGGTACTAATTGGCTCAGAATCATCTTGGGTTCTCAGAGTGTTTCATCTAAAATGTAGGTCATGATGACCTGCCTTTGGAATTTCAAGGCTTTATCTAATATACAGGATACTTAAAGGCTTCAAATAGAAGTGATAGGTTGTACAGTTTATCAGAAGTGTGATTCAAGGCCTTTGGGCCTCTTGTTGCTTATGGCCTAAGTTGTGAAATGCTTTCAGTGTATCTTTAAAAATCAAAATCATTAAATCATTCAGGATTTGAAATCAATTCTAATACATTAATTTGATGTAAATTTATTAGTGACTGTATAGAACAACCTAAGGGAGGTTGTGAAGTACATGTAGCATTTTCTGAAGGTCATATTACAAGGTCAAATTCAGGCGAATTACATGGTGATCGATTTGGAGAATTTTTAAAGTGCCAAATCTAAAACAGATGATGTAGACTACTTCATGTACATACATGCTAGAAGGCATCCATTTCTTAACCTGATTTCAAGGACAAGTATAATTTATATGATACCATACTTATGAGAATCTAAAAACACATACATAAAATATTAAGAACATTTGATTAACAAATTAAATTCTGTGGAGACTTTCTTGTTGTTAATTTAACCTTGTCTTTCAGGTGGACCACACAGGAAATCAAAAGTCAGGGGAGTCTGTCCATTCACAGTAACGGTCATCGTGACCTGAGGATCACCGCCGGTACAGGGAATTCCCACTTTGACTCTCGGGGTGGAGTAGTAGGAGGAACCATTGACCTCAATGACCTTAATCTCTTCGGTAAATTTGTTAATTACATGTACAATTTTTTAAAATAAAAGCTTTTGTTTGATCAAAGACGAATTTGATAGGCATTAAATTGTTAAATTCTGAATGAGAGATAAGACAAAACAGGTATTCAGGCAAGGTCGTCTTTATGTATATTTTCTCATTCAAGTGTACAGTATATGTATTGGTATTTTTTCTCTTATGTGTTATAAAGTATGTTAAATAAAACACATATAAAAACATAATGTTTCTAAAAACAGTGGAAGTTAATGAAGATCCTGAACAAGGGAAGCAACCCTTACACAGTATGGGAGTCTCGCTGTACACCATTGAGTGTCGTATGGATTACATGGGCTCCAGTGTCCTGATGGCTCGACTCAATGAATTCAGAATTGCTCTGAAGGATGAATGGCTAGTCCAAGATAAACCAACAAGTGACACTCCTTTGGCCACTACAAGGTACATCATATTACAAAATGAAATATTTAAGGAAAAACACAGTCAAGTTAGTACATGTATATAGAATAGTGAACATCATTCATTTCTGAAAAAAAAAAAATGAAAAAAGATTTTATTCATTTTAAGGTTTAATTAAACTTTTATGGTGTAAGTTAAATTTTTTGTGTACTCTGTCTCCTAGAAGTTAACTTTAAAAGCATGAAAGAAAAACATCATAAGTAATTAAGATATACGCTGCAGTAAAATGTATTTGAATGATGAAATGATTGCCTTCTATTTAGGCCTGCTATCTTGTTTGCTCATGGCGACCTGCACTGGGAACAGTTCCACATGATGATCTCTCGCTCCACCACTCCAGATATCATTAAAATGGTCTCCAAAATAGAAGAGTTTTTCATGAACCAATTTACTAGTAGCAGGCGTGTGTTGATGACTCTTGGCCCCAAGTCAGGAGCAAAGAGAGGAAGTGAACGCAGAAAAATGTCTGATGATGTTGATTGTAAGATCATTTATTGTTATTTAGTTAGAGTTTTTTTGGTGCTTTTTGCGAAATGGTCACATTATTTTGGAGAAGAATTTTATCCCTTTCGCAAGAAAAGGCACTTACTTCTTTGCTTGAAAATTTGAAAACTTTAAATTTTTTGTAGCTTCAGAAACTTCGTGTGCAAAACTGTTTAACATAATGTCAGAATTGACATACATGCATGAATATCACTCTTCTAGGTATATGGGACATTCGGCACCACAGACACTGGCAGAGAGCTCTAGAACTAGTGGTTGGATGCCGTTTTTCTATGCTGCCTAGCATGATGCCAAAGGAGGGCACAATACTCGGTGGGAACATGACCTTGAAAGGCAAAAACCTGACCTTGGCCTGTTTCCATGGGATGAATTTCAAAGCCAAGTCATGGGCTCTATTTACAATGCATGAACCTTACATAATATTTGCCACTGAGTCTCAACAGCTGCCTGAAGGAGGTAAGTCAGAAATTACGTAGAAAAAACAGATCCTTTAGAGCCATTGGAAGCTGAAATCAGCAGCCTGCATTGTACAGTTTATAAAAAAATGGCTCAAACCAATAAAGTAGTACTGTTGAATTTCGGTATCTTGAATATTAACACCTCGAAACCATAGATATGTCGAAGTGATTTGGAAGTCCCAACCACATATTTTTTAAAAATTTTACCCTTGATATCTTGAATCCTCAGATATCTCAAAGTTCTTGGTCTCATCAAGTTCAAGATAACAAGGTTTGACTGTATCTTAAAAGTAAAATGCAGAGCATTTACAGTAAAGTATTTACACTGTGCGTATGTACTCAGGGTTGACATGTTTATTTTATGCCCAGGAATCCATGTGATCCAGAATCTGAACTTTTACATTGGGCATGACCTGACACAGCATACGAAGGAGCAGCACATGGCCTACATCTGTATGCTGAGTCGGGGCCACTCTATGCCTCCTTCCTTCACAAGTGTCCAGGAATGGTTCCACTACACTCTAGCCACATCTGATATCAAAGGTAGGGGCAACAGAGCTTTGTTACCCCTCCCCCCATCCTTTTAGGTAATGGTAGAAATAATGAAAACCTCCCTCAAGATAAGATCTCATACACTTCTCTTCAAAAATTTATAGCTAGATCCTAGGTGGTGTTAATTAAGCCTCATGTTTGAAAAAAGCATCTTTCTCTCCACAGTAGTACTTGTACATTAAATATATGGCAGTACCAATACATCAAATAAAAATATAGAGTCCCAGTCTCTCTGGTCAATAGCTACATGTAACTTTGTGCCAGATTTGTCAAATACATGTAATTATGTATTTTTCAGGACTTGACTGCTTCCCACAGATGCTTCATGAAGAAGATGCTCTGGAAGCGCGTCGGATCAGGAAGGTACAGGCCTATAGTCACGACACAGAGATGATCTTTCTCCTGCCCTCTCTCCAACTCCAGCTAAAAACCATTCACAACCAGTCTCAACATGAGCCAAAACCTGATGGTATTTATGCAAATGTTAAATTGGAAAGAAAAGAAATATTTTTATTTTTCAACTGTGAAGTCAAATTTGCTCTCTGTAAATTTTGTATGATCCAAAATCCAAATTATAGACATGAAATAAAAGCTCAAATTCAAAAGGTTAAATTATTTCAACATTTAAACATTACAATAAAACACAGGTACATGTAGTTGGATAAAAAAAAAATGTTGATGTTGAAAGCAAATTGAATTATTTCTTATCATCGTCACCATACTTCTTTTTGTTGATTATCAACATTTTATTTCATTTTTATTCCCAGACCCTCGTCCTGTTGTGGAGTGCAGTTTTGTCACAGAGTTTGAGGATCATATTTTTGTTGCCATGGATGCAGAGGTCATTCTGTTCCTTCATGACCTTATTCTGTCGTATATCAAGGAGAAGGACAAAGGTAGGGACATAGTGATTAAACATTCCATAAAGGTATACAACTGTGACAAAACATTCCATAAAGGTAGACAACTGTGACAAAACATTCCATAAAGGTAGACAACTGTGACAAAATATTCCATTAAGGTAGACAACTGTGACAAAACATTCCATAAAGGTAGACAAATGTGTCAAAACATTCTGTAAAGACATCTCCATCTGTTGGCTTATTTGATTTTAAGGTTAATAAAAAAAAAAAAGAATGTTCAGATTTCCATTCATAATTTGAAATATGTATTTTTTACTTTCTTTGGACAGTAGCGTTGTATTTATATGTACTTGGTGCTTATCCTTAAAAATACAGTGTATTTTCTTATTTTTCATGAAAACTTTACCATTATTTTACATATTTAGAGAATCTCAAAAAAATTACCCAAACATAAAGCTTTCTACTAAAAAAAAGGCATTTAATATATTTCACAACTGGTTGACACACTTTATAAGCCAGCTGTAGCCAAAATTATGTGAAATGTTGATTTAAACTTGGTTAATTATAGATTAAAAGTGACTACAAAACAATTTTTAGGGACTAAACCTCCATACGGAACAAGTTCTAAATCTCCACGAACCCCAGAAACAGAGAGAAAGAGGATAACAGACCCCACATCTGCTCTGAAGGAGGACTGGAGGGTGTTCGAATGTAATACTTGGCATCTAGAGCCCACAGTCAGGTAAGTGTTGTAAGAGACTATGAATGATAAGGCTTTTTGCAAGTTCATGGCATAATGAAATGTGAACATAATTCAAACTACAAGATTGTTGCATTCTTGATAATGTGAAATATATTTACATGACTGTATGTTGCATTTAATTTTCATTCAAAAGAATGATATGCAAATTATAATGAACCTAATGCACAAAAATAATTTTAGAAAGCTTTCTCTAAAGTACAGTAAGAATCAAAGCAGATTTGAGATAGAAATGGCCAACTTATATTTTACAGACTTCTGCACTGGGCCAGTAAAGGTAAAGAAATTGACACAGTGGTAGTGGACTATGTCTTACAGAAGCTAGGATTTTCTCATGCTCGAGTCACCATTCCAAAATGGATGCAGAGAGGATTCATGGATCCACTAGACAAACTGTTATCATTCCTGATAGAAAAGCTCATTCTCGCTCTCAAAACTCAAGAAAAAGAAGTTGCTGAGGATGCATAGATTTTTTTTTAAACAGAAAAAAAATATGTGTCAACTTTAGCTTTAACCTATCGTGTGATGTTTTATGGTAAATGTATAGACAATCAGAATATAGAAAATTTAACCTTTTTTGGGAGTGTTAAACATTTTTATGATTAATGTACATTTTGAATATTTTAATTGTGATTCAATGTAGTATAAAGTGCACAGTAACTTGTATCAAATAATGGTTAATATAAAGTTATTCATTATAATTATTATATAATAATAATGATGTTATAATGGAAATTAAGAAAATATTTATAAGTTTGAAAAAGAGCTTCACACATGAGTTGGTGTGCAAAATTCCAAATACTGGTAGGTCTTTTTTTTCTTTTAAAAAGAAGAAAAGAATACTTTGATCAGATTTTAAGATCTGTATAATTTTGTATAAACAAGTACAATGTGTGTGTAAATATGGCTAGTAATTAAGTAATTATAATTATGTATAATATATTGATTTTAACTGTACAACAGTATCGTAATCATTTGTATGAGTTGTATACTTTCCATAATGTAAGTAAGTCATAATATTTACATAGACCTGTACACGTAGTACAGTATGTACACGTCTAACAGATGTGCTAAACTTACTATATGTACATGTACCTAACTCAAACATGGTTCCATTTTGGAGAGCAAATGTACAGAAGCTAGTCTTAATATTAATCTGAATTCTTTTTGTGTCTACTAGCTTCAAAAATAAATTTCATGTTGGCTAATGATTTCAATTTTAAAAACATCAAAGGAACCCATTTAAGCTGTTGCTTATTCTTGAACTGTGTTATATATTTTTAATATTTTGCACAGTGGTTAAATCTAATATTGAATTATTGATTTAAGTACGTTCATAAATGATTAAAAAGTTGTAATACAACTGTGATTGTTTTAAGAGAAGGCATTTAATTGTGTAATTAATTGTGAAAAAATGGGGCATTGTAATTTTACATTATTTCATAATTACCTGTACAGATATATATACATGTATAAAATTGTACTTGCTAATCTCCCCAAAACAGCAGGATACTTCTGAAAACATTTTTTTCTCTCTTCTGAAAATATTTCAGTATTTACTATGCATTAGGCATATTTGTCATTAAATTTTTTGGAAGAGAGACATCAATATTTACAGAAATGTCAATTCAGGGATGATTTTCTTATTCAGAAATGTCCTGCCTCCTTATATTTTCTTGCTTATTGTAAGAATGTTAGATAGAGACTGAATATATATAACAATTTTTGTGTGTATATGGTTAAGAAATGCATAATAATCAATACAGTGTATAATGTTATGTACAGGTATTACTACATGTATGTGGAACTATGATTTAAGTATTTTTAACTTCATTGTCTCAAAATGCACTGTATCTTGCAGATACTCAAATTCCAGTTTATTTTGCTCATGACATTTCTATACATAGCAGAGCTGTACTAGCTTCTACATTGTATGTATTTGATTCATCAAGAAATCTAACCAAAGCTATGGAGTTATAGTTAGTATTATTTTTTATAATCTCTTTTCTTCCAGATTCATAAAATTTGTATATTGAAATTCAATAGAAATTTTTATACAGTCACATTTAACTGCCACAAATCATGTTCGAAACTTTCCACTATTCTGGTCATGCTTTTTACTTTACTACTTTACGTTTGTCAATTCGTCACCATGTCTGTGTACAGCCCCACCCCTCACCCTTTATCTCACAGATCTCATTTTTGCAGTGTGGTTAAGTCGCATGTCTTAATTTGTCACAAAATTAATAAGTTAATTTAATGTCATCGCCGAAATTGAAAAGCACAGGTTGTTCATAGAAGTGTTGTAGATAGATTTATTGCACAGTGCCTGTGATAACGAGATGTTTATAACGAAATATTTACATTTCCAATGTCTTTGTCCGAGATAAAACTACAAATAGTAAAAATACTTTATTTCTACATAAATCTACTGATTCATCGATAGGCGTGGTTAAAAAGAATCACATGCGGGGCGGGAAAAATAGAGACAGAAGCGGGTCTTGTAGCTCGTGAATTTGCAGAATCAAGAGCATGTAAATATAAGGAATAACTGTCAGATTTTTTGGTTTCATGAAGATGATCAATCGATTGGCTTGCGTGATAATTTTATGCATAAACGCCTTCGGCATTTATGCAAATTATCACTCAAGCCAATCGATTGATCACATCATGAAACCAAAAAATTAGACAGTTATTCCTTAAATAACTCATTTACGGGTAAAATAGTATTTCTAGTCTAGACAGATAGTTCTTGTGCAATTTTAAAAAAATCTATAGAGAATTTTTTTTTTGGAAGTTTAATTAAACAGCTTTTTTTTTTTTAAATGAAAAAAGTTATAAGAATATTTTTTATCACAACAAAAACAAATTCTATAAGATTCTTTGTGGAAAGCAACCAGTATATTAAATGTAAGTTGAAAAAATACATTAAATTCTCTGACATATATTTCAATATTACATTTTATATGCTGTGGTACAGGGAAGACAAAGTCTGTGGGATATCAGGATTTTTTTTAACACCCACATTAAAAATAAAAACTGTCCTGTATAATTATGTACATCAAAGAATATCTTATCACTTTGTAATGTATCCTGTATTATTTACATCTGAGTTTCCTGAATGGTGTGAACAAGACAACACTCCCTAACTTTTATATTCCTTCTAACATTAGAACCCCTAGACCAAGTACCTTGTTATGTCCTTACATTTGTTTCTGTTAAAGATTAATAAAAACCGGTAACACAAAAACTGTTTTGTTTTGTTTGATAAAATGATTTATTATATGGTGGATTTGAAGCTTTAGACATTTCCGTCTGTCAGTGCATGTAAGGTAATGCTTATCAGCCTGGATATTTATTATTTATCAGATGCTACCAATGCCTATAAAAATCTGGGGTTCTCATAGATCATTTAGCTGAGTTGGTGACCATCCCTAAGAGCTCTATTTTAACAAAGGGCATTATACCTTTACCCAAGGGCACTCTTTGTTTAAAGTTTGAGTCAGATGGGGCCTGTTACAGAAAATATGCTCCAGAAAAGGATTTTACACAGAGAGGTTTTCTGACCTTTCCTCTAGAAAATTGGCTCAAGTACACTATGCACACTCTATCCACGGGCTTTCTATGGATGAAGTACAAGTCCAAATGGGCCAAGGAGAGAGGAGAGGAAAAGGATTTCACACAAAGAGATTTTCGACTTTGAACTTTCATCTAAAAATTTTGTTCAAGGTCACTGCACACCGTCAACCCATGTGCACTCTAATGGGTGAAGTATGAGCATAACTGGGCCAAGGGGAGAGAAAATATGCTCCAGACAAGGATTTAACACAAAGAAATTTCTTACCTTGACCTTTCACCAGTTAATTCATTCAAGGTCAATGAACACCCTCAACCCATGGACACTCTATGGGTGAAGAATGAGTTCAACTGGACCTCAGAGATAAAAAAATAAACTATTGACAGGGATTTTATGCAAAGATTTTCTGACCTTGACTTTATCTAGAAAATGTCAAGGCCACTAAACACCCACTACCCATGGGCCCTCTATGGGTGAAGTTTAAGCCAAACTGGGCTCAAGGTGAGAGAAAATATGCTCCAGACAATGATTTTACAAAGAGATGTTTTTTAACCTTGATATTTGATCTCCATGGGCACTCTATGGGTTGAGTTCATCTAGGCCAAGCAGAGAGAAAAATGTTCTCTGCAAAAAGAAATTGGATGGACTGATGGATGGACAGTCAGACTGATCACTACAGAACACCAACGCAGTGGGGGCCTAATTATTCACTTTGTTGAAATTACTTTCTTTCCAGACATTTATATTAATTGAAACCCATGGAGTTACATACTGCTGAACTTTGACTTTCAATTCCCTAATAAATAAGCATAAATGGTATACATTATATTATATGATTAACTTATATTCAGTCCTTAACCTTTTGAAAGGTCAAAAATTAAGGTTTCCTTCCTAACATCACATTAAAACAGTTGAAATATGTAATTGTGACCTTGACTTGTTTTTCTATTCAGCTACAAACTTTTGGCAATTTAAAACTGAAAGTTAAATGACCCTCTTCCTGTAGATATCATACCCACCACAATTGTGATCTTGACCTTTCTAGCATGATAACTAAAGATAAACCAGAGTACCCAGTATGGCTTTTTCTTCTGGTAAGTTAATCATTTAATTTAAAGTTCAACAGAACTGACATACATGTACATGTATTAATTTTCAATAGATCAAAAATATACAGCTATCTTGAAGTGCATGTACAATGTACATGTATCAGTCCTAACCAAACATGTAGTAAATAAAGACAGCTATATACATTTTTTTTAATAATTTATTTAAGAATTCATGCCAATGGGAAGAAATAAATGTTTATTTTCTTTGTACTTCATATATGAATGCATGTATTCACATCATAATTTATAAACATAAAACTCTTCACAACCAATTTATAGAGATTATCATTCAAGTATTAATTATATCAAATTTAAAATAAGACATTTTCAGTTTAGTAGGAAATTAACAGAGATCTGGGAATTACTTTAAACTAATTTTATACAGAAAAAAGACATTTCTTTGTATTAAAAAAAAGCAAATACATGTAAAAATAAATTATAAGAAAAATAAATGGATGGAATTCAGATTGTGACTAGTCACAAAAATAATATCACATATAAAGGTAAACATCGATGAATACTCATAAATACTTAATAAATAAATAAAAACTCATAAACGTTAGACTTCATCGTTTTGCAGATCTACACAGGTACTTCACTAATTTGATTTCTCAGAAAAGTAGAAAAATCAATACATTGTATAACTTGCTGGCTACAGAAGCAAAGCAATGTGCACAGAAACTTGATTTCACAACAGTTGTTATTAGAGTTCAGTAGTAGGCTAAAGTCCAATAATGATTGCTAACTCAATGATGATCAGTGTGCACAAGGCTGCTGTAAGTCACTGTATCACGTCTTCTATGTTGGCCTCCTTCTGTTTCCTAAAATATCACATAAACATGTTTCAGTAATGGACAAAAATGTTAGTAAAGACATCAAAGAACAGTCACGATACACCCCCAACCCCTACCTACCCTCAACAACATTCTGTCTTACTGAAAACATGCAACAATGATTTTGATAACTATGAACCTTATACTGCATCTTTGATGACTGTAGATTTTAATTTCATTTGCATTAAGATTGGTATAATTATAATTACATGACTGTATATGTATACATGTACATTTTTAAAAAGTTACTGGAGGGAAGATTTGTGAAGCTTGCATAATTGTTATGGTCAAGTCCCCTGAAGGACTGGGACTGTGAAATCTAGTTTTTGTTTCCTTTTATCCATTGATGCTGAAGTGCAGCACTTTCAGAGAAGAAGCTCAAAATGTTAAAAGTTTACAACCCAAAAATGGTGTATGTGAATTTGAATGATAAATTAGAATGAAAATAAATGTACAGTGTCTACAAAGAAAAGTTGGTTTACAATACTTGGTGAGAAGATTTGCTGAGGACTAACTTTTTAGAGCTCTTTGGTCGACTGGATTTGGGCCGACTGGACTTTGGTCTGGCTGATTTGGATGACTTTGGTCGCAGTGCCTTCTCCATAGCTTTCTCAGCTGTTTCTGCTGTGTATGCCAAGTAGATATTACTGAGGTCTGGTGCTGAATACTGCAAGAAAAAAACATACGGTAATCAGAACAAAGCTAAAGGCAGAAAAAGGTTAACACATGATTGTACACTTTTGCAGTATCCTATCTAAAATGCCTTTTTTCATCATTAATGACATACATCTGCAAAACAATTGATTCTGTCAACAACAATAAACATCAGAAAAAAACTTTTATTTCAATGTCTACACTACTCAGTATTACTATTCAACAACAAACTGCAGCTGTTAACCTTGTAGATACCGAGATCTACCTTTTCCTTGTCCTTCTCTGGCTGTGGTGATTGTTTCCTCATGTTATTACCGGAGTAAGCCACACATCGGAGCTGCCACTCCCCGATATCATCATTCCATGTCACATTCTGCTCAATCATGTCCTTATAATACAAAAGACTACAGTAATTAAATGATGAAAAGAGGAAATATTTCATTCATAGGATCTCATTATGATGCATCTCCAATGGAGTTATAAAGTAGGTATAGTGTGTAACTCTATGTATTTTTTTGTGCATTTTCATTTGTTCAAAAGAAGCCTTAAAAGGAATGTTCTGGCCAAGGAACAATTATATTTAGAGACAAATCCAGACATACATGTCAATTCTTCCATCAATATTTTTAAATGTTTCTGAGATCTACTACACACATTAATGTGTAATCTGACATTCTTAACAGCACATTAATTACATGTAGATGTTCTTTATAAATTAAGTGTTGTATATACTCCTGCTTAGTCTGATGTTTACATTTACCTGATACTCTAGTGCTAGTGTTTAACTGATACTCTGGTTGTAGTGTATACTCCTACATAGTCTGATGTTTACATTTACCTGATACTCTAGTGCTAGTGTTTAACTGATACTCTGGTGCTAGTGTTTAATTGATACTCTGGTTGTAGTGTATAAGCCTGCATAGTCTGATGTTTACATTTACCTGATACTCTGGAGGTATGAAGTTGTCAATGAGTGTCATCTGTAGTTTGAGTTCTCGACTTAATTGCCTGACATTCTCTAACAGACCCTCCATTTCTCTCTGATGCTCCTGTTGTAGATCCGCTATCTGAAATACAAGGTATAAATACAGCTGTCTTAATACACCATGTTAATTCAATTTCCTTTGAGTTGAAAATTAAAATAAAATTGCTCAGGGTTGTGATTTTTTTTTTATGTAAGCTCAAATATTTGTGATACCAGAAATATAACACTGAGATTCATGCATATGGGAAAATCACTCACCTCAGACTTTGCCTGCATTAGCATGGTCCACACCTTCTTCAGTTTCTTGGTCTTGCCCTGGATTTCTTCCTGCAGTGAGCTGTACTTCTCCTCAATGTCTACTTGTTCTTGCTGTAATTGAGTTTATTAAAATAGAGAATAATACCCACCCTTTTCCCATATCACATCCTGAGACAGCCCAAGACACCAATATCAGACAGAGGGCCTAAGGCCCAAGGACTGATATTGGTCGAGGGCAGATCCAGGGTGTGATATGGAAAAGAGTATGTCTATCAATTATTATGAGCAAATACAAATAAATAAACACTGACTAGCTTATCAAGAGAATTTTAATGAAAGAAATAGGTGTGCAATAAAGAACTGTATCAGCCCTGCAGCCCTGGAGAAGCTGATTCAGTTATTGAGACATCAGTCATATCAAATATGCAAAAAACCTGTATTTATTACTGAGTAGCGTAATAAGTGGCTACACTAGAATTATATCTAGTGTGGTCATGCTTTATGGATACATACCAGTTATTATTGGGCAAAATCTAATATTTATGATGAATGGTGTTAATTGATATTAATCGAAAGTACACTTACAAACATTTTTTAATACATTTAAGGGACATGCTATCTTTTTAGTGAAGATAATTTGCTGTAAACTAACTTTCATTTCTATGTGAGAAATTCACACTGTACACGTATCCTTAAGTTTCGAGACCTTCCTTTAGTCTCTTGTGTATATTCCTTGCCACAAGCCGACTATTTTATTGTGTACTGATATAAAATGTTTCCTCAGAAGCACAAATTAATAGTTGCAAATTGATTTCAAACTGATGAGTTGCAAATAAAAGTTGATTTACAATATTTAAGGTATATGGTGCCTAACCTCTTTTTCCTGCAGAGCCTTTCGGAGCTCCTCTTCCTTGGCCTTCCTGGCCTCCAACTCTTTGGCCGACTCCTCAAGCAGCCGTTCCTGCTCCTCAGCCTTCTCCAACAGATTTTCTCCTCCCACTATAATTTTCTTCTCCAGAGCATTTAGTTTATTTGCCAGCTGATCCTGTTCTTCTCTGAAAGAAAAATTTACATAATCTTCTAAATAAATTTTTTTTTATTCATTTATTTTTATTTTAATGAAACTTACTTAATCTCATAAGCCTTCAAAGACAGATGGTTCGCAGAGAAAGTCTGCATATTATGCAAAGAAATTCTTTCATAATTGATGATGCATCCACTGACTTTTCCTAATAATTTGACTGAAAGTTGATACCGAAGCTGATGCTTGATATTAACTATACTAAAATTTTACCTTTATATAAATAATATAAAGTCCAGCACATTTTGAAAAGTTTAATGAAAATTTGATTATGGTGTCAGTACTCAATATACATGTATATGCATGTACATGTACTATGTTGAGAAATTAATAAATGTGCTGATTAGTCCAGTCAATTTATCATGAAACATCAAACTAATTGCAACACAATTTCTTTTGTCATAAATAAACTCTAGAATGCACAAAATAAATGTAATTAAAAAACCTATCAAAATCAGATGAGGGGAAATCATTACATGGGGTTCATAAATTTTCTATGAAAATTACTATAGGAAAGGTGCATAACTCTTGTCAATTAGTAAATTTTGGTTATAATTCTGAAGCATTTATCAATCTTGAAGAAAGAAGAAGTGAATTAAACTATGTATAATTGTGTATAATGACATTTATAGATGCAGTAAAAACCTTTTATACTTAAAGAAAACAAAATAATACAGATGTTTAAGCTCACTTCAGAGTGATGTTGCATTTCTTAGCCTCATGATAATAAAATTTAGGGTAGAGATTATCAAACACAGATTAAATTTAGTCTCTAAATCTTTATGGATATGTTTTTATTATTATACTGATCTATTAAACTGTATCAAAAAATTTTTAATTAGATTATGCTTTCATAAAAAAACAGGAATTTTCTTTCAATTACTCCAGCAAAACATGGGATGAAAATTAACAGAGTTATATCCCTTCTCTATAGTATACAGTTAAAGTATATCATTGAGGGAGTTAGCAAGATTCCAGTTCCCCAAGGCAAGGACTATTTCCTGAGGCAAAGCCAAGGGAAATAGTCCTGGTCAAGGGGAACTGGAACCTTGCTAACTCCCGCAATGATATAATTTTAACTGTTTTATTTTACCGATACAAACATAAAATTTAGAGGATTCAGATAGTGTGATTTTAAAGCAAGGATTAGCTCACTGAACTAACAAGGTGATTATTCCATTCACATATCATACCAATGTAAAAGTAAAATCTAGAGGATTACGGATAACTGGGAATTAGCTTTCGAAGCAGGGATTAGCTCACTTGACTAACACATGGGGATTAGGCCATTCATAACGATTTCTAGGGAATTAGTCACATCTAACGATCTTATGTAATATAAGGAAAATATTAGACAGTAGAGGTATAATAATACATTGTAATTCCCATAGCAAATTACATCATGCCATATCATGCTTTCTGTTCATTACATTTTCAAATTTTTTACTGCAAATATTATGTATATGTTACTAGATTTCATTTTTGTCAAAATAATTTAAGTTGCAATTAGTTTGACTTTGGTCCCAAATTTTCACTAAATTGACTGGACTAGATTTTTCATGACATACTTAATACACTAATATTCCTAAATATGTTTAAAATTTCCTAGTAAATCTCCTGGAATTTCCATAAAAGACTTTTTTAGATTTTTCTTAATAAATCTAAGGATTCAGAAGCTTTCTGATATATTCTTGAATAAAACTTGCTGGAATGTTTCTAATAAACCTACTGGAGTCCTAATAAACCTACAAGAAATCCCTGTCAGAAAGTCCTACTAAAATTTCATTTAAGAATTGGAATTTTCTGTCAGATAAACCTACTGGAATTTTCTGTCAAATGAACTGAATGGAATTTCCAATGAGATAAACCTACTGGAATTTTCTGTCCAATACACCTACTGGCATTTTCTGTCAGATAAACCTACTGGAATTTTCTGTCAAATGAACTGAATGGAATTTCCAGTGAAATAAGCTTACTAGAAATTTCTGTCCAATACACCTACTGGAATTTTCTGTCAGATAAACCTACTGAAATTTCCTATCAGACAAACCCACTGGAATTTTTTATCAGACAAACCCACTGGAATTTTTTATCAGACAAACCTACTAGAATTTCCTATCAGATAAACCTACTAGAATTTCCTATCAGATAAACCTACTGGAATTTCCTACCAGATAAACCTACTAGAATTTCCTATTGATAAACCTACTGGAATTTCCTATCAGATAAACCTACTGGAATTTTTCTATCAGATAAACCTATTGGAATTTCCTATCAGATAAACCTACTGGAATTTCTTGTCAGATAAACCTACTGGAATTTCTTGAGTTCCATCTCTTTCTCCTCTAGATCCTCCTTCACTTTGTTTCTCTCCTCCTCGGCCATGTCCTTCTTTGATTCCAGAATTTTCCTGTCTTTCTCAATTTTACTCTGAATCTCAGCCATCTTCTCCTTGGAAATGTGTTTACGTTCTGAATGCATAAACATGTATATTGTTCAACACTGTAAATCACATATACATGTATTTTGCTTAACTTTATAATTGCAAGGCAATAAAATTCATTTTTTTCTTGAGACAAACAAGTTACTTTGGGTATCATCCATGTAAAAAAAAAAGTCTTTGTTTCCCATTCAACTTTACAAATTACTTGTAAGTCTAAGTCTCACAAATAATACATGATTTATAGTATTTATTTATTTATTTTTGATGTCCAATCATAAAATCTTTAAAAAATTATTAAACCCCCTAAGTGGTCCAGTTATAATGTATGTAGTTATGTTGCACAATGGCATTCATCTCTGAGATAAATAAAAATAATTATCAACAGCTAAACAAATTTGACAAATAAGATACACAATGTTGCTGTGATGTACAATGCTTCTTATTTTTTTTAAATTTTCTCAAGCTCATAAACTTTATTAAAAAAAAACAAATTTACTACAAATTATTGTAGGCTGTGTCAAAAAAATTGTTATTTGCCCCTTTAAAAATGCAATCTAGTTCAAAAATAAAAGCTTGGGCATGTTCAATATGAGGTTTCAAATAAATATGCTACAAAGCAAATATAACAGACTGCAATGAAAAGAATTAAACTGATTTTAACAACATGGCTGTTATGACCAGATGCAAGTATGAATCAAATTTTTAAATATCCCTTCACAATATTATACAGTAAATCTACAGTCTCTCATCAACAAAACTAATAAGCTGCATCCAAAAGAATCTCAGCATTGTAATTTATCTCAAACTGTACATAAATCAAAATGGGCTGTTACTATGCATGCCTGGGGCATTCTTTCAAAGAAACGAAATGGGAAATCAAGGTTTTCAATTTTTTTTAAATTCATTAGACACATATGTGTATTATGTTATTAAAAAAAAGTAAAATATGAATTTCAAAATGAAATACGTTTTGTTGCTAAACTTACCATCTTCTTATGAGTAGAAATCCAATATTTGAAAACAAAAAAATTATAGGATAAATGTGACAATTGCATTGAATTGATGTAAAAATAGTGAAGGATCCAGTATATAAGAACATTTAAATTTGAATTTTAACTACAGTACAGTAATAGTACATGTATGTTGTGTATCAAGATGCTCTTCTACCTTGTGGACATTACACATACTGACAACAGTTGCACAATGAACAGTCTGTTCACAACATTTTCCTACAGTGAATTTTTTTTAATAAACCCAATCTTACTGGCATAGATTTACAAGCTGGTTTGTGTTATTTAATGCTAGTTTGGAAAGTAAAAGCAGTGTACATATGTACATTTTAGCTTTGAAGAATGTTGGATAAAAAGACGTAGGTGTTCTTTTAGTCTATCAAGTATTTTAACAGCAGCGGACCTTAAACTTAAGATATTACTGTGACAGTGTATGCTTTTTGATATTTTAAAGTTTGTGCTTTTAATGTTCATCAAGATTCAGAAATGTGGAATAGACTCTGAACATCTTTTTAAATTTTCAGAATGGGAAAAATAAGGGATAATATTTAAAAGAGAAGAGATAGATTTATTTATGTTTCAATAGCATGGCCCAAGAAACCTGTTACATTGTATAACGGATGAAATCTTGAAGCTGAGACAGAGAATAACAGATCATCAAGGATGTATATTCACGTAAAGGTGCAATGTGCTATCTAACAAGCTTATGAACAGAATCAACACATTGTTACCTTTTTGTCCTTTTCCTGTGGTGATATAATACACACACACACATATGATTATATGTTTAAAAGGAACAAAGCTTGTGGTGATAAATAATGAACAGCTACTGTACAGATACATGAATGTGAGGAATATGAACGACTACTCCTGTTCAAAATTCAAATATATTGAAAATATTTCCTACATACCCGGTAGTGTCAAATTTGTTTTTGGAATATACATACACATGTACATGTATTGTGCATTTAGTTTAGAATGATTTAAAATATTTTTTTTAATAATTTAAATTCTTCATACCATTGTGTGTGTCTCAAAGTAAATATAATATTAGTACAATATCTAATTCTTTGTAAATAAATCTACACAGGAAATATATTTTAAACTAATCTACATAAAACTTTATGTATATGTGAATACATATAAATATACAAGTGACACAAAATTTTCAAACATGTTAATTACAGTACATACAGCATGTACATGTATCTGATATATATTGGCTATAAGAATGAATGATATGAATGAACAGAACACAATGAAACTTTACAAGTATAGAATACTAACCTCGCTTCTTCTTCTTTTTCTTCACCCTCCTGACGACTCCGTCCTCCCCCACCTCCTCCTCACTTTCCTCCTCCTCAGAGTCCCCCGACTCATAATCTGATCCTAGAGCAACAAAACAACAGACTGGGTCAAAACTAACCAAAAGTAAAACTTTTAATCATGTGTAAAATTCCTGTCAGACAAAAAATCTGAACTAAGTCTGCTACATCCTACATGTAAAAAACATTGAATCTCTCCAAATCTGGCACCATTTTCAGAAAAGAGAGAAACTATAAGTTGCAATATAAAAGAAGTACATGTCAATCTCAATGTCATAAACTTAATATAATTTTTCAAACTACATTGACATTTTTTTCTAAATAAAATGGGAACATGCTTAAAGAACTCTTTTCAATACAGAAACCACACCAGTCTTGTGTTTTGTAAATCAGACCTTCTTCCAGCTGTTTCCTGAGCTCATCTATCTCCTTCTGGAACTGTCTTAACAATGCGTCCTTGGGATCCTCATTGATCTTTGCCTTGTTCTGGATATTCTTAGCTCTGTTTGCATAGCGCAAAGTACTGATGGACTCATCATAGTTATAATCTGCTGGTCCAATGTTTGCAATCTAAAAGATTTCATTCAATGTCATTAACACACAATATTTCAAGTAGAGAGTATTACAGTTCACATTTACATGTAGTTGCTCCTGTAACTCATTTCAAAATGTTTTCTTTTTATCAACTACTGTACATGTATAAAATGGTTAATAATATTCAGGGCTTTCAAAAAGATTAGAAACAGGCAGTACTTTTTAAAAAGTAAGAAATACCTGAGGAAGCAATTTTAATTAAATATGTTATCAAATTTTTCTTTAACGAATATTTTGGCCATTACATTCATGATTTCAACAGGGTAAAAGTACAGGGTACCTGCATATTTTGAAAGGTCTGAATATTGCAATAAATCCTAACTACAGGTAACTTTCCTTAATCATCTTTGTTTACATTATTAAAATGACTAGTTTTACCATAGCTGTCTTTGAGTTTCCTCCCAGTGAGTCCTGTAAGAGCCTGGTAAGTTTGGAGTTTCTGTACGGAATGTGAGTACTTTTACCATCCACTAGGGAGGAGATGACATTACCCAGGGTGGAGAGGGACAGGTTGATCTTTGTGGCCTCCTTCAGTCTCTGTCCAGTAGCTCCTGTTTTAGCCTGTCTCTCTGATCCCTGAATTTAATGTTTTGATATTTAATTTAAGTACTGCCTTTCACTGTTAATTCATTAACCCCCTTTTTGCAAATACCTCAAGAGTTTTTTGTTTTTATATTAAAAACATTTCTACTTAGCAAATCAAGAAGTCTGTGTAAATAATTCCCTAAAATCTCTGGTCAGTACATACAAAATGTTTAAGCACACAAGATGCCTTTTCATTTCAATGGAAACAAAATGCTGTCAAATGTGTATTATATAGATAAACTAACACATCAAAACTTTCTGTGTATCATTGTTATCTTGGTAACGTCAAACTTTATCAATAGACCACAAACCAAAACACAGCACTCTTTATTTACTTACTGCCAAGTCTACTAGATGTAGTTTGCCGACTCGTACATGCTGTTTACCATCAGGATATTTCTCACTACATTCAATGGTGACTGTGAAGATGGCATGAGATCTAGAACTGTGGAGATTCATGTTTGTTGCACCCACATGTCCTAATAAAATACAATCATAACATAAAAGAAAAATTTCATATTTAAGCTACATTTTCTACTAGAGTGAATTAATTGTTGCAGCTTTTTTATGCCAGATTTTTTTTTTTTCAAATTTATCCACTTGATGAAATACAACATAAACTGAGGAGTATTCCTAGAAGCAGACAAGCCTACTTATAGATCAGTTATTACATGTACATTTTAAATTATTTATAATAGTTCAAATGTTTTATTAAAGGAATATAATATAAAAGAACTCCAAACTGACTGGCAAAGAATTATATCATATGATGAAAATTTCCCTCTAGCATTCCAATACTTACTGTTTTTGTTTCCAATTGTCATGATTCTGTCCATGTCATCAGCATTATTGACACTGAATGCTGACAGGTCCTTCACATACACCCCAACGTCTGGTCTCTCTTTCACCTACATGTACAGTGCATTAAATTCATAGTTACTGTTCTCATGGATAAATGCTAAAGCCCAATATCATGTAAAACTGCTTCAGTAAAAGATATTGCTTAAAGAAATAAGTTTTATCTGTTATTGAAATCTGTTATTAAAATTACATAGGAACTCAACATAACATAGAAATTTGGCTGTAAACACACAATTACCTCTAGTCTGGCAGACTGATCTTTACCCAGCAGATCTCTGACTTCCTCATTGTAGATTTCCAGATAGCAAACTCTGACCAAAAATCTGTAACAAACAGTTATACAGTTATTATAATTCACCATAATTATACTCAGCACCTAAACAAAAAAAAAATCATTAATGCATAGGGAATTCCTATTCTAATGATGTATTCATTGCTATATTTTTAAGATGTTGTGCTAAACTGAACTCTAATGAACATATCTTGTGTTATATTTCAAATCTATAATTATTCATCAATAAATGTACCTAGTATCCCCTTCTGCTTTTGCTATGTGACCAAATATGTGAGCAAAAGAGTTAGGAATTATCCCCCTTAACTCCGGCACAGATCTGACCCCCTCCATGGTGAAAGTCTTCCCTGTACCAGTCTGTCCATAGGCGAATATGGTTCCTGAAAAAATACCATAAGTAACATTTACTGTACAATATTAATAACTAGACAGAAAAGGATTCTGATTTTCAAAGCTCATTAAGCATATTTAAAATTAAATTACATTAAGGTCCATTAACTAAAAATTATGATCATAAATGTTTGGCATAAAGAAAATCTAACCATTGTAGCCTTCTAGGACACATTCCACTATAGGTCTGGCTGTTTTATTGTACACGTCTACTTGTTTACAGTTTGTGTCAAACACTGTGTCAAAGGTGAAGGTTTTGGGAGGCTCCCCTGATCCAGCATTTGGAGGTTTCACTACAATGGTACCTCTCACTTCATCAACCTGTAAGTTATAAAGAAATTGTTTAAAAGAGTAAACAGTTGAAGATTGATAAATAATTTAATTTCAATTTTTTTTTTCCTTTAGATTTCTCTTAAATCATTTATCAATCATTGGTCATACTTACACATTCATCAATAATTTATGATCAATCAGAAAATTTGAAATGATTTTTAATACAGAATCTGCATAAGTCAAAAATGTGTGGCGATCAGCCAGGTTTGGTTGCTAGTGGCCAGATAGCTCAGTTGGTAGAGCACCTGACTAGTGATTCAGGGGGCCTGGGTTCGAATCCTGGCCAGGTCCATTGCATTTTTCTCCTTATCTGTTATGCATTTGGTGCCAAGCCACATCCTGGAAGTGACAGGTAAATATTTACCAGGCATTGGTGCCTTCAGGAGTGAATACCTTTAAGGAGGTAGGAATGTGGTGGTCTGACAGGTTTGATCACTGGTGGCCAGAAGCTCAGTTGGTACAGCACCAGTGGTTCAGGTGGCAGGTTCAAATTCTTGTCTGGTCCATCACATTTTTATCCGTACCAGTTACAAATGTACTTCCCAAGATGGACAATGAAATTATCATGACATTGGTAAATTCTGTATCTCACCTTGACACACTGTGTACAGCTCTGCTCTTTCTCCTTGTCATTCAGTGGCCGACATCTGACACAAACCTGGACACAGTCCGAGTCCTTAGCACTCTTTTTCTCCTTCAAATAAAAATGGAGTATACGTATGTGACATTCATCATTGAATTGCTACATTATTATTAATGTGTATCAGTGAAAATAATCATCAAGTGTTAAGCAGTGTTTATAGATAACAGATTCTAAGAAAAGATTTCAAGTTATGCCATTTCACTAGGCCTAAAAATTCGAAGTAAATTTATGACTTGTAGCCCTATGAGATCAAAATAACCTCTTACCGGCATGTTGCTACTAATCAGTTTTCCATCAGCTTGTTAAGAAAATTCTTCTTCCTAATAAGTAATTGTAAGTACCTGTAACACTTACAGGCCTCTATTCTCAAAACTGTGTCTCACTTATTCACTGTCTGTCAATATAAAAATATTTGGTATGTATCACTGTTAATTTTATCTTAATTTTGATTGGCTAAATTAATTTATCTTTCGAAGGCCCTCTAGATTTTCCAAACAAATTGATTACGAAAGAACAAGATGGCTGCGCCCTTGGACTGACGGAATCTTCTTGATGTTCTAAATCTTTAATTCAGGTGAATTATAGTTAAATTGTAAGCAAACAGAGATAAAAGCAAATCAGACACGAAAAGTCAACATGATGACAAGACTGCAGATCAGAAAACTAATGCTAAAGTGGTTTTTCAGACCCAAGTTCGAAATTCCTCAACAATTGTTGTTTGTCAGACATCGTCTAAGTTGGCAGAAGAGTCGCCGAATGTTAACTATTTGGCCTTTGTATTAGATGAACATTGTAAACTGATGAAAATACAACTATGGTTTTGGATTATTTGGATTGTGTAGGAGACATAAACTGTACCACAGGCCTCTGAATTTCTATCAATAAGCCGTTATATGATTGATCAGGGTGATATATATACCCCCTCTGTATATGTATTTATATATAGAGGGGGTATATATATCACTCTGATCAATCATATAACGGATTATTGATAGAAATTCAGAGGCCTGTGACTGTACCATGGGTACAAGTGCTTAAACTTAACTGTTCAAGTTTTCATACAATACATTAAGTTTTTATATCCTCTGTTTTTAGAAAAAAGAATGGCAACTGCTGATGAAAACACAGAAGAAAAGAAATCAATCTTCTTCTGGAGAAACTGGGGAAGAAAATGTGACAGAGTGAGAAAAGAGTTGTATGAATGTGTGATAGTCACTGATTGTTGTCAAAAGGTATTGTTTTAATGACATACAGTGTACCTTTAATGTCTATTACAAGACTTGTAGGCATTGATGTGGATTACTTTTTCTAAAGTTATAATATGTTGACAGTGCGACCGTTAGGGTGAGCGTAGATACCTATGCAGTTTTAATTTACATCCGTATCTTCAAACCCCATGTGGATTTTTGGTACGTCTAGTCTCTGATGTCACATGACGCTGTATGTAAGTTGCATTACCAGATCAAAACCTGAACAGTGCTAGTTTTAATGAAGAGTGTTAAATCTACTGTTTTTTCTGCAATATCCATTAAATCATTGCGATTTTATTATTTGTTAAACTTTTATTGCTACCATGAGAATGTAATTTGTGGCGAGATGCAATTCGCAATTATGGGACCATAGGTTACTGCAGAAAAAAATTTGTTTGGATCAATGTGCAAAGTCTGGATTTTCTCTTCGCCTAGGCTTTGCTGTAAGAGCTCGCAGTGACAAGGGGCTCTTTGTGACAATGCATTTGTATAACTATAACTAAATAAAAAAGTATACATGTTGTTCACGTATGTGCCTTCAGACAAGTATTAACTTATTTTGATGGGAAAAGCTCCCTTAACATGTTTAATGTCGACTAGAAGGCTGAAACATAGGAGAAATAGTATTTTTGGTTTATTTACTTGTCAACTAGCTGCCTGTCAACACCATATCAATATATGTAAACCTTTCAACTTTAAAAAAATTAGATAAAAATTTTATATCAGACCAATGAAACATTATGCACATATATATACTAGTATTAGTGTCATATCATGTCCAGATTTTTAAAAAAGCAACAGCCAAGCACTTAACGTAACCAAGTATTTTCATTATTTTATCCAATAGTTTTTTTTTGTTACCTGTGTTATTATTAAGCAGAAATTGAACAGATGAAATCTGGCCCAGTGTTCGTGGCACAAAACTCAGAAGAGAGTAAAATAAAGTTTACTCTACTCGGATTTGAGTTGAGTAAAATAAAACGTTCGTGGTCCCATGGCCAGGTTAAGATGGACAAAACAGTGATGAAACATGGACAATTCTTATTTTTTTTTTAGGAAAGAAAAACACCTAAAGAGTGCCTAAAAGAACGACATCCAGATGTGGAACACTGTCAGACATTAGTCTACTCCTTATATAGATGTAAACATGGAACTGTAAGTTAACATTTAAAAGAAAAAAAATGAAATTTAATGTTTCAAATTCATAAAACAGAAGTAACATTTAATTTATCTGAAAAAAAAATGAATTTCAAAAATATTTGGGAAACTGAAACATTTTCAAACATACCTGTTTTTAAAGTTGTGAATTCCTCCAATATCCCTGTGATTTGATAAGTTTTCTCAATTATACTCATTTTGTGGTGCAAAATTTACTGGATAGGCCATTATTTATGGCTGGACTGGAGTAATACAGATCAATTAAATTTTGTCCATGGACACAAAACCTATCATAATAATAAGAACACACAAGGATTCAGTTCAGATTGCATTTTCTGGCCAAACACATTCAATGAATGAGTGCCTGTAACAATTAAATTTTTTCTAACATAAAATTTATACCACTTTAAAATTCCAAATTATTTTTAATTCAATTTCAGTTTGATCGAAGACAACAGTTTAGAGGAATGTCTAAAGACTACTAGGCTGATTTGATAGATGTTGTGTGATTGTTTGTGTACAAGACTGAATGCTCCTGTGATAATGTGAGTGAAATTAGATAATTGTTACTGTGGAAGTGAGTCTCATCCTCAGGAACTACTATTTTATGATGTTACATGTGAACTTGTAAACATTTTTATTTTATGAGAAAATGGATAAAAATATACAAATGTATATAAATAATTTTTATAAGCAAATAAAATATTATGTACAATGTATATAATTTGTGATTTATAATTATGATACTATATATTTTATAATGAAAAGGTATTATTTTCTCATCTTAGTTAAATTTTAATATGCAAATTAAGTTCAGTGAGACAGTACAGATACTGTATGTACAGGTATTAAATACACCTGTAAACAGACATTACTGGTAATATGAACAGCAACAGTATTAACAAGATGTGAAACACTGATGCCTCCCTATGGCAGCTTATGGCGAAGGTTAAAGTTTCTAAAATGCAAGTCAAAATCCAGGCCAAAAGATAAAAAAAAATTTAAATTTGAAAGCCCTAGCTGCAACTGTTCAAAAGTTATGGCGAAGGTTAAAGTTTTTTAAAAGTAAGTAAAATGTCAAGGTCAAGGTCAAAGTTGTTGGTATCCAAAGGAAGGTCTTGTCACAAAGATTACATATGTAAAGTATGAAAGCCCAAGCACCAACCATTCCAAAGTTATGGCCAAGGTTAAAGTTTTTCGAAAGTAGGTCAAACTCCTATATCAAGGTTAAAGGGTCAAAGTGGTTGGTATTCAAAGGAAGATGATGTCACAAGGATTACATATCTGAAGTATGAAAGCCCTAGCATCAACCATTCAAAAGTTGTGGCCAAGGTTAAAGTTTTTCAAAAGTAGGTCAAACTCCTAGGTCAAGGTCAAAGGGTCAAAGAGGTTGATATCCAGAGGAAGGTCTTGTCACAAGTAATACACATTTGAAGTTTGGAACCCCAAGCACCAACTGTTCAAAAGTTATGGCCAAGGTTAAAGTTTTTCAAAAGTAGGTCAAACTCCAAGGTCAAGGTCAAAAGGTCAAAGTTGTTGGTATCCAAAGGAAGGCCTTGTCACAGAGAATACACATGTGAAGTTTGAAACCCCAAGCACCAACTGTTCAGAAGTTATGTCCAAGGTTAAAGTCTCATAAAATTTTGCAAAAGTGGGTCAAACTCCAAGGTCAAAAGGTCAAATATGATGGTACCCAAAGAAAGGTCTTGTCACAAGGAATACACATGTGAAATATGAAAGTCATAGCTCCAACCAATCAAAAGTTATGGGCAAGGTTAAAGTTGACAACAGATAAACAGACAAACGGACAAACAGACAGACAGGACAAAAACAATATACCCCTGGGATCTTTCGACCGAGGCATAAAAACTATTTTCAGCACCCTGTTGCAGATAGAAAGACACTTTATGTGATCTCACATATTAAGTATTTTGAATAAAAAAAATGTATATCATATGTCATATCAGCCCTCAGGTTCCATATACATGTATTTAGCTCTCGAGCCTTTGGCCCTTGGGTTGAAATGACATATTATATGGATTTTAGTATGTAATATTCTCTATGTATTACATTAGAAGGTACATTTATAATAACCTTGTTATGGAAAATTTGCTTATTCAAAACTGTTCATCACTTAAATTGTCAATAACGCTTTTTTTTTCTTTCAGTTACATTGACTTCATTGTGGTGCATGTTCATTTCACATTTACAGTGTATACCGTTTATAGAAAATATTCCGGTATCAATAGAATTTAAAACAGGTTTCTTATGATACAAAAATGAGGTATTTCCACACTTTTTACCTTTAAAGAAAGGGTGTGACAATAATACACATACATGTATGGTTAATTCAGGTTAAACAAGATCTTTCAAGAATAAATATTCTTGAAATCTTTAATAACAATATAATGCAGACAGCAGTATGTTTTGAAGTCCCGAAAAAGTCATTTTCAGCACACTCTAGCTGTGTCACACACACACACACACAAAAAATCTCTCTCTCTCTCTCTCTCTCTCTCTATATATATATATGTAAACATTGAATGCAAGAGTGGAGAAAAAAATTAAAAATCGATGAGTTCCTGTTCTCAATCATAAACTGATACTTTTACACATGGAAACTTGAACAATCTAGTAGTTCTAATCATTTAGGAGGTCAAGTTTAATATTTTTGACCACTCCATTTGGTATTTGTTGTCCTTCAACTTTTATTTCCGTGCTGCCCATGGTCAATGTGACGTGAGCTTCGCGGTCAAGGCCGCCAGTCAAGTCTGACATGTCCACGTTGAATGCTTTCCCCATACTCTTAGAAGAAGTATCTGTTGTGTAACGCGGTTCTTCTTCGTCCGACTTAAAAATCTCGACAGGAACAAATTTCGTATTTGCTTCCATGGGGGACACCGGTAGAATAGCTTTGTCGGTGGTGTTAAATTCTTCATTTTTTGTGACGAATTTACAGAACCAATCACCGCACATTTTCTCGACTTTTCTGTTTTTAAATTGTTTTTGAATATCGTCTCCATCTAGCCAACATCGCGCAAAGCGAGCGCCTAAGGAGAAAGGGGCGCGCCGTGAGTAGATGACTTCAGGCCAGTGCCGATAAATTACTGCTCCCTTCAGCACGGCGAGGTCAGCATCATTTGGCACTACGACCTTTAGATCATGGAAAGTGCTTTTGATCTGCTCAGATATTAGAGGGCATTGAGAAAATCCACCCACCATAATGACGTCAGATATCCTATACAAATGGGGCTTGTCCAAAATCTCCTTCATAATATTCAAAATACTTTCCACCGACGGCTGAAAAAGTTGATAGATCAAGTCTTTGTTGATGTACAATTTATCTCTGCTCAATGTTAAATGTTCTATAGAATTAAAATGTTCACGAGGATTCAATTTACGCAAACTCTCGAATATTTCTAGGAGAACTGGTGGAATTGACATTTTTAATCTGCCTTTAAGATCAAATTGTAATGTCCGCTTCTTCTGTTCTATCTCAGTTTCTAAGTCAAGCCATGAAGCTTTGTATTCATTATTTGTTCGAAACTTTTTCATGACATCTTTCCCAAACACTTCTTCAAAATAGCTTGCAATTCTTATATTCACCGACTCACCACCCAGACCATTGCCACACGCATAATGTAGTTCTCGTAATGTTCTGTCTTCCCGAACCTCCTTAACGACAATGTCGATTGTGCCACCTAAAAACAAAATCAAACAGTTACTGAAGCAAACTAATATTTAGAATAGCTAAAACACAAAGGCACGTTATGTACCTCCAAGATCGAGAACCATATATTGAGTTCCAGGATGGAACGGCACCAATTCCTTCTCTCCTGATGTTTCTTTCTTTGAGACCGTCATTTCTTTGACGTAAACAGAGGCTGCCTCGGGCTCAAGGGCAAATTCTAATTGGTTGCTAGCGATTCCTGCCTAAATTTAGAGAAATAATACATACCTAAATTAAATCTTTTAGTAAATTAGCAACCAATGCCAAAAAAAACAAGATGTGTTTGTGAAACACTGATGCCTCCGTATGGCAGCTTATGGCGAAGGTTAAAATTTCTAAAATGCAAGTCAAAATCCAGGCCAAAAGATAAAAAATGTTAAATTTGAAAGCCCTAGCTGCAACTGTTCAGAAGTTATGGCGAAGGTTAAAGTTTTTTAAAAGTAAGTAAAACATCAAGGTCAAGGTCTAAGTTGTTGGTATCCAAAGGAAGGTCTTGTCACAAGGATTACATATGTAAAGTATGAAAGCCCTAGCACCAACCATTCAAAAGTTATGGCCAAGGTTAAAGTTTTTCGAAAGTAGGTCAAACTCCTATGTCAAGGTCAAAGGGTCAAAGTGGTTGGTATCCAAAGGAGGGTCTTGTCTCAAGGATTACATATATGAAGCATGAAAGCCCTAGCACCAACCATTCAAAAATTATGGCCAAGGTTAAAGTTTTTCAAAAGTAGGTCAAACTCCTATGTCAAGGTCAAAGGGTCAAAGTGGTTGGTATCCAAAGGAAGGTCTTGTCACAAGGATTGCATATGTGAAGTATGAAAGCCCTAGCACCAACCATTCAAAATTTATGGCCAAGGTTAAAGTTTCTCAAAAGTAGGTCAAACTCCTAGGTCAAGGTCAAAAGGTCAAAATGGTTGGTATCCAAAAGAAGGTATTGTCACAAGGATTACATATGTGAAGTATGAAAGCCCTAGCTCTAACCGTTCAAAAGTTATGGCCAAATTTAAAGTTTTTCAAAAGTAGGTCAAACTCCTAGGTCAAGGTCAAAGGGTCAAAGAGGTTGATATCCAGAGGAAGGTCTTGTCACAAGGAATACACATGTGAAGTTTGAAACCCCAAGCACCAACTGTTCAAAAGTTATGGCCAAGGTTAAAGTTTTTCAAAAGTAGGTCAAACTCCAAGGTCAAAAAGTCAAAGTTGTTGGTATCCAAAGGAAGGCCTTGTCACAGAGAATACACAAGCGAAGTTTGAAACCCCAAGCACCAACTGTTCAGAAGTTATGTCCAAGGTTAAAGTCTCATAAAATTTTGCAAAAGTGGGTCAAACTCTAAGGTCAAGGTCAAAAGGTCAAATATGATGGTACCCAAAAAAAGGTCTTGTCACAAGGAATACACATGTGAAATATAAAAGTCATAGCTCCAACCAATCAAAAGTTATGGGCAAGGTTAAAGTTGACAACAGACAAACAGATAAACAGACAAACAGACAGACAGAACAAAACAATATACCCCCGGGATCTTTCGATCCAGGGGCATAAAAACACACATAAAAATAACGCTGATACAAACTTCGTGCGCAGCAACTCTCATGAATTCTTTGGACTTGGGATCCCAGATTGCTGGTATAGTAAGAACCCAGAGAATTTCGTTTTCTTTAACATCAATGCCAGCCTTCTCGAGTTCATTCAAAAGCTCTTTCTTCATAAATCGTATGCTGTGAGCAAACACGTCCACTGCTAGCACTGGATTTCCCTGGTCATCATTTATGGTTGTGTTTTTTGTAAGAACCTAAAAAAAATGAGTAATCAGTGTTTGAAGCTTGTTCTACTATATATATTTAAAAAAATATGTGAATATTATTTGAATACAATACTTGCATCAGTATATATATTTGAAGAACAAGACTTACGTCGTTTTTGTGCAGAATCATTTTGAATTTCCGAAAGAAACGCCATCCTGTGTGCTTATTCTCATTGGCCAGCTGAACATATTTTTCCTCTGCTTTGTATCCAAATGAATCAAATTCCTCGTCTTGGGTAAGAAGTAAACTTGTAGGAGTTTTGTGAGAGATAAGCCCAGCCCCGCTTCCTGACTGCCAATTATGAGTTAGAACTTTACACATCTCTTGCGCTGATTTCGACTCCTCAAGATCAGATTTAAAAGTGTACGCATAGCCGGAGTATGTTGTCCCAAAGTCGATGGCAGCTATTATAATTTTTCCAGAACGGTTACTTGGATTTCCATTAGCCATTACGGTGCTTTAGTGTTTCAATTTTACCATGCTAGTTACTGCAACAGTTTTGAAAACTAAATTGAAACGAAATATAAACACGTATGACGTTTTATTTCATTTCATATTTTGTCCCTAGGCATCAATTTTACAAAATCGAATTTAGTACCAAAGCAGAACCCAAAATGGAAATATCATTTGTCACATATGAAAAAATACAATAAAAGACAATATACATTGTAGAGTAATTATACCCCACGCAACAAGTTGCGTGAGGTATAATGTTTTGACCCGTCCGTCAGTCAGTCAGTTAGTGTGTCAGTCAGTCAGTCCGTCAGTCCTGTTTTTTTTTTTTTGTCAGCGCAACTCCTCATAAACCGCTGCACAGAATTTCGTCAAACTTTGCAGATATTTAGGACACAATTTGTAGATGTGCATATTACCAGGAAATTCTGATTCCTTTATTTTTTCTGGGAATTTCGGCACTTTTCAACTTAGATTTTTGGCCATTATACTGTGTATTTAAAATGCTCTATGCCATTCATTACGTGTTGCATTGTCGAGTTTTGGTGGAGCGTGGGGTATGTGAGCTTGCTCACTTTTTCTTTCATTCTTTTCGGTTTAAACTATTATATACGGTACGTACAAAAGTGATAAACTTCCAATTGTGTTAACCCATTTTTTGCAGATTATATTGAAAAAAAATATACAGCTCAACAGATGAACATGAATAATGTTATAAAGTAATAATCAATATCTAACAAGTGACAACTACTGATCTGTTGACTAACTTAAAAACTCACATAATTAGCATAGCACAATGACATCAACATCTCTTCACAGTTTATCAAATGTAGTTGTCTGAGAAGTATATGAATTGTGGGTATCGACCTGGGTAGCCCAGAGGTTAGGGCTGATGATTAATGCAGGGGTTCCGGACTCGATTCTGGGTCCAGCCATAATTAAATTTTCTTCTTCCCTGTTACAATTGGTGCCGTGACCAGGATTTGAAAACGCGCGCGGATCTAGAAGGGGGGGGGACCCCCCTCCCCTGGAATTTGCATAGATATTAAATGTATATACTGAAGCAAATAAAAAATGACTTTGGACACCCCCCCCCAGAAAACGTGGACCCCACCAACACTACCACGAAATAGGTGTTTTTCACGTTTGGGAAATTGAATTGTTCATAGGTTTGTTTTTTACGAAAGCCCATTGAGCTCATTTTGCGCGTTTATTCGCGAAAGTTTCGCGTTTATTCGCGAAAAATATTTTTTTTTTACCTACCAAAATGAGCTCAATGGGCTTTCGTAGTTTTTGTTTTGTTTTGTTTTGTTTTTTTGGACGGGGATGGAACCCCCCCCCCCCCTTGGAAAAAAATCCTGGATCCGCGCCTGGAAAAGGTGGTTAGGTAGAGTAGATTGGGGAGTCGGCTTCGGTGGATCAGTGGTTGGAGCACTTGACTATTAATGCAGGGGTCCCAGGTTCGATTCCCATGGCACAGCAATAATTTTTCTCCTTTATTACATATTTATTTTCATTTTTTTTAAATTTATTTACCACCCCAAGACTTGCAGGTGAAATTTTAGGATAGAGTGTTTTTGGGTACATGGGTTGTGGATTTTGACATGGGTAGCTCCGTGGTTAAAGAACCTGACTACAGAAATGCAGAGCCTGTTTTACAAAAGAACTTAGGACTAAGACTAAAAATATAAAATAGTTGTAAAATCTCACCAAATTAATAATTTTAAATGATTATACTTAAACAAAGTTATAAAATTAAATGCTTCTTTTTCAACTGAAAACCACAATTTAAACAATGTAAGAAATGAAATAAATTGCAAAAGTAGATGTTGGTTTTAGTCGTAAGTTCTTTTGTAAAATAGGGCACAGTGAGGGTCCCCGGCCCTATTTCCGGTCCAGCTATATTTTTCTCCTTTCCTGTTTCTCAGCAATAAAAAGTGTTGGTTTTATAGACATATTAATTGCTCCGAAGATGACATTTCAGATTAGATTATGAAGATTTCTTGTTAAGAAGTGTAAATAATGATATTACTCCTTAGTAAATACCAAAATATTCTTGTGTTGGTTTATAATCTTTCCTTTTCCTTAAAAAAAAAAAAAACAGATACCAACCATGCAATTTTTAAAGTCTATGATTGTCATGCATCCCTGCATTATTGAATAAAAAATATTAAGAATATAATCAATAAAATATAAAAAATGTAAAAAAAAAAAAAATGTAAAAAAAAAAAAAGTAAACAACAAACAACTAACACGTACATCAATCTGTTCTTGTTCAGGCTAATAGCAAATCGAATACATCATGCATTTTAAATGTAAACATAAACGACGAGAGAGTTCGATTGATTGATTGAATGTTGTTTAACGTCTCATTCGAGAATTTTTCACTTATATAGAGACGTCACCGTATGCCGGTGAAGGGCTTCAAATTTAGACCTATACCAGGCGCGGATCTATGAATTTTTTGCAGGGTGCAGGGGGAGGGGGGGGGGGGTTTCCACCCCAGTCCAAAAAAAAAAATCCAACCTAGAAAATTCTTGACAAGCAAAAAAATAAATAAATAAATAAAAACAAAAAAAAAAAACATAAACTCCTTCCCGAAACGTGAAAAACCTATTTCATAGGGGTGGGATGGGGGGGGGGAGGGGGGAGGGGTAGTCGCTGACTTCTAAAGCTTCATACCTATGACTTTTCATACCAACACAGATCCGCGTTTTGAGGGGGATCCGCGTTTTCTAGGGGGAGGGGGGTTCAAGGTCACTTTTAGTTGGTTTAGTTTATACATTTAATAACTCTGCAAATTCCAGGGCGGGTCTGGAACCCAACCCCCCCCCCCCCCCCCGATATCCCTCTATGAGCGGTGAGGGTTCTTTATCGTGCCAACACCTACTGTGACACGAGACCTCGATTTTTAAGGTATCATCCGAAAGACCCGTGACTTTCACTTCTAGTGCCGGGCGCTTGGCGAAGGAACATTCACTACCTATGTATTCGTCTTAGGTTTGACGCGGCGCGGTGAACGAGAATCGAACTCGGGCCTCCCGATCACGAAGCGAGCGCCCGGCCTACATGTACCATTAAGCTATCGTGACCGGTAGCCTGTTTCCTTGACCTTCCCATAATGCTGCGCAAACTTTTCTTGACCTTTCCATAATGCTGCGCAGGGGCTACCGTGACCGGTTAAAAGTCTAGAACATATATGTTTTTGGTGTTTGATTATGAATTAGAATGTCGTTGTCATAGAATATTGAGAATTTTTATCATAATTTATATACTGAAACGCAAAAGAAACGCAACATCCTATTTTAGAGGGGAAAATCATATAAAGGATATAATTTTGTATCTAAAAAGTACGGATATCTTCAACATTGTAAGTTTCGATAATTTAACGGTTGAATGATTTTCATGCCATAACCGAAGTTAAGTTTGAGCCCGCTGAACAGAAATCAAAAATTGCATATTTAACAAAACATTTGACAAAAATATGGGGTTTTAAGGGTTTGTATCTGTTTAACACAAGTAATTCAGCAATATTTCGCAAAATAAATTCTCCTTTCGTTTCCGGAAGAGATGGCAAGGCTTCCTGAAAATGACTTAAGTACGCATTTCAAGTGCTCTAACTGGAAAATCTGAAAATAAAGTTGATGGAGAATTGCAGATGCAAAAATGCACGACAACACGCCTCAACAGGCTCATACGTATCATTAGCATGAATGATAGTCCGTTGACCGGAAGTCCAAGTGTTACTACACTGCGCTAGGTTAGAGAAAATTCGACTTTATCATCTGAAAAACGGACATTTAAAAATGGCAAAGAATATTTTTTTCGCTCAGATCCCGAGATTGATGAACTTACTGCATCGTGGAGATCAAGCTGCAATTGTTGTGCATGGCAGTCTTCCACGCTATAATTGAATGGCTGAGAAGGGAGGGTGTTTTAACAGTCATGTGTTACTTTCTAAAGTTAAAAGGTAATCATTTAACATTGTTATCAAATCTTTGATGCTTTTAAATCGAGTTTAACTTAACTGTAATCAGTTTTGAAAATCATTAGTTAAAAGGTTCAAATATTTGTAGATTACTGCTTGTTGCGTTTCTTTTGCGTTTCAGTATATTATTAAACTGGTTATTTAAAATAAAGAGGAAAATTCATAAAGTGTCAACAAAAACTGCCAAACATTTCTTTCTTCTGCTTTTATGTGGCAATGTCCCTTAAAAAATGTCAGAAGTTTCGTTGCAATTACAAAAATACCGAATCGATGATACAGTTGTGTGTTTTACAAGGTCGGTGGAGGAAAGTAGAGACGAACTTTCAATGTACATGTAACAAATCATTTGGGTTACGGTATATCGTACGCGATCTTGATATATTGTGAATACCAATTAGTATCAGTATGCCCTTGTAAAAATAATAGCTTTGATATGTATAATCTGCTTTATGGCAACGATATGATTTCTGAAAGGGTCAGTGCTTTTCAACAGAATCATTTATAAAACGAAAATAGATTGTGGCAACTGATTTCTATAATGAAAGTGGGGTAAAAATGTACACAATAAATGAATAATCTAACATATGTATGATTCACTAAAATCTTACAATACCAAAATACGTACCATTAATTATTTCAAAGAGCCTTTGATAAGTTAATAATTAAGCCATATACACGGTGTAACACAGCCATACGCAAAGGGTTATTAAATATCTACTTTCGTTTTAAATACAGAAACAGGTACATGTTACGCCACGAACAGGAAAAGAACATAAATATAAATCTACAGTGTATATGAAATACAATAGGCCCTTAATGGCTTTAATGATCAAATGAGCATAATACAAACTTAATTGTAAAGGATCAATGGAACAGGCAATACACTCAATTATAAATCATACAAAATAAATTAAACTGATTGAGATATGCTGCTCAAAACAAGAGAAATATAGGATATGATCTGAGATCAACAAGATAGTTAGTCTGGAAAAACAGCAACAGCTTGATCAGAAAGGAGGTCTGTTTGCTTGTCTGTATCTGCCAGTGCTAACCAAACTCAACAACACAACAGTGCTCGTGCAATACTACATATTCACATATATAGTTACATATTGTAGACCAGCAGATTCCCTATACCGCTGGCCTCTTTTGGTTTTAGAATAATATTCAATGTACAAATATATAATTAAGATATTTTTTTGTGGTAAGTTAATTTAATATTTATTATTTACATGTTTACATACCACTTTTTAAAAACTGTCCTATTATGCATTAAAGATTTTCGTATAATTTTTTTAATGCAATATGCCTATTAACTACACTATACCTGCAGTGATTAATTAAAATATGTAAATAGTAAAAGGTAACTTCTTTTCTTTCCGTGCATGATCATAACAAAGCCCCAACCAGAATCCCTGACCCAAGAACCATGAATTTCATAATTTTGGAAGAAGCCCTCTTGTTCGTCATAATCATGCACTTAGTTTGTTTGCTAAATACCCAGGAGCAGAGAAATTCTAAGATTAAAAAAAAATGCATTTCCACTATATGACCAATAGTTCCCCGCCCTTAAACTTCAGAACTCCAGACCCAGGGACCACAAATTTCACATGAAAAGAAAATTAAAGATTTTTGAAGATTGCATTAGTTTTGATGGTTTTGCCCCATCCCTCAGTTTCCAGGGGACATAGACAATGAAATCGATATTTTTTTCCCCCTTTTGTCCATAGATGCTATTACCCAAATTGGTTGAAATTGACTCAGCGGTTCCAGATAAGAAGCTAAAAATCTGACAAGCAAAAGAATAAAATAATATACTAGTAATATAATAAAAAAAAAAAGTAGGGGAGCAGCATCTAAATGAAAATTTAGTAGAGCAAAATACTATACTCAGAAAAAAGTGGGACTGAGCCTTCCTTTCCATCCCTATTCTCTTTAGAGAAGTGGACAGGCTTTTAGGCGAAAGCCTGTCCACTTCTCTAAAGAGAATATTCCACCCCCACCCCCGCGTTCTACAGGCCTGCATGTTCTCAGTAGTGCGATTCCATGTGAGTGTTACTGTTAAAATTTTAGCATAAATTTTTAGAGAAATAACGTAGAAATTACTTACCAATTGTTTAAGTAAATTACAGTATTATAAAGTTTAAGTAAATTACAGTATTATAAAATTCAGCAGCAATAAATGGCAAATGAAATAACGTACACATATAATTTCACAGAAAATCCCCATCACTGTACTGCACATTTAATTGATCATTAAGTTTAGGAATAATCCATCAAATTATACTCTGTATGTTATATATAATGCTGTTTTTGACATTCATCATCATTCTGTGTTAAAGACCCTCACCATGAAAAGCATAGAAACTCTCTCTTGGAAAAACTTGAGTGCGTTGGTGGTATTTCTAGCCTCCTGTCTTCTTGTTAAGGTACGAATTTACTTCACTTTTTATGAGTTAACTTGTAATATTTCTTAATACATGTATCTATTAGTGGGATCCAAGGGTTGATTATTATTCTATACTACGTGTTCTACATTCCCAAACGCCCCAGCCCCATTAAATAGGTTTTTCGAATACAGACAATTTGTTTATCTTTTCTTTTTGTTTGTTTGTTAATGTGTTTGTTTTTATTTTTTGCTTGACCAAAAACTTCTGATTTATTTTTTGGTGTTTTGTTTTCGTTGTTTTGATTATTTTTTTTTTTTATTAATTTTATTTATTTATTTTTGGAGTGGGAGTGAGTCCCTCTCTCCTGGAAAAAAATTCTGAATCCGCGCATGAAGTCTTCATATTTTTATTATATTACAATATACACGCGCATATCCAGGATTTTTTCTCAGGGGGTTCAAAACCTACCCACCCCCAAAAATCCGACTCAGAATTGTTGAAAATCAAAACAATGCAACTTAAAAAAAAGAACAAAGATAACAAAACCATAAACAACTAGTCAAAATCCGAAAAACCTTTACGTGGCCGTTTCAGAAATTTTGGAATGATGGAACAAAAGAATATTATAAAAATATTGATAAACCAAAAAAAAAAAAAGCCTTGATACTACATGTATAATGATGTAATAATTTTGAAAATTTCGGGAAGGTCTGGACCCACTCTATTCCATCTAAACCCGCACATGATGTAAAGCACTAGTATCAATCATGTACAAATTAGTTTCGTTACAGTTAATATTCAAAACGTAAGCCGAACATTTACCATGTATACAAGCTGACTTTTCACTGTTTGGTAGAAATAAAGTCTGTATGTAAATGTAGCTCATCATAACAAAAACGGTCTTTTTTTCCTTTAAAAACATAAATCTTAGTTTTAAAAAAACAATTCTCTTTTACATTAAACAAGAAATTGATTTCAGTTTTTGATACTGCATGTATTTACATGTATTTATATTATGGCAATTTACAGAATGTTGTGTTTGAGAAGACATTATATCAAATAATTGTATCTGATCACAAACTTGTGTCTTTTTGTCGATAAAATATGTTCAATTCAAATGCCAGCAATAACTTACAAAAAGCAGAACTAAAAATATTATTGTAGACAGGAAATGAATTAATTGATAATATTAATGAACAATAAATTTCGATTATATGTAATAAATACCAACTTTGATAGTATCGAGGTTTGCCTTCTACTAAAGTCTTACATTTCAACATTTGGTAGTTAGAGGCAGCACATGTTGTTATCCTCAATGAAATGTTATTGTTCAGAAAAATACAGACGATGACATAATTTTCCTGTTGGTATTTATGATAACACTCTGAACCAAGATCTGTCATCAAGTTTTTACTGCAGGTTCATAAACTTTTTCTGTTCATTATAGCCCAAGTTACAATTCAATGGTATGAATTTTAAAATTAATTGCAACATATGCTTCAATTCGAATGATTTAGAATGATGCAGTGCTGACCAGCGGGTATTAATCGAAATGTTCATTTTGCATTTTTAACAATACAAAACAGTAAAACACGCTTATAGCGAACTCGTTTATAATGAATTGACTCTTACAGCAAAGCAATTTTCATTCCCCATGACTTTAAATGTATATTGTAAACTGAAGGGGTATAATGAATTACATTATAACGAAGTAAAATCGTCCTTCCCTGGCACTTCGTTATAAGCCTGTTTTACTGTATACCAAACAAATGAAAGATTATACAATATAAATGATTTTTTTTACAGTAAAAATGAAAATTATACAATATACAAACGGAAAATTTTACAATACAAAAAAATATTATATAGTTATACAATGGAAAAGATCGAATATTGCAACGTTTGATATGCCATCATTTTATTTTAATGACATTTGTATGGCAAGTTCTGTGACATGCAAAACATCAACTTGCAAGAACAATCATCCTCCCCACTCAACAAAGTGCGTGTATTGCGTATTAAACTTAGCAATATTCAATCTTTTTCATTTCTATTCTATAATTGTCCATTTATATCATACTGAATATTTCTCTTTTTTCATATCTATTCCATAATTGCATACTTTCAACTGGAAACAGAGAAAGGTCCGTTCGGGGTGACATACACTGCTGCTTGCGACAGGAAATGATCTAGTTTTCTACTATTATTTTAATTTGCAAATGACGCAGTATGTCAATAATGTTTTTTTAAATTCACAAATATAATCTTTTGAATATGGCATTATCAGGGTGAATGGACAACACTTCGACCGACGAGAGACATGGAGTACAAGTTTGATTCAATCACCCGAACAATAAAGGGATTGCCAGATGGAGGCAAGAAAGCTTTCTTTACTATCCTGATGCAGGCACCAAATAATGCCTCTCCCGCTCAAAGTGACGACAGAGTGACATGGCGCAAATGTAAGTTTATAATAGGGGGAATAACTATAGTCAATAAATTTATAGTGAAATGAAACTAGCGTATAGAATGATGAAATTTTATTTTCTTTCGTCAAACTGTTATATAATTTTCTCGACGAAGTCGAGATGAGCTTACGCTATGTCCTTGGCGTTGGCGTACAGGTATGGGTTTGAGGAGCAAGTCCATTCCTAAGTAGCTATAAGCCCTACCTGGACCAAACTTGCATGGATAATATATCTTGGGATGGACACTACAAGACATGCTTCGGATGCTGGATCTGACCTGCATTTTCCAGATGAGTAATTAGATTAGTTTTGGAGCAGTTAAGTCCATTCCCATTTAACTATAAGCTCGGCACTATGATGCATCTAGGGATGGACACATCCAGACTTGCTTCAGATGCTGGATCTGACCTACATTTACCAGATGAGTGACCAAGTTAAAGTTTTTGGAGCAAGCCTATTCTAAAGTAACTATATAAGCCCAACCTGGACCAAAATTGCATGGATAAAGCATTCTAGGGATACATTCGTCTAGGTGAGCTTTGTAATCTTTGATCACCTATGTTTTATATTTTACAATGACGTCTTTATATCTGTTCGTAGTATCCGAGGGCCCAGTAAATGGCGTTTCGCGGTTTGAAGCAACACTGAACAACAGCGTGTCAGTGCCGGGATACAGAATACCTAAAATCTGGCTCTCGGCTGGCAACGATGAATTTTCGTTCCAAATGAACGAAATCTCATCCCAAGAAAGCCAAATCAGATTTAATGGAAATTCATGTCAGTTTGGAGTTCAACAAAAGCAAGATCCCGAGGGAAAAGTAATTTTCAAGATCATGTTAAAAAATTGCAATAGTGTTCCATATTGTTATCTGAATATGACGAGGAAAATTAGGGATACTTGGATTTTAACATCCGACTACTTTACACAGACCGAGGAAATGACGTCACCAGAGGACATCACGTATAGAATATGCACCGTTGACAAAGCTGCAGTTCAAAATGACGGATTGAAATTGAAGCTCGAGTTTATTTTCTCCATGTTCAACGAAAAATTCGGAGAAGAATTGTTTGAAGGTTTCATGTACCGATATAATCTTATGCAAATAAAATAACGATGAAAGAGACAGCTATAGATATGTACTGAATCACATCATGGCTCGTGCTTTTGATAGCTTCTGAAAATAAAACAAATTTTTATGACCAAAGTTGTTTATTTTTTATTTAACAATTGCCTATTGGAAATATTCATTCAGACACAATTTTAAATGTCAAGGGGATTAACATTGCCTCTAAGGTTAGACAATGCATTCTTTACATATTAAGATGGCGTTTCTATCATTACAATTTAATAGACCAATCGATTACTAATACTAGGCTTTAGGGAAAATAATGAGCAAACAGGCCTTAAACAGGGAATTTTACTACATATACAGAGAGAGAGGGGGGGGGGGGAGAGAGATCCTGAATATACTGTACATATTTATTTCAGCAGATGTCGCTGTTTTACGCTTTATGTCATGTAACCAAAAGTCTTGCGCAACCACCGAGTAACCACCGCAACCTCTCGGGCCTCTCTGACCTCTGACAGCCAAATGCTCGGCTTGAATGTATCAAAAATATATACTGGTACGTAAATTGAATAAACATCGTAAGAATTGCTTTGATTTCATTTTATTTCGCATGTATAACAATATATATCAAATTAAAAATGTTATCTAAAATATAATACACAAATGTATATATAAAAGTCAAGTCTCTGCCCCCTTTTAATGGCATTCCATAAAAACGGGGATGATTTTCAACAGCTCCTTTCACTATGCATATCAAAAGTTTTAGTATATCCATGGACTAACAATCATGTACGAAATGGGCCATAAGGGTTAGACGCTCGCTTAGAAGAACTCTTGAGGTCCGAGGATTCAATTTTTAATCCAATGCCGCGTCAAAATCTAAGGCATTTAGTGACTGCCTTTGCTAAGTTTTCGGCGTTAAAAGTAAAAGTCATGGGTCTTTTGGATATTACCTTTAAAAAGGAGGTCGCATAAATAATGATACCGTGCATAAATCAAAATTGTGATACTTCACCTAAAGCGGATAAGCTCTTTATTTGGGTGAATAATTCTAAAATGGCGTAAAGCAACACTCAATTATCAATCACATGTAACCTTAGGAAATTCCTCTCACCCTTGGCATTTCATTTTTTAAGACAAGGCTGCTGTTCCTGTAGCTAATAATGCTACTAAAGATGTGTGTTGCTTCCTGAAATTCAATTAGATTGAGTCCTCTCAACACTCAGGTAACCCAAACTATTTGGATATAGCTTAAACGTTTTTTTTTGTGTGTATTTATTCAAAAGAAACACGTGCTTTAACTGAAAGTTTAGAATATGAAATAATATACATGTACATAAGCTGATAGCCTTCACTTCCATTTATTAGATTTTTCTGCAATATAGTAAACATGAAGTTACTTTTTATGTTTATAAGAGGTTAACATGTAAATTTTGGTGTTGGTTTAAAGTGGTTATGACATGTGTAGGAGTTGCCTAACACACCCACCCTCTTGAGTTTTCCCATTACCCTAATGCTAATACGGACGAATTTCATAACAAATACTATAGCATCATTAACCAATCAACAATTATCATTAAATTGGATCATTAGCCTACTGATTCATGCAGTTTTTAAAGGAAAAATACTACTTGAAAATTTAAGGTCATTGTAGGCCGCAAAACGGCCTTATAGAGAATAGTCCTTCAGCGTAAATAAAGTTCAACAGACAAAATTAATTTAAGGGAGCCGACTGGGGTTTTCATTGCGCAATACTTCGCGCAGCATAGTAAAATAAAGCGTATTTACTCTTTTAAAGATAAACATGTATGTATATTTCAAATATGAATTAGTAAAAAATAAATTAATAAAGAGTAATTTTCCTTTTTGGAAAATTCTATAAACATTTATACTGAGAAAAATTGGATGGAAAAAATGAAACAATAAATAATTAAATAGATAAAGGATATTCAATGTTTTGTACTTGGCTATGGAATTTATTTCACAATTGGGACAGGATGATTTGATATTTTCCCCGAGTGCGAAGCACGAGTGAAAATATCAAATCATCCTGTCTCACGAGTGAAATAAATTCCATATCCAACTACTAAACATCGATTTTCCTGTCAATTACATTTTATTTGAATTAACTTTTTCCTAGAGTCGTCTTTTACTACTTAGCACAGCGCCATTGAATATTTTTCATCGTATTTGGAGAAACTTTGGCAGTTTAGTCTCTGTCAGGATGGTTTACTTTCCCTATCTTATAACAGGTCAAGGATTATTTTTTTTTACAACACTCTTGTAAAGGTAGGGAAAACTGAGAGCTTTGACGCACTTCCAATATTCTTTCGCATTGTGACAAAATTTCACTTTTATACAGTATTTCACTTGAAAATGTAATAAATATGTTAAATAGGATAGTATTATATAAATCATATTTTCGGATATATTTAAGCATCCGATATCTTCAGCACTGTGGCAAAAACTACTTTGAACTTAGCATATCAAAAACAACTTTAGTTGGTTTTCCATTCGGCATCATTTTGCCCTCTACCGTAATTTCCGTGCTCCCCATTGTCATGGTAACGTCCACTTGCCGATCGAGTCCCCCTTTCGTGTCGGCCATCTGCACTACTAAACGTCCAAGCCTTTCACAACCAAGGTCAGTTGTGTACCGCGGATTTTCTTCTGTTGATGTGTAAATATCAATCGCCATTTCAGTTGTATCGGCTGCCAAGGGAAAAACAGGAAGTGTTGCTGGTTCTTCCACTTCAAATTCGTCGTTGATGGTAACAAACTTTTCGAAATGATCCCCACACAGTACTTCTTTTCCTCGTTTTACCTTTTTGGTGACGTCATCACCTTCGAGCCATAATCGCATTAAACGAGAACCATAAGTGAACGGTGATCTGCGCGTGCGTACTACTTCCGGCCAATGGCGATAAATAACAGCTCCTTGTAGTACAGCCATGTCTGGATCGTTCGGAACAATAACATTTATGTCTTTAAATACGTCTTTTATAGTTTTAGAGACAATAGAACTTTGAGAAAATCCTCCTACCATCATGATGTCGCTCACATGATCGACGCGACGATCCGCTAAAATTTCGCGCACTAGCTTTACAATACTTGTGACAGAGGGTTGAAATACATTCTTAACTATCTCTTTATCAATATACAATTTCCCAGATTTATAGCGCAGACCTTTCAAACTACTGATATGTTCCTCGAAATTATTATCATTGTTGGTGAAGATTTCAATCAAATCTGCAGGTAAATTTATTTTCAAACTGTCCTTGCTGTCGAATTTAAGAGTCCGTTTCTTTTGCTCTATCTCTGTTTCTAGGTCGTAAAATGCTGCTTTGCATTTATTTTCGTTTTTAAAGGTAGACATGGAATCTTTTCCAAATACACTCTCAAAAAACTCGAAGAATCTGATGTTAACTGATTCCCCTCCCATTCCGTTTCCACAAGCTCGGTGCAATTCTCTTAATGTTCTGTCTTTGAGAACCTCCTTCACGCTGATGTCAACTGTACCTCCTTTAAAATACGTCATAAATTTTATTAATTCCTAAATATCTTAACCTCTGCATTCATGATATTAAACTAATAAGACTCTAAGAAAAAGATTTTTTTCTTTTAAGCTTGATATCCAAATACTTCATCGTTTATACCCATGTATTTTAATCAAAACATACCTCCTAGATCCAGCACCATAAACTGTGTTCCAGGTTTAAATGGAACTAGCTGGTGCTCATCAGCTGACAAGGATTCTTTGGCCACTTTAGTTTCTTTGACATAGACAGCTGCCGCCTCTGGTTCCAAGGCAAACTCCAACTGGTTTCCGGGTATTCCAGCCTGGTGCAAATGTAAGTATGGGATATGACAAGAAACAACTTGAAGTGAACATTAGCTCCAAAATGTCGGGGTTTCTTTTTGCTATATTCATTTACACATTTGCTAAAAATGGACGTTTATTTCCATGTCACATTTTGAAAGAAGTAGATTTATCTAGATATACGAATCCAAGTTTATAACATGATATACATGTACTAATAATCATTTAAAATTTGATGCTTTGTACACATGTTTTCTTGTTCTAAACAAGATGTGTTTGTGAAACACTGATGCCCCCGTATGGCAACTAATAACAAAGGTTAAACTTTCTCAAATGCAAATTAAATATGTTGGTACTCAAAGTAAGGTCTTGTCTCGAGGAATATACCTGTGAAATAGGAAAACCCTAGAAGCAACCATTGAATAGATATGGAAAAGGTTAAAGTTTTTCAAAAGTAAGTCAACCATCAAGGTCAAGTTCAAATGGTCAAAATTAGTGATACCCAAGGAAAAGCCTTATCACAAGAAATACACATGTGAAATATGAAAGCCCTAGCACCAATTATTCAAAGGTTATGGCCAAGGTTAATGTTTTTCAAGGGTAGGTCAAACTCCAAGGTCAAAGGGTCAAAGTTGTTGGTATCCAAAGTAAGGTCTTGTCACAAGGATTGTGAAGTATGAAAGCCCTAGCAACAACTATTCAGAAGTAATGGCCAAGGTTAAAGTTTTGCAAAAGTAGGTCAAACTCCAAAGTCAAGGTCAAAGGGTAAAGTTGTTGGTATCCAAAGGAAGGTCTTGTCACAAGGATTACATATGTGAAGTTTGAAAGCCCTAGCACTAACCGTTCAAAGTTATGGCCAAGGTTAAAGTTTTGCAAAAGTAGGTCAAGCTCCAAGGTCAAGGTGAAAGGGTCAAGGTGAAAGTATACATATGTGAAGTTTGAAAGATCATGAATGTTCAATAAAAACTTATATAGTGAATATTTAGTAAAGTGAACTACGTAAAAATCTTTTAAAGACATAAGGTCTTTTGATCAACTGCAGAAGTGAAGTTTTGACTTGTTTAAGTATTTGAATTAGCCGACTTCCTTTGATTTAGATGTGAAAAAAAATGAGATTCCATTTAAAAACTGTCTCGTATTCCTTTCCCTACCTGCTCTGCTGCAAATCTCATGAACTGCTTGGACCTTGGGTTCCATATGGCTGGTATTGTTAGTACCCATTGAATCTCTTTTTCTTCAATACTGTATCCTGTCTTTGAGAGCTGTTTCCACAATTCGTTTTTAATGTACTTTATGCTATGCGCAAAAACAGTTACAGCTTCCAAATTCTGGTTTTGATCATCGGATATCACAGTGTCTTTGTTAAGATGCTACAAATATATATTACAATATCTGAATGAAGTTCTCTTTTTATAATTGGACATTTACATGTATCAGTATCACTTTGCAGTGAATTTTTACATTGAAACAAATTAAAAATTTAACCTAAAATATTTTCTGTTTTTGAGTCCTTTATTTCTCAAAATCATTGTGCTTGCTATATATTTGCTTATATAATACGTATCCGGTGCGCAAATTGATACAAATTTCGAAACTGCATATCCCATTTTATGCAAAATGTGACATTTGTTAAACTGATCTGTGCAGCTCAGCATAAATATAGAGGCCTGTAAAACTTAATTTCCCATCAGGTAATGGGACAGTCTAGCTCTGTGGCCCCTAATAAATCCCATTAACCAAATTTAATCTTAAATGAAAAAAAAATCAAAATCAAAAATCGTTTACAGTTAAAAGCGAATTTACCTTTTCATTTAGAAGAATCATTTTGAACCTCCTGAAAAACCGCCAGCCATCATGGGCATTATCGTTAGTTAGATTATTGTACTTTTCCTCTGCTTGAAACCCAAACGAGTCGAAGTTTCCTTCTGGATTGAGAAGGAGACAAGTCGGAGTTTTGTGAGAAATAAGCCCTGCGTCACTTCCGCTTTGCCATGTTTTCGATAAAACGTTGCACATTTCTTTGGTACTTTTGGTCTTATCAAGTTCATCTTTAAATGCATAAGCATAGCCTGAATATGTTGTTCCAAAATCTATGGCAGCAATAACTATTCTGCTGTCTCGCTGGCTGTCTTTCTTGTCTTCTTCTATTCTGCCATGGACAGCCTTTCGGGGCACCCTTTCTTCCAGTCCACTGATAGGCACCTTCTCCTCCAGTCCGCTAGCCATGTTGGTATCTGAATGTATTTTGGTAAAAATTATTAGGAAAAGTATTAATATGAAAATATTTCAATTACCATATCATTTTTTTTTTTTTTTTTACAATTTGTTAACTGAATAGTTTTTGTATTCTGCTTTGGACATGTTGGTTTGTGAGGAAAAAAATCAGTAGATAAAATGAGAAAAGCTTAAGTTATTCGGATATTGCAGTTAAATATATAGCTTCATAAAAAGGGTACTTTGAATTATCTTTTAGTTTATACATTCAATGGACCTACACAGAAACGACAGGTGCTTGCAGACGCAACCCCCAAACCCACGAAAAAAACACACAGAAAAAAATTCCTAAAGCCCACCATATTAATTTGATTATACTGCAAACATATGCTTTTAAGGAGGTATACGTTGTAACGTATGTACTTTGCAAGTAAAAAATTTAATATATGGGAAGTCTAAGATAAATATGATACTCTTTGAATACATACAAAATGTGCTTTTCGCTAAAAAAAAAAAGCATTTTAGTGTAAAATTGTGGAAGAAAAAAATGTAACCCCTGCCGGGATCTTCATCAGCCGGGTACTGTAAACTCTTGAAACCACTGTGCTGAACCGTCCCTGAAACGTTCTACTTTAATTCTCACTTGAACGAAGAGCGAACGAAGAGTGAACGGTGGGCGAACGCTGATCGAACGCACGCTAGCCCCCCCCCCCCCCCCTGAAAAAAATTTATGGATTCGCGCATGTAAAATTATCTGTTATAAAAAACACCTTTATAGATTTTAACTTAGTTATCTCTTACAATTGCGTATTTATGAAGTATGGAGATAATGAACAGTAATCAAACTCAAGTCGATTGAAACAATACAAATCGAACTGGGTGCAGAACTGCAAATGTTTAAGGTCAAATGTTAATGGTTACTATTAAGTATTAAAAATATCAATTGGTAAAAGGAAATAGAAGGCAATAGTGTGACATAAATTTGAATGAATTGACTCTATAATTGTCCTCATTGCTTAACGAGGCCGAGTCTAATTCCAGTGCGCAGCTTTTTAGTTTCATGCAGTCGTATCTGCAACATAACACCTATCCAAGTATTGTAATTATAACACAAAATGAACTTTATCTGTAACGTTTATGGGTCTTAAAATGTGCTTTTAAGACAATATTTACGAATAAATGCTGAAATGGCTTTCACGACGTCACTGTTTTCCGCTTCTGTAAGCAATGCATGACGCTGAAGAATGACGCTTGACTCGCTTGAGTATTCAGGACGTCCATGGACATTTTATTAAACACTGTTGACAGAACATCAAAAGAAACATACCAGCAATCTAAACGTTATTTTTTACCAAAATAATTCATCTGCGCCGATATATACAAAATGTATGCCGCAATATGGCAAATTTAGAGGTATTGGGCATTGGGAAAAAATAAACTTTGTAATAATTTCTAGACCAAACCAGATGGTCAACTTTTTTGAAATTTCACAATTTGTTGACTTTTTACAATAACTTTCATGTATTTGACTGAAAACGAAATCCCTAGATCAGAAATGCAAAAAATATGGAGAAAATGTGATAATTTGGCGCTTTTCCAGCAAATTCCCGTACGGTCCAATAGTAGAATTTGACAACTTTTAAGATGACCCTCTTAGATGGTAAACATTTGATATTTTTATCTTAAAATAATTAATATAATAGTAAAAATTCATTCAAGAAACTTTATCAAAATATCTAGGGTAGAAATAATTAATTAGACTCGGCCTCGTTAACTCTGGTAAAACAAATTATCAGACAGCTTAGAATTATTTTCTTGGGAAGTTATCGAGACAATCTCCGTTTATTTTTCTTAAATTCTCTCCTATCTTTCGTACTGTACTTACTCATTTATTTAAAACAAGTTCTACCCCAAGTCGTTTATAGGGTCAAATCGTTGTTGCAAACTTGGTGTATGCCATGATCGATCAGCTGTTATAGCCCAGTCTGCTCTCCATAACAAATCTTTAGTATTGTTTGATTTATGCGATCTTTGCCAATTTTTTTTTAAAAAGTTTTTAAAAAAAAAAAAAATTCAGTGTTACTAGAATCTAGGAACTATGTTCAAAGATCTATCCATTGGTCCTTAAATCCAATAGTCTATATTTTCTACGCTTTTGTAACGTTACCTGGTTACACTAAGCACCACTTAGTCCACGGATTTCTATTTTGGACGAAATGAGCAACGTCGAGTTCCAATATCCAAGACTTACCTTATTTTATTCCAGTTCCTTCCACATACACTATTTCGTATCTGATCCACTTTCGTTTTTTGTCCCGTGAATTGTGTATATACGGAGCGCTCGAGATGTCTTTAACTCGTATATTAAACGTCCACTGAATATCTTATGAAAACCATGGTCGTTTATCAATACTTTAACGCCGCTAAGCAACAAACCACCCAGTACAGGTACTTAATTGACGTTTTAAATATTTTTCTTTATTGATAAAAAAAATCCTACTATAATTCCGTATAAGAAGACATTGAAATGAACATATTTTATTGCAATATATATACAATGGGATTGGGCACAAGTTCTTAAAACTTATTTCGCCCTCTCCCTACATGAGAAGTCTATAAAGTATGTGTTACACAGTTTTAGAAATAAATTTGATAAACTCATAACATGAATTTATAAACTGCAAGAAAATTTGTGATGTACAAATGCAATACATAAACAATTACAATAAATTATTTAAATCTGCCAGAGTGCTGAATATATGAATGCACAATGGAAAAAAGATATTCATTTTCAGCAACACTTAATGAAGTATCCCCCCACAGTAAAGTATGGGTGTCAACAATATGAACATTATCAAATATCAAAAACTTATCGAAAAAATCTTTCCTGGCCTTAGTATAATTAGAACAAGAGAAAAAATAATGATGCGTGTCTTCTACTTTTCCACATGAACATAATGGACTTGATATAATGTTACACCTATAGAGATCAATATTTAATGCACAGTTATGTCGAAGTCTGGTGTGCAGTACATTATTACGCCTTTTTCCAAAACTGAAATAAGGTGGAGCTACTGCTATTTTTTGTGAAATCGTTCTTTTAAAGACAAAAAGATAGCTCGAGTTTCTAGTTTCTAGTGATAATGAGTTCCATTCATTAACTACAGTTGGAACAAATGTTGATTTATAAGTTTGCAGTCTACACATGGGTATGTTATAATTTTGAGAGTTTCTTGTTGTATAAGTGGAAGCGTTATATCGCAGAGATAATCAGGAACTAAATTATGATGAATCTTATACATAGTATTTAAGGAGGAGAAGGACCTTGAGCTAAAAAAATATTTGTCATTCAATTTTTTTCATATTTTGTGTATTTCTAATTTAGTATGTCCCACATATCTTAAAGCGGTTATATCATTAGGTTTCTGACCTTATTTTGGAGATATTGACTGACAAATACTATGCCCTACAGTCTCTAAGTGGAGTTATAATTCTCCATGTTTCCGGGCTCATTACTCTGTCCATAATGACAGATTGAAAAAGAGAGAAATCTCGTGTTTGACTGATGAGTGTAAATTTTAAGAGTGATGCAGATAAGCACCAGGAAGGATAAACAGAATATATTCTGATAACAGTACTTAAAGCTAAGTTCTCATCAAAGAACAGTTACTTTTGCTGATTTTATTTTTATTGAAAGACTGATATGGATATATGCGAAACATCCCGAGGAAAATTGGAATGTCGAATGAAGATCTTTAATTGCAAGCTAATTAATTTTGCTTTTAAATAAAAATATAACTGTCCTACAATACATTGCATTGTAATGCTTGATGTGTTGTCTAATTAAAACATACTTGATCAATTTTTATAATTAGGCAAAACAGTGGAGAAAAAAAATTTCCTGTTTGACTGATGAGTGAATATTTTGAGCCTCAAACAAAGCGCCGATGACTGTAGAACAATCAAAGACGCTTTTCAATACTGCATAGCAGTACTTGTTTAGTGAGATACGCTCACACTAAGTCCTTTACACGCGACATTACCCGTAACCGTTATTTACTCTGACTTTAACACATGGTCATTTGTGAATATCTCTCTAACGTCTTATATATAGTATACAAGCCTGTTACTCGTTGGCATTGCTTAAACATTTACATAATATAAAAGAGAAATCAATGATCGTTTTATCTACGTTGTTCAAAGGGACATAATTTGAGTTATCGAACTTTGAAACAAAACTTATATTATGCAAATTTCCAAATAAACATTCAATCACAAGGACAAATTGTATATAAAAGCTGTCTTTGAAGGGTGGATGGTGGGGAATGTTTCTAATACATTGACAAGTAAAATAATTGTGCTTGTATAATAATTGTGCTTGTATAAAAACAAGTAGAATTGTACCATACTGCACTCTGCTGCAATACAATGGAATACATTGTGATGCCTGCCATATTGTCCAATCAAAATTAACTTCGTCTATTTTTTTTCATTGAATTTAAAAACTGATTGAATACACACACGTTTTTTTTTTCATTTTATGCTTTGTAAGAATAAGGTTTCAAAAACAGACTAGAGAGCACTTCTTTTATTCTCATATTCTTAAATATTTGTTTTCTATGATATGAATCAAAATTAACAATCAGTAATTAAGTCGAAGGACTTTTGCAAAGTTACGTGTTACTGGGGTTTCTTTATCAAATGACTAGTTTGAGTATGCGTAAAAGATCCAAAAGAAATGAACACTCCTTTTTGACTGATGAGTGGATGTTTTTGTTTGCAAGAGAATTTATACTGTTTACCATAATAAGAATTTAACTGCATTTTACTGCACTGCACCACAACGCAGTGTCATTCAATAAAATGAAGTCCATTTTTGTTTTACGTTATGGTATTGAAAAATAAGGTGTAAATTAACATATTTTCTAATATACATGTATTTTTATTTTTTAAAAAGTTTTTGAAAAACAGACTGGATGGAATATTTTCATTCACATTTTCTTATATGATTGTTCTTTTTCATACGAATCTAAATTAACAATGCAGTAATAATGTCGAAGGATATTTCGACAAATTTTTTCATTGTTATTGATTATCTTATGCAACGCCTAGTTTGGGTATATGAAAGATTGAAAAAGAGAGAACTCCCGTGTTTGACTGATGAGTGTAAATTTTAAGAGTGATGCAGATAAGCACCAGGAAGGATAAACAGAATATATTCTGATAACAGTACTTAAAGCTAAGTTCTCATCAAAGAACAGTTACTTTTGCTGATTTTTTTTTATTGAAAGACTGATATGGATATATGCGAAACATCCCGAGGAAAATTGGAATGTAGAATGAAGATCTTTAATTGCAAGCTAATTAATTTTGCTTTTAAATAAAAATATAACTGTCCTACAATACATTGCATTGTAATGCTTGATGTGTTGTCTAATTAAAACATACTTGATCAATTTTTATAATTAGGCAAAACAGTGGAGAAAAAAAAATTTCCTGTTTGACTGATGAGTGAATATTTTGAGCCTCAAACAAAGCGCCGATGACTGTAGAACAATCAAAGACGCTTTTCAATACTGCATAGCAGTACTTGTTTAGTGAGATACGCTCACACTAAGTCCTTTACACGCGACACTACCCGTAACCGTTATTTACTCTGACTTTAACACATGGTCATTTGTGAATATCTCTCTAACGTCTTATATATAGTATACAAGCCTGTTACTCGTTGGCATTGCTTAAACATTTACATAATATAAAAGAGAAATCAATGATCGTTTTATCTACGTTGTTCAAAGGGACATAATTGAGTTATCGAACTTTGAAACAAAACTTACATTATGCAAATTTCCAAATAAACATTCAATCACAAGGACAAATTGTATATAAAAGCTGTCTTTGGAGGGTGGATGGTGGGGAATGTTTCTAATACATTGACAAGTAAAATAATTGTGCTTGTATAAAAACAAGTAGAATTGTACCATACTGCACTCTGCTGCAATACAATGCGATACATTGTGATGCCTGCCAAATTGTCCAATCAAAATTAACTTCGTCTATTTTTTTTTTATTGAATTTAAAAACTGATTGAATACACACACGTTTTTTTTTTTCATTTTATGCTTTGTAAGAATAAGGTTTCAAAAACAGACTAGAGAGCACTTCTTTTATTCTCATATTCTTAAATATTTGTTTTCTATGATATGAATCAAAATTAACAATCAGTTATTAAGTCGAAGGACTTTTGCAAAGTTACGTGTTACTGGGGTTTCTTTATCAAATGTCTAGTTTGAGTATGCGTAAAAGATCCAAAAGAAATGAACACTCCTTTTTGACTGATGAGTGGATGTTTTTGTTTGCAAGAGAGTTTATACTGTTTACCATAATAAGAATTTAACTGCATTTTATTGCACTGCACCACAACGCAGTGTCATTCAATAAAATGAAGTCCATTTTTGTTTTACGTTATGGTATTGAAAAATAAGGTGTAAATTAACATATTTTCCAATATACATGTATTTTTATTTTTTAAAAAGTTTTTGAAAAACAGACTGGATGGAATATTTTCATTCACATTTTCTTATATGATTGTTCTCTTTCATACGAATCTAAATTAACAATGCAGTAATAATGTCGAAGGATTTTTCAACAAATTTTTTCATTGTTATTGATTATTTTATGCAACGCCTAGTTTGGGTAATGGAAAGATTGAAAAAGAGAGAACTCCCGTGTTTGACTGATGAGTGTAAATTTTAAGAGTGATGCAGATAAGCACCAGGAAGGATAAACAGAATATATTCTGATAACAGTACTTAAAGCTAAGTTCTCATCAAAGAACAGTTACTTTTGCTGATTTTTTTTTTTTATTGAAAGACTGATATGGATATATGCGAAACATCCCGAGGCAAATTGGAATGTCGAATGAAGATCTTTAATTGCAAGCTAATTAATTTTGCTTTTAAATAAAAATATAACTGTCCTACAATACATTGCATTGTAATGCTTGATGTGTTGTCTAATTAAAACATACTTGATCAATTTTTATAATTAGGCAAAACAGTGGAGAAAAAAAAATTTCCTGTTTGACTGATGAGTGAATATTTTGAGCCTCAAACAAAGCGCCGATGACTGTAGAACAATCAAAGACGCTTTTCAATACTGCATAGCAGTACTTGTTTAGTGAGATACGCTCACACTAAGTCCTTTACACGCGACATTACCCGTAACCGTTATTTACTCTGACTTTAACACATGGTCATTTGTGAATATC